CTAACCTAGATGAATATTACCAAAATCACTGCCATGTTCCCAGTTTTTGCAAATTTTAATGAGCCCAGGTTATGCAGCATTGGAGTAAGTGTTTAAATATTAAAAAATCATACTACATGCGCTTTTAATTTTCACAAAACTGTGGCTTTTCTCCATATTGACGTTTTGCACCATTTTCAAAATAAGCGTTGACAGCGCTGGCTTTAGATAGACTAAGCTTGATCTAACAGTAGTGAGTAACAATTGCAAACTCACATGGTTGTAAAAATAGCATATTATTCACAAAAAAGCATAATTTAATATTGTACGACGGAGGCTTCGAAAAACGACCTTATCATCTCATTTCTGCCTACCTTCTAGCTCAGTTTAATCGTTGCCAACTCGAGAAGAGAAATTTCATCGGCATTAATGGAACATACATATTATAATTATTTTATATAATAAGATAAACATTTCTTAACCAAATATGTTGTTTTATGTTGAGGAAATCAATCTTTCTTTCTAATCACCTATTTAACTATGTGAATTAAGTTTTAACGCAAAACTATTTCTTATTGAGGATATATTGATATATTATACTATAATGATCTCTTACTAGACATTCCAAAACGAAAATAGGTTTTTCTTGACATTGAAATGAAAAATCTTAAATGTCCTTCATGCAATCTCAGTTTCCGTGGTTGGTTGCTATAGTTACAGAAATGTATTTTGTTCGCTATCTAACAATGTTTTTTGACTAGTGATGTTGATGAACATTCTTACATCCAACTTTTGCAAAGTCTATAGTGTTGCTAAGAGACAGAAAGTATCAAACAGTACATTACTTACGACGAGATCTAGTTGTCACATATATTTCAGTTCTAAAGATAAAGTTTCTCACTATTATTCAACGGATTATAGAAAAATAGTGTGCATTTAAAAGTAATCTGGTAGAAAAAATATGCGGCGTATTGATAAAAAATAAAGGTAAGATTGTTTATTCTGGTTGTCTGTTCTCTGCCTTAATAAGTATTTTTATTTTAAAAAATATTTAAAATGTAATTAAAGAATATTAAAAATGTAATTAAATGTTATTAAAAATGTAATTAAATAAAATTATATAGAATAAAAAGAAGAATTATTATTTAATTTTAATTTTATTTTTGTCAAAACTAAAAAGAAAAATGGTCATTGCATCGAAATAGTCGATAATATAGCAATAATATAGGCTAAATTAATAAGAAAGCGATGAGTCGCACGTGTTTCGTTTTATGTCTGACAGAAATAAAATATATTTTCTACCTTTTAATATACAAGAAAACTAAAAAGGGATCAACTATTTTTGTATTATTATTATTTCCTTCAATCTAATTTCGTGTTCGTTAGTTGTTTATGAAAGTGATCAAAATTTTTGTTGGCAGTAAAATTGCGATAAATTTTGTTTGCAACGTTTAGAAAAAAATCCTAACTTTATGTTGTCATAAGGTACGGAACATCAATTTAAATTTCAGTACGCTAGCTGTTCGAAAAGTGATCGAAATTCGATTGGAAACAATCGACTGACGAGAAGTTTCTTGATGCGATAAATTTTGTTGGTGATCCAGCTCAAAGCTCTAGTTAAACTCAGTACACGAGCTAGTTGGAATTTTGATAACCGATGAATTCCTCTTGGCAAAATAATGCAATAAATCATCTCTGTAGCATTTCGGAAACTATTTAATCTTGCTTTATTATCAGGCTTGATCTCTTGTAGAAAATTGAGTACTTTAGATTGTAGGGAAAGGATTGAAATTTCACTTCCAAGATTCCATTCTCACAGACGCAAAAGTAAGTTAATAAAAACGTAGTAATTATGTAAATTGTCAATTTGGTCAAACTGAAATGCTTTTTTAAATTAAAACATCAAAATAATACTAGAAACTTATAATTATTACTCATTAAATATAGTATATAAATTGATTTGAAAATGTTAAAGATTTATAATGATTCATTCAAAAATATCTATCAGATAGTTTGTAAGAGATGTATGAAAAATTAAATTTTTCATTGCTTTAAATCCAGCAATTGATTAAATTGAAACTGCAAACGATTATGTTTTTTTTTCCAAAATTTTTAAAAAATGCATCAGTGATGTTTGCTAACCTATAGCTCTTATTAAACAAAAACGAGTTTTTATTCGAATGGGAAACCTGCAAGTGGCGTAGTGTTGGTATCTCCATCCCGATTGGCTGTTGAAACGTGACATTTGTTTACGTTTGCAACTGTTCTTTCCATTTTATTCTGAGTAAGCCAAGTCCGTCAAGTATCAATTCTCTTAAGTGACAGATTCTAAATTCTTTCACAAGGTTCTTTCTCAAATACTGCAATTCTTTCACTATATATGTTTACACAGAGACTTAACACAAAGTCAAACACGAAGCCATGTGGAACATAAACTAACTATGCATCGAAGTTGCCTGGTTTACAAAATAAAAATTATCACTGTTGCACTAAAATACATAAACAAATAATAAATCCAAGTTAAGCAAAAGAAGTAGACGAGTATTAATTATCTTTCAACTAATTCGATGTGTGATACGACTATGTATTTAATTAACTTATCATCAATTAACATTCTATCTTATGTAGGGAAACTTAGCTCAACTTTAATACGCCATTTTTCTGATAAAGATTAGCTGGCGTTGACGTCATAGGTCACATGTGTAGGTATTGGAGGTCTGCTTCTACTTGAAGTGAAGTACCCAATTGTCAGATGAATTCATTGAGTAATATGATGAATGTGATAGCATAAACGAGCTACGTCCCTAAATTAGCATTTCTGAAATTATTTGAAACCATGTGTTTATTTTGTTTAAAGTTATGCTTTTAAAATGTTTTTCTATAAAGCTAAATAAATATTAATTCGAGTAAGAGAAACGTAAGAAATCACGCTATTTTTATTGTCTCCAATGATGGTAAATATGTTTTGGTAATAGGTACTAAGTGAAATAAAAACATTAGCTGTGTACTAAAAAGAAAAAATTAATAGAGAATAGCTCTAATTCGTTTAGGAAAAAAGTTAAAAATCACCATATTATTATTAATGTAAATTAATTTTGGTAATAGACATCACAGGTTTTATGCTGGTAATGCAATTTTAGTCGGTATCAAATATGCTATTATAGTGACAAAGCACTATATTAGTGTATTTGATAAGTATTACAACTGAACCAAATACTATGCAGTTTCAATATTGATACAGTGAAATGAGATTTCTTTCGGTCCTTAAAAAGGAATGGCCAGAGAAAATTGCTCGACCGAGAAAATTTTTGTCTACCATTAGTTGAGCTGGAGCAACATCATCAAGCCAAATGATACTGACTATAGTTAATATTAATTTTTTCGTGCGAAGAACTTCTCTAAAAGGGTTATGCTTAATCTAATAACTAAAGCTATCGGCAAGGGCAGTAAATAAAAAATAAAGTTGGAAATATATTAGCTTTATTAATTGTGCTGGTATATGTCTTGAAATTTTGTGGATTATTTCGTGGTGTTATTCAGTACTGATTTAATGTTTACCGTTTTCCCAGATTTAATGTTATATTCAATGTTATCATTACTCATTTGATGTTATATTTAAGGTTACCGTTACTGATTTAATGTTGTGTTTGAAGTTTATCTGTACGAAAGACGGATATTCAGCTAAAGAATGATAACACTGAAAAATAAAAAAAACGATCTAAATTAAAATAAGAAAGAAAAGACTCAAGTTAAAAAAAAAGTTATGCAGCTCATCTTTGACACTTGTAAATTGTTATAAACTTCCTGATTTAGTGTTGTCAGCTCTTAAAACAATACTAGAATGTTGTCTTCACAATCACGCATAGTATGTGTATTGGGCAAAGTAGTTGTTTTTATGTCCTTGCGCCATTAAAAGTAATATTCAATTTAATTTACAGTATCATACTAAATTTTAATGAAAAAATGTCTTATTTGTCGACTTCTAATACAAATGCGAGATTTTTTGCAGCATTGCTACGTGTGTCAAATAATTTGGTGCACTGCTATAGTTCGTTGAAATTGACAAGAAGTTCCTATTTTTAGAAGTTTTTTAGGAAGAATTTTGAGCACTCCACTAATGATAAGTTTTAACAAAAAAAATTTTTTTTAAAAATTTTGTCTGTGGTCAAAGTTTATAAATAATCGAAATTTTACGAACCATAAAACGTGATACCGGGTTTACCTTTATTAGTACACTGTAAAAAAAATTTTAATTTACGGAAAAAAACTATCAGCTGATAACTATCAGTGTCAGTCTAAGACCATTTATTTCACAGGAAATTCTGTTATTAAAAAGCGGTCACTTGTTTTGTATATCGATATGCAATTATTTTAGCAGAGAAACTTTGCTATTTTATCAAATAAACTGTGCTATTTTAACAAAAAAAAAAAAAAAAAAAAGAAAAAAAAAAAAANCACACTATAAAATAAGAATATTAGCATAATGGTCGATGAGACTCGCTTGCAAAATTTATATGACCAGTCAACACTGGGATTCAAACCTGGTTTGCTTCATTTGGAGGCGATTGCTTGGTTTTTTGAGCTACTAAAGATCTAGTTACCATTTTGAAGAAAAATCTTAATTTATGCTTACCTTAAATTTTATTTAAATGTAAAAACATTTAAAACTATAGTGCACCACCCTTATAAAATTGTCTGACAACATTACTTACCAAAAATTATATCTAAAGTAACATAAATAAGAGAGCATAATTTTGAGAATAAAGTCGATTCGCAGTTTTATTTATACGATGTTCAAAACTATGAAATACTTTGGGTGAAATACAGAGAAAAACTGTTTTATCAATAAAACAGAGTTAAACCCTCAAATATACAGAGAAAATCAGTAAAAAAAACGGGAATTTTTTTACACTTTGTGGATAACGGTTAAAAACAGAAAAAAATCTTAACTTTTTCAAAAAAATTTTCTTTTGTGATAATTATTTTTTTTCGTTGTTTTTCTTTCTCTTACAGTTGATTTTAACAGTATAGTTACATTTAGTACCTATTTCTGGAGCATGTCAACAGATGAGGCTGCTGCAAATGCTGCATCAGCGAAAGATTTCCGATTGGATTATTTGGGAGGCCTTACACAATTGACTCTTCGAGTATCAGAAGAAAAATGGATGAAAATGCTTCAGGTAGAAGAAAACAAAATACAGTTAACGACGCATTTTCTTGACAATGCAGACAGTGAATGCATTTTCGTTGCTGAGACCAGCAGTGGCGTGTTATCTCTTTATGAATCTTCCAGCGATCTTCCATTCGTGGCTGGCAAACAGCAGAAAGCTGTGTACTTTCTGAAATCACCCGGAACAATAGCTACGGAAGAAAATATTAAAGAGATAATTACGTGTGGGGACTTATCTTCCTCAACAGTTGAACAGTTACAAGCTTTTCTGGATTACGTAAGTAATGCTTCTGAAGCTAGAGTCATTTGTTTTATATTAGTAATTTCTCTGTTATTCATTAACTGATAAATGCACCAGATTAAAAAAGTGGTCGATAGTCGCTTGGTACAAGAGTCTAAGAAAAACACTCATTACCTGTAGATTAATACACATGTTGATTGATGCTTGTAATAGACCTTGTTAGCTTTTACAGCAATCGTATTCTTTTATTTCCACTGGCATACACAGACAGACGATAAACAAAACATTAATAACAAGAAAAAGTCGTTTGGTTGCCTAGCAACCAGCCAGAGTTGCAGTTATTATTTTTACAAGAGTTGGCAGACGATTTAAAACAATTATTTAAACTAATTCTCCATTGATGTCGGAACAAACCTAACTGTTACAAGCCACAGTCAACATACCGTCGTATAAGTTTCAACCATAATATAAGTTTCCAATTGGGTATACTATAGCCTACGTCGCAGATCGTGTTATTCCTACTAAATTTAACTAGTAAACAGCATTTTCTGCGAACCTGATTTCTAGCAACAAGTAAAAGCATCAAACGAAGTGTCTTGTTATAAGTCGCTACTCGCCAGGTTGGAATTGTATTAGTCTAGTTCCTTTGGAAATAATTTATATTGTTGTTTTACCGAAGTTTATGAATTTAGTAAGCATATTTAAAACTCAGTTTATTAATTAAACTAAAAGGTAAATGTTATTCCTAGTAAGTGGAAGTAGTTGTGCTTTTTTCATATTATACCCAATTGAATTGAAAATTATTTTATTGGTACAAACAGATTTTTGGTTTAAATTTATATTGCTGTCAAATTAGTGACAAGTTTTCGAGCCTTCTTGTTCTAGAATCATACTTTGAAATACAGATTAGTTAATTTCTTTCAAGAAGCATTCCACGAGTATGTGCTTTTCTGACCCTTGAACTTCAACCTAAAGTCATATCGTAATTTGAGTTGGATTAAGTTTTGATGACAATTGTTTCTTTAACCCTCTTGCTGTTTATTCCGCGATTCCAAGGTAGAAGTAGCAAAATTTCCGAAACCCGTGATTTCCGCGGAGGTGAACGTTTGCCGTCTGTTCGACTATGCAACCCATTCTTTTCCCATTCATGGTTTCTTTTCGTTTTTTTTTATGACGTTTAGTTGGTGAATCAAATTTGGATTGATAGAGGGCATTAGTTGTCCATATTTCTGCAAAATAAGCAAGGATGTTTTGCAGAATTTTGCCCGCTTTTTTCAAAATGTACTCTTTGTTGCTCAAAAAATGAATTAATTAATACATAAATGAAATAAAAATAAAAAATTGGCAAAGAAAACATCGCAAAGATAGGCGAATTCGGTACAAACATTGCGAGGTAAGATTTTGCCTCAAACCATGTTTGGAAATTTATCATGCTAAACTTTATTTTTAATAAATGTTTTGTAAGTATTTTGCATATTTCCATGTGTGTATGCGTTTTAATATCGTATTTCATTAAACAAATGATATTTTAGCTGAAACTAATTTTAAAAATTTTGAATTTATATGATTCTTTTTCAATTGCAATTTTCCGACAACCTTTTTTTAATTTATCCCTATATTGAAAAAAAAAACTCTTTTACAAAAAATGTTTGTATATTTCAACTCTAAAATGTGTGCAGATTTGAACTATGTGATAAAAAAAATATGCAAATTTTGAACCAATTTTGATTTAAAAAAAGTCACACAGCGAGAGTGTTAAACCATGTTTTTATAAATTTAATAATACAAAATGAACGGGAAGGTATAAGCAAGAAAAAAAATGAAGTTTAAAGTCCTAATCTCTAAAAGAATAGGGAAATTTATGCTAGGGATATAACGGTACTTATGCTTTGTTCACCGAAAAGTGATGTAAAATAGTAATAACCAAAACACATAGAAATAATTATTACTCACACAGATTACTTAATTAATAATGTGTCACATTTTTTACCCGAGCAATGCTGTGCTCAAAACCTAACTATTAAGTTCATCATTTTTGGTAAACTTAAATTTTTAGTTTTCATTGAGTTTTCTGTCCATTTTCTTTTTGTTCTTTCGTAAAATTTTCTTTTTTTTCCTTCCTCACTACAGGCTGTCGTACCAATCCTTTGCAACCCATCTTGTCACGAAGGCTGGTCAAGAGAATTAGCGGGTGATTTATTGAATAGCGTTCGAAGCTTCCGAAGTCTTGTGGCACGTGGAGTTGCTGAAAGCAAAGGCCATGTTATCATATCTGTACCACCCATCCAACCTTTTGAATCTCACATATATGCATCAGGGTACACATTTTCCTTTTATTTAGTTTTAAAAATAATATAAGATGGTACTTTAATCTGCAAATAGAGTCTAGTCAAGCATTAACTTTAAAAAAGAAAAAAAAACTGAATCTTTTAAATGCTATTGTATGGTCTTTTACAGTGCTAAATTATACGACCTTGTGGAATTACAATAGCTTACTTCTTAATATTGAAGATACGACTTGAACTTAAAGATTGCACTTCCACTTGAATTGAAAGATGGCTCAATTAATTAAGGTTGCATCTTATCATCGTTACTGAGCATCTCATTAAAATTGGTATTATGGTTTCTGATCTCCTCATTAAGGTTGCAGTGTATTATGGTTTACTGATCTCCAAATTAAACCTTACAGCTTATTATGGTTACTGATCACCTCATGAAGAATTGAGAGAATTTATGGTTTAACATTGAGCCAATTTTAGTAAGAGACTTTATTAGTTTTATTTATAGGTTATATACTTTATAGGTTATAACTAAAATTCATTCTAAATGCAATTATATTGAATATATTAAATTTTCAATATACTGGATTTTTTCATTAAATAACGTAAATTATTGAATAAAAAATATCTCTTCGACTATTCTAGGCTGATTTGGTGCTATGATTAAAAAATAAGTTAACTCAATTGACTTTTCAAGTTATTAAACAAAAATATTTAAGTTACTATGATAATTTCTTTTTTTTTTAAATTAAGAAACAACTAAAATTTTAGGATAAATATATTCATTAATTATAATTTTTAAATGTATTATTAGGCTTTTTAATTATGAATATCTACAAATATTATTGATTGAATTTCACCTATTTTCATAGCTCTGGTTTACATTTCTAGTAATATAAAACACAGTCTTGAACATTTTCATAGTGCTACTTAAGTATACTTTTGCATAGCATAAGCTAAATGAAACAAAAATTAGGATATTCTAAACAAATATCTCCTTAATCAGCATTATTGAAATCCTTCTTAACTACATTAGTCAGAAAATAGTACTAATTTATTTACGTAGCACTAGAACTCCCCAATGGGTTGTCGGCGACAGTTTGGCAATGATCCGAAGACATGCCATCACAATTTTGAGCCTCGGAAAAGGGGATGGCTCCCCTGCTTAGGTAGACCGATGACCTGAACACGAAGTCGAGCACTTCAACAAGCAGTTTAACGAGGACCGATACCGCCTACTCTCATTACTTTCACTAGCTGGATGCAAGTGATCACCCAACCGCTCACTGACTGCTGCCAGTGATGCTTGACTTCGCTGATATACTTGGAACCGTGTCTTTCGATTAGTCCATCGTGTGACATTCATAGGATAAAAAGTCTTAAAAAAATATTTTTACTCACTATTAAAAAAAAATAATTGCTTGCCGAAAAGTTCAAAATTTTTTTAAGGTTTGAAAATTTCTTACAAATTTCAAAATGTTGATAAAAAGCATACTAACTATGGAAAATTAGATTTTTTAAAGCAAGAAACTTAAGTATATCATTAAATATTTAGTGGTTTTTCTTTTAAAAAAAGGAAGAAAAAGCGTAGCATAATGCTTTGTATTTTAAAATGTATGGCATGCATAACATATAGTACTGCTTTGAGGAGCACTCCTCCATACTGAAAGTCTCGGGCTGTCTGCTGCTATGGTAACAAGCGAGAGCACGCTTCTAATGGGGGTGAAATGGAGGAAAGAAGGCATCGATTGGTTTACTCACGACGGCCTACTCTAAGATAAAGACAAAACTATGCTCCCTACACCCCTATTTGAAGGGACCTTTCATTGTAACCATAGTACCCGCCAAGACGCGAGACGGGTGTCTGGAGGAGTTCTCCTGAAAGCCGCACTGTACATGATGCCTTTTTCGTATGTTTTTCTTGCTTCCAGGAGTCACTCATCTTCAGACGAAGCAAAAGAGACTTGGATGCGAGAAACAGTCTCCATTCTGGAAGGTAGTGTTCGCCATTGGACAGAACAGATTCAAGAAGTCTTAGATAGAGGTCTCAACAAAAGTAATCGCTACCCATTACCCTCAGATTACTACAAATTTTATTGCAGGAGAGGAAAATCTCTTCGTTTCATCCAACAACAGGTAAATTCATTAAGCTGTTACTGTCTCATTCTAACCATCTTCGCGTCATTTTAAGAAAACACATCGGTCAAAAAAGTGCCGAGACTAATTCCTAAAAAATCATTTTATTGAATAATTTGACAGCATAGTCTTTTTTAAGAACATGTGAGCCATGCATTCAGAAACTTCTCAAGGATTTGAATACTTTTCTTATGAAAAAGAAACAAAAATGACCAGCAAAAATTTATAAATAAATACACATTTAAATAAATAAATAAAATAAAATTAAATAAATAAATAATACTAATTTCCAATATATATCTTCATCATCTGCATCTTTCCCTAGAATATCATTTGGAGACTGGCGAACGGGTACCATGGGCTGTAACAGAAGAATACGGGGAGTGGGGTAGCAAAATTGGGAACTTAATCCGAGCAACTTTAATTGTTTCCATAACCATTAACTCTTATTGGTCAACACACTGTTGTTTTCTTTCTGTGAGTTAACATTACACTCATTTGCTAATCAGTTTTTTCGACACTAAATGTCCTTGCAATATATTTGTTGTGTGCATTGCCTTTTGATGTCTTTCAGTCGTTAGATATCAACAAATTTACGTGACTAATACAATTTTAAGAATTTTTTATTGTTAACTTAAAATTATTTTCTTAAATTTAATGTGCACAGTTCTTAATTATTTTTTTTCTAGGATTGTAGATATATATTGTTATTCATGAACAAGAAGAAAACTGAAGTTATAAGAATAAATCAAAAGAAAAATGACAAAATTAAAATCGAAAATCACGAAATAGATGACATAGAGTCATTTAGCTATTTAGGTTCTATTGTAGATAAAAAAGGTGGAAGTAGTGAAGATATTAGACAGAGAATAATCAAAGCAAGAACATATTTTAAGGGATTACATAAATTTTGGAGAGAGTCAAATATTGAAATAAAGACAAAAATAGTTGTTTACAAAGCTATTGTTAGAGCAGTACTATTATATGGCGCAGAAACCTGGAAACAGACTAAGATCGAAATACAAAAATTAGAAACCTTTCAAAACAAATGTTTAAGATTTATTTTTAAAATTTTCTGGCCTTACAAAGTATCAAATCAAAATCTATTAAAGAAAGCTAAAATAAAAACAATCGAAGATGAAATTAAAAAACGAAGATGGAGCTGGCTCGGACATATCCTTAGAATGCCCAAAGAAAAAAATTCATCTGTTGCGCTTACATGGGCCCCTAATGGTAAGAGAACAAGAGGAAGACCCAGACTTACCATCCAGCGCATGTTTTTGGGCGAATTAAAAGAATGTGGAATATCTGGCTGGGAGGAAGCAAGATCTATTGCTAAAGACAGGAGGCGTTGGAGGGATATGCTGGAGGCCTTAAGTGCCCAAGGCACGTAGAGGATAAGTAAAGTAAGTAAGATATATATTGTAGATGTATTAATGAAAAAGCGGTGATTTCAAAACACCTTATATGCGCAAACTTCCTTTAAAAAAATACATCATGTAAAATGTTATAGAGCATGGTATTCCTTTTTAAGTATTCCTTACATCTGAGTAAATTGAGTCCTTTAAAATATTTGTCAATTAATTATTCTTCTTTAAAATATTTAAAAATTGTCAAATAACGATCTAACACACTTAGAATAATAAAAATTCCTTTTAGTTGAAGAGTGAATCCCTGGAACTTGTTGGGGGCATCCTTCAAGACAGAAACAGTACCTATGCGGCCCAACTCAATGATCTCATTAAGAAAGTTGAAGATGGTGAGATGTTATGAATAATTTACTTTTTGACTCGATTCTATTTGTGCATGTTTAATGCTCAAAAGTTATAAAACTGTAACTATTGTCGTTTTCCGGCAATTCTAGTGTTTGTTTCTAGTAATCATTTACTTGTTATTTACTTATTTTTATATTTTTAAGAAGAAGCATATATTAATTTTCTTCTTAAGACCGCAAAACTACGCTACAAAAATGAATTAAATACCGTGAAGTTTTGGTGATTACACCAAAAACTTGCATTAAATATGACATCATTGAAATCTTTAAACGACGTAGTATTAAATGTAGTTATCGAAATGTAATTTTCTTTTTCAGTTCTAAGCCAAAAAGTATCTAAATATTTTCTTGAATTGAATTTTTTTAGTGTGTTACTGATTGTTATACAAAAAATGTTAATGTATTTTTTTTTAATAATAAAGAGGTTTGTGAAGCAGGAGATATACAAAAACATCTGTTTCCCCTGCATAGAAGGTGCAAAGATTTGGAAGCCAAAGACTTGCCTCGACTGCGACGCCATCTTGTAGATGGCCTACTTCGAATGATAAAAGATGCTGTTGATAATTGCAATTCTTTGAAAGAATCTCACAACTCTGCTCTTGTTGCTAAACTCTATGACAGTGTATCACATCTTTTGGTTCGAATGGTGAGTGTTATCGAGAAGTATTTAACTTCTTTTCTTATTTTATTATTTGGTCAAGTTTAAAAGTAAGACGAAAAAGATTATTCCTCTCAGCAAACAATGTTCTCCAAAGTTCCATCACACATAGAAGAGGTGATTGACGGGCTTTAACTCGTCGGCAGAAACATGTCTCAAACATGCTCAATCGGATTCAAGATACTTCAGAAGTACGCTGTACGAAATAAGTACGGTGGACCGAATGGCGCTTGCACATGGCACCGAGTCACGCCTGACAAAAGCAACACACGACACGTTGAAAGCAGAGGAGGACGGAAAAGCTCCAAGTGCAAGACCCACAGGGCGGAAGTGGCAACTCCTCCGAAGACACTCTCCATATGAAAGTCCAACGTGAATCAGACAGCAAATTAAACCTGGATTCGTCAGAAAACCTCACGTAAGCCCACTGTGACGATGTCCATATTGCATATTCTCTACTCCTGGCTAATCGCTGGTGACAGTGAGTTAGCGTGAGAGGTACACATTGGACAGGCCTACAAGCATATAGATCAATATTTCTCAAACATCTTTACACTGTTTGTCTTGAAACTGTGGTACCCGTGCTTTGCTCCGTCTTCTCCTTTTAGCAGTTACTGCAAATACCGATCTTCATTCAGCGTTGTAACTCGGGAACGACCTCTACTCTAACGTCTACTGACATTTCCATCATCTTGGAATTATCGCCAAAGCTTAGAGAAGACACTTTGGGCAATTCCAAGTTCCTTGGATACCTCCGTCTGAGTACGCCCACATTCCAGGTGACCGATAATTATGAAATCATCCACATACGTCATCTGTTTCATAACTATTCGGTTATGGTACTAAGCGGCTTACAGAACTCCTATGAACAATTTTACTTCTTTTCTACCATTCTTTAGATAACAATCTCGTCATTGTGACACACTATTGGCATTATCTGTTGGCTTTCTGTAATTTGTAGATGTGTGTGATTATTCTACAGGGGAAATTTTTACTTTAGAGTTCTATTTTAGTGTAATTCTGAAATGCTTCAATTTATGAACTTGAGTGTACTTGAATGATAGATATAGTATACTAGCAACAGAAGTAAATATGCATAACCTTTTATTTATTTTTTTAATTTTAGAGTCAGCAGTTTTTGGACGGAGCAACGATGTTCCGAGGAGAATTAGATGATTCTGAACAACGTTTGGATCTCGTTCTAAATGTTATGGGTTATTTCAGAGCTTCCAGATCATGTGACACTATTCTAGATCGACAGGACAGGCTGGAACTTTTTATTAAGCGATTGCAATCTATTAAGGTTAGTAAATCTTTAAATAGCCTAACGTCAAACCTTTAATGTTTTATATTAAGTTCACATTTTTCAGTTTCATTTCATTAGAGTTCTAAATGAAGAAAATATTTCGAACAAGTGTCAATTGTTTGTTCGAAAAGTTATTCTAGTTTTCCGTAGTACATAAAATAACTTCTAAATGACTTACTTTCTAGCTGTGAATAAATGTAGAGTTGTGCTAACCAAAATCGTACTCATAAAAAACATTAGTAGAAAAAAGCATTGGATTTACAATGAAATGAATAACAGTATTAAGGAATTGATTAAAGCGTGAATTGATTGAAGAATGAATTGAATCACACTATTTCATAAAATAACTTATAATAACTAAAAATTAATAATAAAGAAACTATTCATAGAAAGATTGTAATCATAGAATTAGTAGTTCTTTGAAATTTTAAATAAATGAAGAATTATGCTAAACAAAAATTATACATGACAAACATTAATAGAAAAGGTAATTGAATTTTCAATTCAGATTTGTCTTTTCTTTTGTTTTACTATTTATTATATTTCTTAACCACTCCTTTTAATATATATATATATTTTTAAACACTTTTTCAACTTAATATCTAACCTGTTCAAAAACAAAAAAATATATCTTGATCAACTTTTAACAAGGAAGGTGAAATTAAAAATCTCAAAACTTATTTGATTACCTTATGAAAAGTAAAGGTACCTTTCGTCTCCGTTTAGTTTTCTTGAGCAATCAAACAGGTTTTGGTGTTTTTAATACCGCTTTCTTTCGTAAAACGTTTTTGCCTTTAAAAGCTTAAACAATAATTTGTGTATACAAAGTTTATATTTTTTTTAAAAAGAAAATTCTAAAAATATAAATATAAGGATAAAAAATAACACCCCTTATATTATCACAGTTTAAAAAAATTAAATCCCCACACATGCCAGGACACTGAAGTGTTACCAGATAACATTTTAAACTGTATATTGCAAAGAGGAAAAGCAAATATTAACCTAATATCAAGTTTATGAATGATTGTAATATGCTTGAATGTAATCAAAGTTATTTATTTATTTAATGATAGATTATTATACAACATTTTAATTTATACATATCAGGAACAAAATTTTTTTTTGTTGATTCCTTCTACAGTGGATAAAAAGAATTAATTTAAGCAATTCATTGTCAATCGAACATAAAGGCTTATGTTGAGTTACTTACTATCAACTTAAAATGACTGTCATTTTCCTGAGATTCAAGATTTGGTGAATTTCTATTTTTTTTTTTTCTCGAGCAAATGTCAATTAACTACACTGCTGTATGCAAGATATTAATAAATGTAATTAAAGAAGTATACAAAAAAAAAGTGCGTGGAGTCCCTCCGCGCGGAAGAAGTTAAACTTCGTAACCTGCGACGTTAATTGTAGAAGAATCAGCAGTCGTAGAAGGATCACTAGTTCTATTCAACGACTCTTTTTCTTGCTCCCTAACCCCTCTGCTGTATCAAAACAAACTAAAAAAATATTTATGGAAAAACAAAAGTTTTATGACTTTTATTATTTTTATGTTAGTGAGAACCAAAACAATATGGAAATGAATGAGGGAAAACTGGATCCTACCACGTGATTTCCCGGCCAATAAAAATGTAGCGTTAAACGTTTAACGCTTCCTTGTTGGAAGTCGCATAAGAAGTATAACTTCAATGAAATTGTTTTCTTATATTGCTTCTTCCCGACAGTTTTACTCAATTTAATGCCCCAATCACTTAAAATTATCAATACAGAATTACATGGATTCTTCTGTATGAAATTTATAAAAATTATTTTTCTAACTTTAAATGTAGCAATTCTTTGATGATAATTCGGTTTTTTCTTGAAAAGAAATATGTTTTTTCTTGACACGATGACAAATTTACATTAAATTGATACGATAACAATGTCTATTGAATATTTTCTTCAGAGTATACTTTTTATTCTGAATTTTTCAGTGAATTTAATTACGTCATAGCATTACCTTAAATATTTCGTTCTATTTACTCTTTAATTTTCCTTTTAGGTAGTTTTTGAGACATCGTCAGCTTTCCTCAGATTAGCTAAGCTTGAAGTGGGTGGGATCCAGGGTCACGTGACCACGAAACAAGTCAAGCAGATTTATGCCGAATTTCAAGAAGAACTCGTGGTTTTCGACAAATGCCCTTACGACATCTTGGAGCCTGATACTCAAGTGAAATTCAAATTACTTTTATCTTTTAAAAATATATTTAAGAAATCAATTGCTACTCGTTATTCCGCTTGACACATTACGGAACAGTGATGTATATGTGAAACCTCCTGTTATGGACACTCCTGCAAAACGGACGCCTCTCAATACGGACATATTTTCAATTCCCCGGGAATCTTCTATAAAAAAAACCATTATGTACAGTCCGCAAAAAAAAAAGATATCACCCTGAATAACTTTCGTTCTAATGATCGGATTTTCACGAACTAAGTGTCAATCTTAATGGTTCCGGGGGGTGACCTCAAATATGCTAATTAATTAGTGCTAACTATTAATTAAGTTACGAAATCAGACACAAAAACGTACTTTCTCTGAATAAACATGTATTTTTTTTTACAAATTTGGAATCCAGACACTTGAAATAAGGGGGGGTAGACAAAATTTTGAAAAAATTGGGTCTTAAATTGGGTCACAATAAAGGTTTATATATTTGGCGATAGTCCAGAAAACCGCCAAAAAATTTCGCCAGCGCAAATTAATATTTTAAGGTAACCCATTGACTAATTCAAAAGAAGAAGACTTAATTTCACCAGGTTGCTAAGCAACCAATTTTTGACTGTAAAAAAAAAATTTAAATAATGCTCTGTGATTGCTCGGAGAGGTTTATTAGAAATATCTCAAAGTTAATAGAAAATATCTCAAAGTTTCTAGGATATAGACAATTTTTAAAGCTAATTTCTGCCCAAAAAGCAAAAATTTTTTTATTTTAATCTCCTTTGAAAAGAAAATTTGAAACGATTTATAAATTATTTATAATTTTCTAAGTTTTTAGAATTTAAATACATGAACTTTTTATCTGATATTATTTAGATTATATTGTTTTTGTTATACTTATTCGAGGATTTCATACTAAAATCAAATTAACATAACTTATTATGGCTATATACAAAATTTTAGGGATAATCATTTTTACAGCTTTAATCGAGTGCTCTAGGCAAGAAAGTTTGAAGAAAAAAAAGTGCTTGAAAAATAAAATGTATATTGTATAGTAATTCTAATGTGCATTCACAAGGTTTTCACGATATTTCTTTTTTCTATAACTCAAGGAATTGCTGAATGTTTAGTGGTATTTTAAAAACATTGAAATATGTTATGTTTAAGAATAAGATACTGAAATAATATGTTGCATATTGTAAGATTCATTGTTTAAAAAATCGCTTCATTCTGCTAGATATTTAGGTTACAAGGCTTTCTTTGGATAAAGATGATTAGCAAATACCATCCTCATCTTTCGATACATTCTGAAACTCACATTCGCAAATTCACCATAAAATGTCGCAGAGCATACTCTTCAGATCCGATTACAGCTACATTTACCTCCAAATACTGCTACTAAGATTATTTTAGTTTTCTTATATATGTTACCGGACAAAGTATAAAACGCCGGTATTGAATAGAATGCGTAGGCATTCTATGCAATGCCGGATGTTTTCAGCAAAGTATGAAATGTGAGAGGTATTACATACTTTCCCTAGGCATTCTATAGAATGACAAATGTTATTTTGGCAAAATATGAAAAAAACATACTGATGAGGTCATTATGTTATATTAATGATGAGCATGTTACTGTGAATGACCGAAATCGGTGGTTGTTGACTTTCAAAGGTGAATGTTGACAATCACATAGTCGCTTTGGTGAATGTCCGAAATATTTATTACATCCGATTTGATATTAATTTATTCGTGGATATAATTACATTTATTCGATATTTTAATACTTACTGACGATAGATTAGAAGAAACATCAGTGTTTGGAGTATCAGGCTAATATATATCGGGCAATGGCACTGAACCTTAAAAAAACATCGGTGTAGGATATACCGAGCAGTGGCACTTGACCTTAAAAAAACTTCAGTGTAGGGTATACCGGGCAGTCGCACTTGACCTTAAAAAAACTTCAGTGTAGGGTATACCGGGCAGGGGCACTTGTCCTTAAAAAAGCATCAGTGTCTGGTATACCAGGCAGTGACACTTGATCTTAAAAAAACATCAGTGTCTGGTATACTAGGTAAATGTATACCGGGCAGTGGCAATTAACTAGAAGTAGTATGACTAGACCTTTGGTAAATGTCCGAAATATATACTAGGTCTAGTTAAGTGCCACAACCCGGTAATACATTTGCCCGGTATACCCTACACTGAAGTTTTTTTTTAAGGTCAAGTGCCATTGCCCGGTATGCATTTGTCCGGTTTACCCTACACTGATGTTTCTTCTAATCTATCGTCAGTGAGTGTTAAAATATTGAATAAATGTAGTTATATCGGCGAATAAATTAATATCAAATCGGATGTAAAAAATATTTCAGACAATCACCAAAGCGACTGTGTAATTGTTGACATTCACCGGTGAAAGTCGACATTCTCCAGATTTCGGTCATTCACAGTAACATGCATTTCTCAAAAATAAAGATGTCATTCTGAAAAAAGAAAAATGAGAGTTCCATTAAAAAACATTTATTCAAAATTTGTAAAGAGAAGTAAAAAGTTGTGCAAGACATAATTTATGCCTGTCTTATTAGGGAAATAAAATTTTCATATAAAAGAAAAGAAAATAACCTAATTGTCATTTTTGAATGACATTTTGACGAATGCATTTTATACTTTACCGGTTTCTCATTTGGCATTCTATAGAATGCCTAGGAAATGTGTGAAATATACACCGAAGAGACATTACATTATAGCCCCCCTGCTAATAACACGTAGGACGACCTTTAGCCCTCAAAACTGCTAGCACCCAACGTGGCATTGATTCCTTAAGGTGCTGATAGAGTCTGAGGTATCTGGTACCAAGCGCTCTTCAACTGGTCCTGCAATTCCCTCACATTGCGAGGGGGTTGCGTGGCAGTATGAATTTGGTTTTCCAAGTAGGACCACAAATGCTCTATTGGATTAAGGTCAGGTGAATTTGGGGGCCAAGATATGACTTGAAAGTCACTGGAATGTTCCTCGAATCAATCCATGACAATACGACCCTTATGACATGGTGCATTATCCTGTTGGTAAACACCATCCCCCGCAGGAAAAACTGTTGCCATGAATGGGTGAACCTGGTCTGTAACTATATTCAAGTAGCTTACAGAAGTCAGGGATTGTTCTATGAGGATTATTTCCTTCTTAACAAAATAAGGCATTTTTCCTGATAACACTTTATACTACAATAATATCTTGGGAATCGTGCTAAAGTAAAAAATTAAACAAAATAGTTTAGTATATTATCCGGAAAAAATCTACATCGAATCATAAAGAAAGAGTGAAAGATATAATGAAATAATAAGTGAATCACACGTGGTCAGAAAATTAAATTTCACAACTAAGATGTTAGGACAACATTTAAGATGCTGAGATATTTTAAGACGCTTAAAAATTTTGGCTACGTATTCGACAGCTTTTTATGTTCAGTATCTTTATACTCTTTGTAGTGAGTTCTAAAACATCAATACTATTTCAGATAATCTATGTTGAAGTCACAAGAAACAAAACAAAAAAAGACAATCAATAATTTATACTCTTTTTTCGAAAAAAATAGTATGCTTAGTAAATAATCAGCTGTTTTGCATTTAATATTAAACAGCGGAAAGTTTTTAATTTCTCAACAAGGTTTTATTAGCTAGCAGGCAATAACTCTTTAAAAAAAAAACTTGACTATAATTTAAAAAAGGAACTTTACTTTAAAGAAAACCTAAATTAAAGTACTAAAAAAAATTTATTAGTATATTAATGATGAAATAATAAACGTAATAGGGTAAAGAGTAAGATTTTTAAAAATGCTAACATTTAATTAAATAGTTGGTAAAATAGTTCTGCGAAACACCTCCGGACAGGTGATTAAAAATTACTTTTAAGATTAAGACGATATATAAGATGTTGAGAAATTTGCAATGATGTGAGAGATGCTTAAAAATGTTGACTATGTATTTTTATTAATATTTATAAAAAATATATTCAAGAAATTGATAAATATTTTATTCCAAATCTATTCATACGTATGTATATTATAGAAATTGTATCAGTTATTGAGAAAAAAAAAACAAAAAAATAAAAAATAATCACATTAAATAAGCAAAATCTGGTGTATAATCATATACTATCACAAGCATGCTTTTATAAAACTTGACATTCGTTGATTAAAATGTTTTATTCAAATTTCTTTACAAAATTTCAAATAGAATTTTAGACGACTAAAAAAGAAATATCGTATTTTATAGTTTTAAAGAAATAAAAATAAAAAGATTAGCAAACGATTATTAGCGAAAAAAATATGAATGAAATTTTACGCCACTCGCGCTAAGTCAAGTTCCTCGTAAGTTTATCACATTTTAATATTAATCGCCCCATTAAATCATTTCTTCATTGTCGCCAAATTATTTTTTTTTAAATAATTAATTTTAATTTTTCTCATCTTCTAATAAATAAAAACAATAGAAACTTTAGATTTTTCAATTGAAAAATATGTAGATTAAAATGGTATAAAAAAATTCATACCTTATAATTCAAAATTTTTTCATCCTCAATTTAATTAAATAATAAAAAATAATTAATAATTATTAAAAATTATTTTTTTCATGAAATTATCTTTGGGTAAATGAGTTTTATGAGTGGGTGCAATTTTCTTTGAATTGCTTCATTAGTTTTGAAAATATGACTGAAAACGCAAAAAGCGAAATTAACATTAAGGGGTACGAACTTTGGATCGCTCTCCTGACCAAACTATGGGGACCACATTTCCCAGATTGCGGCTACCCCCTATATTTTGAAGGTTAGGAATCCAAATATGTAAAAAAAAATACATGTTTATTCAGAGAAAGTACGTTTTTGTGTCTGATTTCGTAACTTAATTAATAGTTAGCACTAATTAATTAGCATATTTGAGGTCACCCCCAGGAACCATTAAGATTGACACTTAGTTCGTGAAAATCCGATCATTAGAACGAAAGTTATTCAGGGTGATATCTTTTTTTTTTGCGGACTGTACATTCTCCGCAAAGCGGACACTCCCGTAACCGGATGCGGACAGTCATTTAGGCTCTGAAACGTTATTTTCCATCTCTTCAAACCGGACGCTATTTTTTATAAATTGAATAATTGAACTATTTCTGCTTTAAATTGCAAGGGGAAAAATGCAGCTTTTCACCATTTTCAAAGCATGTAAATTTTTTGCCTTATCCATAACTAAATGTATTGTTAAGCTATTTCTCTACTAAAGAATCAATATTTTTTTGTTTTATTTATTATTATTATTATTATTTAGTATTTTGCGTTGCATGCGTGTCTGCCCGATTTTCTCCGGAATTTTTTGATATATTTTTTTTTTGGAAAAAATTTGATCGATAATTTGGAAATGCTTTTAAAAAAATTTAAATTTTATTTTTTTTAGTGATGGATTCAAAATTATTTTTAAGGTCCTGATTTCATAGATAGATCGTCTAGATTTCACGAATTGATACTTAAAAATTTATATTTTGATCATTAAACTCATTTTAAGAATTTTCCTTTCTGATTCATAAATTGTTTCAACGAATTTTTTATTTATGTTCATGAACTGATTACTTATCTATCTTAAATTTATTAACTTGTGCCACGTCCATCTCGGTAAGAATATTTTTTCATCAATTGTCTTAATGAATCATCCTGTCATTTCTATGTTTCGTTAACAACTATCTCAGTATTAATGTGGAATTTGAATTTACCCTTTGAAAGAAATGATAAGCGATGACACCAAACTATCAGCCTTCTGTAATCAAGTTCTTAATATATGACACAACCACTTTATAACATGCCATTTACTCACTTTAACAAAATCAAAAGTTATTCAACAAAAATTAGTTAGATTCTATGTGTTAGCCATTTTTAAATAAATGAACAAGATTTATTAAACCTCAATGAAAACTAAATGAAGCAAAGCAATAATATTGCTATATCATTTTTCATTCTGTCAGTTATTGCTAATTTAAAATGAAAATGAATTCTAAACCTATTAAAAATAATAAAATAATAAGCTTGAGGAAAAAAACAGTTCAACTTTAGTAGACATAAATTGATGCAAATGTTTCTTTTCCCTTTTTTTGCCTATGAATTTATTTGCAGTAATGAAACCTCTTAACATTATGACTGACTCTTACATTTAAATTGTATTTTCACGGAATTAATATTTTTTAATTACATTCAAAATGCTCTACATGGTCACATAAATATTCAACGAGCAGTTTCTTTTTAATTGAAATTTTAAAGTCATCAAATTTTTATGCTTTTTAAAATATTATCATTCTTTTAAAGGAGTTTGAATCCGACATAGATCACTTTCATAAGAGAATACAAGAATTAGACGGTAGGCTTGGATCTGTGATTAAAGGCTGCATTCTTGGTTGTTCAAGCACCGAGGAAATGTGTAAGGTTAGTTGCATTATAGAATTTAATAAGAGAAACTCTAAAACAGGAGAAGGTAATAAAAGTTAAAAGAGGGGGATAGACCATGAAATGAAAATCAGAGACAATCTTAATACTAGTGAAGTTCATGAAGCAACATGCGAGGCTTGATTTGATGAATCGGAAGCATATGTATAGTGATCGTTGGCGTCTTGTGGAACAGAAACTATAAAATTTGCAAGTTCTGAGGAAGAAGATTACGTATTTGGCGAGAATGCTTTGCCAAGAAATGCGTTGTTACTTTATTCTAAAACTCAACTTCCAGTTTTTCAGAAACTGGTTAAGTATTTTGAAAAAATGGCTGGACAATTTTAAAAAAATGACAAAGATCCCCATTAGGATAATCATGATAAATTTTCGTATTTCTCACAAGCCATACGTAAAAGGAGACATTGCTAAGGAGTTGATTAAAAGTTTTCTTCCAGTATGAGATAGCTATGAAAAACTTATGGGCCAACTTAAAATTAGCTAAGGATGAGAGGAACTATTCATTCAAGTTTATGTGAGATCTATTTTCTCTTGTCCAAAAAAAAGGATTGCAAACAAAGAAAATTACTCTGAGGACACTATAATTTATTAGAGATTGAATTACGTGAGTTGGAGACCTTAGGCATAACTAGAGATAAGTATGCATTCACTTTGTTCCCTATGATAATTCGAAAAAAAGAATCCGTGAAAGTTCATGTTAATAATGTGCATTTCTAATAATAAAATATTTTATGTTGTATCCAGTTATACCAGGAATAATATTTATAAATAAAATCAGGAATTTTGTAGTCTTCTAATTGGTAATTTAATTCTAAAACACAATACTTTTCTAAGTACGATTACATGAAGTCAGTAATATTCACTAATTCTAATAAATTTAGTTTAGATAATTGACCAAGTGCAAAAAACTTTTATCAGTTTATATATTTATTCATTAAATCGAATAGTCAATAAATAAATACATAGTCATTAATCTAATAGTCAATAAATAAATACATAGTCATTAATCTAATAGTCAATATCTTCATATAAGCGATTTTTACTGATTCAAATGAAACCGCAAATAATTCTTTTGTGCTCATATTGTTAACTAATAGCATAAAATAACGTGAGATGCTTAGAAAAGCTTAGTCAAAAAGTAGCAATGTACTGCCAAAAGTCACCGATACAGTAACATTTCGTACTTCAAGCATTACGAAATAAATTAATACATGTTTGTAAACTGAAACAATAAATATATGGAAGGTAATATTCATTATTACTAATAATTATGGTTCAATATTACTGTCATTTTGATGGTCTAGTAATTAAATATCAGGGTTGGAGAGCCAAATTTTCCCTTATCGACGACTTTAAATAGTGGTTGGTAAAATTCTTTTTATGAAAATTTAACCCATACTTTGGTGAGCATCTAAGCCAAAACTTTTTACATTCCTAACAAGTTCGCTTGTAAAATAGGTTGAACTCCGACCCACCCCAGAGGGGTATACGGAGATAGGAATTTAAATTATTATTTTAAAAAATTACGCTAAAAACTAAAAATACAGTAAAATTTTGCCAAATGACAGTGGTGGTGATCAGTTAAAAGTGAATTGGGTATAATATAAAAAAAACACAACTACTTCCACTTAGTAGGAATAACATTTACCATGACGCAATGCTAAATTCTATGCCACTATCCACATAAATCAATTATTAATCAAAAATCGAATATTAATTACTTTTCTTTATAATGCAATAAAATCTGGCGAGCAGCTATTTAAACGATCAAACACTTCGTTTGTTTATTTGTGGCTTGAAGTTAGGCTCGCAGAAAATGCCGTTCATGGGTTAAATTTAGTAGGAATAACACAACCTGTGACGTAGGCTATAGTATACCCAATTAACTAAAAATTTTGACAGTTAAAAACATGTTTTAAAAGCAATGAAAGCTAAAAGCGCCGGTGTAAATGTCGAGAATTAAATGATTATAATAATAAGGAAACAAGAGATGAAAATCGAATTTCAAAACTAAAATCAATGAGAGCTAAAAGTCCTAAGTGTAAATGTCTAAAAGTAAAAGTCTGAATGGAAGTCGATGAAGTCTAAAATCACAAGTAGATGAAATTTCAAAATGTAAGGCTAAAAGTTGATCAGTATAAAATAACGATGACAAGTTCGATTGTTGGTTCATGACTGGGGTCAGTTGATTTGGGGCTAAAATCTCCTCGACGGTTTGTTTTATAATTTTAATCACAATTTTCCTGCAGGCCAACATTACAAAGAATTACTATATTGGCCTGCTGGTTATTATTAACTTATAGAAAATTCATTATTTTAAAATAAAGTAAATGCAAATTGCATTGCATTTATGTTTCTAAAAACATATTTTGATTTCAAAAATATAGTAATTGAAGAAAATAATTTCGTTCGCTGAGTAGTTAGGTGGCAGAAGAATTTTATAAATCATCTTGAACATTCGATTTCCTTAAAGTTTCATAATAATTAAAAAAAACGCATTTGTTCAGGTATAACTGAATAGTTTTAAAAAGTTTAAGTGAAGACGTGTAACGAACTTGCCCTTTGTATATCGTTCATATAAAATCTCTGCAATTTAGTTTTTTTGTATTTTCATCCCCTCAATGTAAGAATGAAAAAACCAAATTAAAGGTGTTTAATTACATTTTTACACTCTTACATCGATTGAGGGGATAAAAATGCGAAATACTAAACTACAAAGTTCATATATGAACGATATACAAAGAGTTTGTTGATTACTCACTTTCCAGAAGATCAGGAATATTTCCTATGAGACGTCTACCCCTGGATAAGCTATAGATCAAGTTATCCATATCTCATCCACGTAAAAAAAATATGGTGTATGTCTGATGGACGGCTTTTAGACTTCTACTGGATCTTCGCTGAATCATATATGAATATCTTGTGGTTGCGCATCTGGCGACCGCATGGATCTTCGTAGATCTTTGCGATGACGTCTAGTGGACATTCACAGGATTATTTTGTGCTATACGGGCAACAACGACAACACGCCAATATGGTAGGTCTTTCTTCTTGACTAGTAAAATGTAATTCGGAGTTAGTCAGCAAGCCAAATTTTCACCAAAATCAAGGTACCCGGTTTTACCCCACTCTTCCCTAAAGCTTGCTATCTAGGGAAAATACAGTCGAAACAATACTAGAGGTATAAAAAATCGTATTATTAAACCTTCTGCTTAGCTTTGTTGCCGTTGTTGTCTTTTCCAAGTAGTGCAGAGGAATAAAATAGCACCGAAGGTTTCCAAAATAGTCCTGGCAATGTCAAAGACCATTGGCGAATAAAGCAGTTGATAGTCTGTGGGATTTGGGTCTATGTTGCAGAGTTTAGACAGTGTAGAAGGACAATAAAAATATGAACTATGATAGTGCAATATCGGAATCTCGTTAGCTTTGATAGTGCATAATAATAATTGATAAACTTGGTCATACATTGTTAGATATAATATTTAGGCGTGTTAAAACAAAATGTCATTCATATTTGATACAACCCTAACATGGTACATAATAGTGCTAAAATTCTGGTTCTAAAATTCTGTTCTCAAGATAGTATGTACTAATTCCCCGTGTCTTCATCTAGGTGCTTCAGGTATGCGAGTTTCTACTGATGCGGACATTCATAGGATCTGTCGCCTTAGGTCTATGCGAGAAACACATAATGGATGCGGCAAATCAAGAGATGGATATGCTACTTCAAAAATTTTTCAATGAGTTGGGAGAGTCTGCATCGCCCAATCTTCAAGTGTATTTGGGAATGCCATCTGTATCAAGAATCGTTCAGTGGATTACGGATTTGAAACAGCAGCTATGCTCTGTAATTAACTCAGTAAATAGAGTTTGTCACTTGTAAGTTTCGCAATGTTATATCTAATGTATTTTAATTTTTAATTTACTTAAAGAGACTTTTTTCATTCAAAATAATAATTTTTCTTTGAGTTTAAAATACAATTGAAAGGCAGAGTTGATAAAGATTAAAAACACTATTGAATTTGGGTAAATTTGTTTCAAGGTTTTTAGGATGGGTAAAGAAATAAAGATTATGCCTAATTTTTATTTCCTATACTTTTTTAAATTGACGAAATCTATTATTCCTGTCCACTCATTTAAAGACTTTTTAATATTATAGTTCGTTCACCAGGAGTTGGCACTTGGCTCCGTCTTCATCACGCGTTATCCGATGATGCTATTTTCGGGAGACGGATGTAAACAACAAGGTTGCTATTTGGCGATCTTAAAACAAAATATTTATTTCGCAATCTTTAGGTGCATTTTTTTAACATTAAATATTTTATAAATTTATATTCAAAAATTGTCGTTAAGGAACTTCATTCACTGAGACTTTTCTTAATTTAATTTTTTTTCAAAAATGTTGCTTAAAACCTTCAGACGTTAAGCTCTTCAATTCTGCCGTATAAATTTGGTTTTTCTGATTCTAACTATATTTTAATAATTTTATAAGCTTAAAAATATTTTTTCATGAAGCTTTTACCCCGAAAAATTTAGTTATAATATCTTAATTTCATTTTTAAAGTTAATTTTATAATTATAGATTCATTGGGAGGAAATATGTAGAAGCCATAAAAATCAAAAACCAAAAGCTTGTTGACAAATTTACCGAGTAAGTAACTTAAGTTTTATATTTTCTATCTATATTTAAAACAAAGTGTATTTATTTAGTTTTACTAGGCAGCTGCTCCCCCTGCTCGCCAACCCCAGAACTGCGCAGTTCTTTTCGCATCGCTTTTCTAGCCCATTTTGCCTCAGTCCACTTATTCAATACTCAAGAATAATATAAATAATTGGAGGCTTTACCCTGCTCGCTATCGCTTACTAAAAGTTCTGTAATATTCGTTCAAAAGAAATGAATGCTATCAGGATTTAATTGCTAAAGTTTTCAGTTTTCTTTGTTTTTATTTTGTTTTGCAGCTCTTTAATATAAGAAACGTTCTAAATCTTGAAACTTTCTGATTAAAGTTCTAATAACTCGGTTCAAAATCCATGACAAAAAAAATTTCTAGTCGAAGAGTGATATTATGTAAACTTTATAGTATGTAATCATACTATCTAGTTTATCCTCATCTAGTTTATCTAGTTTACTAAATCTATCCAGATTTAATTGCTAAAGTTTTCAGTTTTCTTTGTTTTTATTTTGTTTTGCAGCTCTTTAATATAAGAAACGTTCTAAATCTTGAAACTTTCTGATTAAAGTTCTAATAACTCGGTTCAAAATCCATGACAAAAAAAAATTTCTAGTCGAAGAGTGATATTATGTAAACTTTATAGTATGTAATCATACTATCTAGTTTATCCTCATCTAGTTTATTAAATCTATCAGGATTTAATTGCTAAAGTTTTCAGTTTTCTTTGTTTTTATTTTGTTTCGCATCTCTGTAATATAAGAAACGTTCTAAATCTTGAAACTTTCTGATTAAAGTTCTAATAACTCGGTTCAAAATCCATGACGAAAAAAAAAAAAAAAAAGAAAGAAAATTCTAGGGGAAGAGTAATATTATGTAAACATACTAGTATGTAATAATACTAGTACGTAATCCTACTATCTAGTTAAAAACGTGATGGACTAAACTAATGTTAATTAAACTTAAATAAATTTTATGCAAATAAAGCAAAACATATACAATACTCAGAAAGAAAACTGAAGAACCAACATGCACAATTCGAGAAATATTTTCCAAACTAAATCTTAACAGCGCTTTGTAGTAATTTTTTTTGCATGTAAATCCTTAAAACATAACCTTTTTTCAAATCTTTTCTCCTAAATAAGATGAAAGCAAATAATAGTTTATGGCAAATATCTAAGATTTAATTAGTTTTTAAATATTTCAGATATTCAGAACAGAAGTTTGAAGAATGGTCTGCGAACATACCTCAGTTACTCCAGGAGAAACTTCATCAGCCATTGATTTCTCGAGAAAAGGAAGAAATTGATGTCAATTTTGACGTACAGGTATGTTTCAAAATTATAGAACTGGCTAAAATATGCGTGTAAGATCAGCACAGGCAAGTTTCTAAATTGTAGAAGTAATAATTATGTGTATAAAAATAGGTAAGATGTGTGTATGTTGAATAAATAATGATTTAATCATTCTACATTTACAAAAAGAAAGAATGATCGAATCGTTGCATTCAATTGTCAATGATAAATTTCTCTCTATAATGCAAATTCGAAAGCGCGAACTGGATTGTGTGTTGTTCGATGACTTAGCCTTTTCATTTGTTTTGCAGCGTAAAAATTGCAACACTTCGAATTTAAATTTAAGTAAAATTTGTGGAATAATTATCTAGAAATCTAATCTTAAAATGCGAGAATTTTTTTTGAATTTATTAGCTCAGAAACTATACGATTGATGCCGTTCAAATTTTGTCAATTAAAATAACATAATCTAAAATTATGCAAAAATTTTATATTTTAATATTCAAAGTTTTTTTCCGAATATTATTAAATAAAATTATAAAAAATAATTGAGTATTTTTTTTTACATGAAATTTACACTTTTGGATAAATGGATTTAAAAATTGGGTTTCAAAGATTTTCTATTCGCTTAAAAAGTTCTCGAGCCAATTTTTTGGGTTTACGATTACTAATGTTCAACTCGGTAGCCTTATAATTTTGAACCCAATTGAGAAGACAAGGGAACTCCCTGATCAAGTATTGGGAGAAATTTGCCATCGCGGAGGACTTTTTGGGGAAACTAACCTGCATTTTCGACACATGGAGAGGAAAACCATGGAGACTTCCTACGGTTAGCCTTACGGCAAGGGGATTCGGATCTATGATCCGTCTGCCACTGAGGATAATTTACGTCAGCAGTGTGGTCAGTGTGAGCCGGGTGGAGAATTCGTATCGATCAGCCATTGCTGGGATGCAAACCCGGTTCACCTCATTGGAAAGGCGAACGCTCTATCTCCTGAGCCACCACGGCTCTCCTTATTTTAATATTATAATTATAATCGTCGTTGAACAGCCGACCCAATTTTTGGGTTTGCGACTACTAATGTTCATCCCCGTTGCCTTGTAATTTTGAACCAATCCAGTAGACAAGGAGACTCCTGGATCAGTACACCCAGAGGTATGATTTGTTATGGGGACATAGAGGACTTTGTGACTCGACAGATTTAACGTGCATCAGTCACCATATACTACACTGCGTGTCTTCGGCCTGCGGGGATCGAATCTGCGACCTCTTAGACATGGGCCCAGTGCCCTACCAACCAGGCTATCCCGGCACTACTTATTTTGATAGTCTAGAATCAAAATCCAGTTTAAAAAAAGCATATTTATTCAGAAAAAATACTTTTTATATCTTATGTCGTAACTTAATAAGTAGCACTCATTTATTAGCATATTTGCGATCAACTCTTTGAACCATCAAGATTGGTTTTGAGTACGTTAAAATTCTATCATTAACACAAAAGTTTTCAGGTGATTTCATTTTTTTTGGCTCATTGTACTCACATTAGTTAGTTGCATTTTTTTATATTGTAAATAAACTTTTTCAGTTGGAGTTAGTTATAAAAGAAGTGAAACACCTCTTGCGACTGAAGGATGAAAGTTACATTCCCCAAGAAGCATTGACTTTTTACCACAAACGCGACACATTAGCCGAACAGAAAGTAGTTCTGAAATCAGTAGTGGATCGTTACAATGAATTAAAAAAAGATCTTTTGGAAGTGGAGCAACCATTAATGCTGCCCATGTTACGAAAGATGGATAAAACGTTAGAAGCTGGAGAAACATCCATCATATGGAGCGGATCTGGTAAGTAAATTTGCTTATGTACTTCCACAAGCTATTCCCATAAGTATGCTAATTTTATGTATGGAAGGATGCCATTGACACCTTCGAATTTTTGATGTTAAGGTAGAATAGAATTATTGAAATTAAATAAGAATAAATAATACAGCAATTAAAATCGGCTTATTAAATAAGTATATATATATAAGATTTTTTTAAAAGAAAAGAAAAAAACTACCAAAAATGATTAAAAATGTTTTAAAAATTCTTGAAATTTAAAAGAAAATTTAATGACAAAATGACGAAAAGTTATAATCTAGTTGTCAGCTTACACGTTTTTATCCACAAATTAGAGTCTTTTCTAACATTGTATTAATATAGCCAAAGCAAAATATATTAATACAATACGATGAAATGAACAAAAAAAAAATCAATGCGAAAATAAAACATATCAAGCTCTCTAATTTTCTGATATAATCGTGTGATGACGACGAGAATATATCTTTCCGTTATTTTGTTTTCTGACTGTTTGACTTCCTTTTTTTTGTAAGAAATTTAAAAAAAAAAATTTGTTGCTTTATTTTGGTAGTTTTAGGTCTTTCTCCTTTAGAACAGTGTTTTTTCCTTTTAATTTCTTTTCTTGTTTTCTTTGTTTTTATGTTATTATATGGGTTCTATGTAATTGCTGTTTATGCGTAGTTTATGAAACTTCTTAATTTTCTTAGTAAATTTCTCTTTTCTTGTCTCTTTATAGTAATATATGTACTGGCCATTACTGTACTGGCCATACACTACTGGCCATTAAAATTGCTACACTAGGAAGGAATGCAAATAACAGAATGATATTTATTGGGCACTTACATTATAGTTGGAGGAACAAGTGATTCAATTTTCAGGATATTTGGATGTATAGATCCTGAGATCCTACTCAGAGCAGCCTTCCCTGGCAGCAATAACAACAATTATTCTCCTGGTCATCGAGTCGAACGGAGATTGGATAGCATGGACGGGTACAGCATTACATGGAGCTTCAACATTATGCCACAATTCATAGACCGTAGTTACGGACGAGTGGAGGCGTGCCAGTCGTTCGGCAACCATTGACAAGACGTTCGTAATTAGTGAGAGATCAGGAGAACGTGCAGGCCAAGGCAACAGGCTAACATGTTCTGTGTCAAGGAAGGTCAGGAAAATGCGGTCATGCATTGTCCTGCTGAAATGTAGCATTATGGACGCCTCGAAGATAAGGCAGAGCAACTGGCCGTAACACATCAGAAATGTAACGGCTGCTGTTCAAAGTGCCGGCAATGCAAACAAGAGGTGATCGAGACGTGTATCCAATGGCACCCCATCGCTTCAGGATCGAGACGTGTATCCATTACTCCAGGTGGTGGGCCAGTATGACGATGTCGAATGCAAGCTGCCAATGGGCGTTCTCCACAATGTCGCCAAACACGGATGCGGCCATCATGATGCTGTATATATACAGAACCTGGATTTGTCTGAAAAGACGACGGCATGAAATTCCTGAGTCCAGGTTCGTCGTTGGTCACACCAATGGAGGAGCTCCTGTCTGTGAAGCAGCGTCAAAGGTATCCGAAGCCATAGTCGCCGTACTGACAGTCCATGCTGCTGCAAACGTCTTTGAACTGTTCATGCAGACACTTGTCGTCTTGCAAATGACCTCATTTGTTGACTCAGGTTTCGTGACGTGGCTGAACGATCCCTTAAGGCTATGTGGATAACATGTCTGTCTTCTCGGCTGTAAGTGATGGGGGCGGAGCTGCTGAGATTCTGCACGGCATTCCATAAGACCGTCAAGAACCCATCGATTCCATATTCTGATAACAGTCATGGGATATCGACCAGCGCGAGCAGCAATACTTCGGTTGATAAACCACAATCCCGGAAGGCCACAATTCGACCTCGATCAAACTCAGACACGTGCTGACAGGCATTTGTCCTTCTTACACGAGGCATAACAAAAACTTTTTTACCCAAGAACAACGCTCAAATTCGGTTTCTGCCTAAGAAACTTACTGTCAAATTTCTTTTTATATACACATTGTAGGCATCACTAACGCCGCCTGCTCTGCATGAATGAGCTGATAAGCTAATCATTTACATACCACAACATGCTTTATCCGTCCTGCAAATTTCACGTTCGTGTTGTGTCGCCTTCTTGGTGTAGCAATTTTAATGGCCAGTAGTGTATATATATATATACATGCCCCTATGTTAAAAATTGATCTTCAGTGGGTAATGGTGTATTAATTTTTTTTAGCATGAGTTCGTGTTTAATAATCCCATCTTAGTTCATGGGTTCCAAAAAGCCGTAGAAATATCCTTCAATGGTGACTAATAAATGGGGATGGCCTACAATTTTTCACTCGAAAATTAAATTTAATAAGAAATATTTATAAAAAACTAATTTCAAGTCTAAAAGAATTACCTTATGAAGGTGTTGATTATGCTTAATTATTTTCATTCTTTTTTTTTTTCATTTGTAAGGGGTATCCGAGTATTTGAAGGAAATTGATGCAACATCTGAGGACATTCATCTGCAGATACAAACAGCTAAAAAGAATCTACGTGAAATACAAAACATTTGTTTTACGTGGAGCAGCGACGAACCTTTACTCTCTGAAAATATATTACCACTGGATTTGTCCACTTTGAAAACAGCTGGATCACTGGTAGAACAAAAACTTTACTCGAAACTAACCGATGATGGGCACCGTGTCAATTCGTTACTTGAAGTACGTAAAAGCATGATTTAAACTGTTGCAAAACTAATTATTTTAGATTATTTAAGAAAAAAGCTTTTTGGATTAAAGAAGATTGAAAAACTGTCAGAAAAATTTTGTTATTGTGAACTGGTAACAGATAATTCTCGAATCACATTTTTATAATTATATTTATACTCACTTAAAATGGCATTAAATTATCTGGTAAAATGCCAAAAAATATTCTACATATTCGTCGTATTTAAAAAAGAAGTTGAAGATTCATTAAGTTTTAAACAAGCAAGAAATTATTTAAATCTGTGGAAAATTCTTAAGGAAAAGTGTTCTTAAATTACTTTTGCTAAAATGTTTAACGAATGAGAATTCATTGATTAATTATTAAATGAACTAACCTCATATTTTTTTCACAATGCGAATAGTACTTGAAAATAATTTGTGCGAAATATATGTCAAAAAAATAATTTTTCTGATCTCATGATGCGATGTTTTTGGAGCCGACCTTAAAAATTAATTATGACCTCGTGATCAAGCATTTTAATGAGCAAAAAAACAAGTTTTTTGAAGAAAAAAAATGAAAAGCTCATAACAAAACACTGATATCAGCTACAGTACCTATTATTTTCAAATTTAACAGAAATTAATCTTTCTTACTTATAGACGATCATCCTTTAAGACTTTCTGGAAAAAAAGTATTTATTTTTTATAATTTTACTTGATGGGCTTGGTGCAAATATCAAGTAGGTTCAGAGTTACAAACTGATGGAGAAGTCTTGATGAAATTAGTGATGACAATAGTTTTATGTAGTTTTTATCGCGCTATTTAGCAAACAAGAGAAGCATTTACCTTTAGAAGAGTTAAATTTGCCCCTGCTTTTTTCACTAATTAAAATATCTATATTGTTGACACATAAAAATGTGCTATTTTTTTTTCTTTTTGGAGGGGGAAGCGGCGGGGAAAATTTGAACTCATCCGGTTTTCAAATAGACCTGAAAATAATCACTCCCTACCCGCCGTGTGGCGAATCAACGAAAAAAAGTGGCGACTTAAATTAAATAAGCGACCAGTCGTTTTTCCTAATCTCTTTTTATTTTTTTATTTTTTCTCTCTTTTTTTAAAATTTTTTATTGCGCTTCGAATTTTCTTGCGCAGTGAAGCCAAATCAGTATGTTTAACTACCTTTTTTGTCACATATTTATATTATCTTTCAAATAGAATTAACTTTGTATAGCCGTAGATTATTTCTAATATGAAATTTTTTTTTAAAAATATACATAATTTAATCGAAGCAAAAATTAAAAAGTTAATTAAATGAATAAAAGTGATTGAGTGAAATTAAATGAAAAAACTATTGACTGAACAGAGCCTGTCGGTCTTAATCACCGAACTATCAGTGACTACTAAGTTATTAGAGTCTACCGACTACTAAACGACTACTAACTACACTGGCTACTAACTGAAAATTTAAATTTTCAGGTCTAATTTCGCCCCAAGCTCCTCAATTGTCCTTTCCTTACATTCTTCAATTTTAGTATCTTAAACATACAAATTTTCTGAACATGCTGTAATAAACCTGTATATACCATAATATTCAATGTAGCTAATAAATAACAATGTTTTTACAGCAAAACAGAGATCTGTTCAAAATCAGCTGTGATCAAGAGAAAGCCTGGGATGCTTATGTTATTTTTGTTGATAACATGGTGAGAGAAAATCTGTTCTACTTGGTCAAAGGAAATCTATTCTTTCTCTTGCAAAACACAGAATCGGATGGTCAGACAATATTTCTGATCCATGTCCATCTCCACTCCAACTCTCAACTGGGGTTCAAACCGCCATTAGACGGCCCGAAGGAGAAAACTATGCAAGGTTTGGTGGAAGGGATGGTAGAAAGTCTCTTCAATGTGACAAAGCTTGTCCCGAGAATCGATAAAACTCATGATTGTAAAGAATACTTGGTAAGTTCTGTATAGGTACCTATTGAAAATTTTGATTCGTCAGATTTTAAGTACTCTTATTTTTTTTTTCATCTTTAAACATTGGTTTGTGACCCCTGCATATTATTTTACTTCAATTTTGATACCGATTCCATCATAATATTTATTAAGTTATCAGTTTATGAACACCATGTATATTTTCAGAAAATTAGCTAAAAAAACGTAAAAATCACTCAGCTTGGGTATTTTTATAGATGGAGATCATATGTGTTTCTCTCTTATATTTCAAAATAATTCATTGCAGTATTTTAGAAAATCGCACTCCATCATCTGGTATGAATAGTACGATTATTCTTTTTTGTAAAGAGTCGTAAATTTTATTTTCCCTTTCCATATTTTGTTTCTTTCTAAATGTTAGCGGCAATACAGCCCACCATACTATCTAGCTCAGTGGTTTACAAATCGTGTTCCATTGAACCTTAAGGCTTTGTGGATGAGTTAGCACTTTTATAAGTTTCTACTTTTATAATTAGACCTTTTACTAGTACTTTTACGCGAGTTGGTACTTTTTATAGCCAGTGATAAGTTTTGAAACCAATTCATAATTCATTTAATCTTTCGATTGCCATTATGATATTATTTCAAGTAAAATTCCAAAGAAATAGATATGGTATTTTTTTAAAAGAAAATATATTTTAATAGCAATATATTGAGCAAATTATGAAAAGAAACATTTATAAAATATTGCATGAGTATTTCCCTTTATGCTTTTCAAATCAAAATAAAATAACTAAATTCTTTAATAAAGCAATATGATGTTTCCCCTAATAACTATTTTCAACGCAGTTCCTTTAAGTTTTCATTTCGAGCCATAATTTGCCTTATTTNGACAAGTATATATATATATATATATATAGCTCGAGAAGGACTGTATATTTGACAGTTGGACATAAAGCATAATGTATGATGCATAATAACAAAACTTTTAAAAATCTTCATGCCTCTAGTTAAATATTTAAAAATGGTCTTTCATGGGTTATAACGTTCACAATTACCTTAATAATCTTTATTTATAAAGTCGAGGCTCCGCCGAAAGATGATTGATTATTTAGGGTTCCGTAGCCGAAACATTTGTGAACCGCTGATCCAGCTTATCATTTTTCATATTATGTCCTTTCATCTATAATTATATTTCGCTTATAATACTTTGTACTACGTAAACTGTTTGACTTTTACTTTAGACTGAGCTGGAGAGTTTGCAGGATCTTCAAGATATTCGAGATGAACTGAAAGAGAGGTTGTCAGCATCTACTCGAGATGCCGAAGAAGTCCTTCTAGATGTCCATTCTTATTCATACCTATGGAAGGAAGAACCAGAATCTGCTATCAAATCTCTCACTTCCAACCCTGAAGATGCACTCAATAACGCATCACAGGTTATCGAGCAGGTAAACTAATTTTTAATCTTCCAATTAAACAAGTAATTAAACGAATTTGTGTATAAAATAATGAATGGAGCATTTTACAAACAATAATTAAGCCATATTTTATTCGCAGATTCGAAACTGTGATGCTCTGAGTACGCAAATTAAGGAGAACATCAAACCTTATCGAATGGTGAGAGAATGGCTCAGAGTGGACCAAACCAGTTTTAAGGAATATCTTTTGACTTCCGTCAATAACTGGCGTAATCGTTTCCAAGAGCTTGTTTTAGAGAGTGTTTACAGCTGTCTTATGGATTTGGACAGATTCTGTACTCTAACTGAAGAGGAATTAAGAAATGAGTCTAAACTCTCCACAACAACTGATCAAATGGATGCCACCTCCCTGCTGAAGATCATTACTCGCATTCAAGCTGTTCAGGACAGAAAAACCACTACTGATGATATGTTTGGATCATTGAGCTCTGTCGTTAGATTCTTGAAAACGGAATGCAACATTAGTTTAGACGTTAACATTCAAGCTCTTCAACAGGTCTCTTTATTCGTATCTTATTTTTTTCTTCTTAAAATTATAAAATCAACAAAATAGTTGAGTTACATTATAGTTCTAACTAAATGCAGTGTAAGCATAATATCAGTGGTCATGCCGGCTTTACACAGCAAACAAATGGATCTTCGTAATTTGAATTGGAAGTATTGTACATTATTTAAATCTGCAAGATTTACATTTGTGTTGAATTGGTTCTTACTAACCTGACGTGAAGTATTTCCGGCCCCCGAAATCTCTTAGAGGACGTCCTGGCCATGTTAAAAGCGTACAGTAAGGAGAGATATGCGAGCTTCGAAAGGTTGCTTAATAACTAATGGCTAAATAATAACAGTCTGTACTCGATCCTCATCGATTCCTGGAGGCTATTTTGGCACAAAAACCCACGACCCAATGACACGAAGCAGTGGGAATTGAGCCCCAATGGTTGAACTTCACACCTTTAATAGGTTCTTAGTCCTATTTGTCTTAGTTTGAGTCCTTGGTATTGAGAGAGCCGAAAGCGCGGAGTCTAGTTCGACAAGTAAGAGTTTCCACTGACGTTCTTGATCGTACAAAATCGTATCTCAGCATCGGTGATTTCACCAGCGATTGCCTCTATTACTTGAACGGTGATATAAGGTGGCATCACTTTGCAAGTCTCAATCACTACAAAGTACTGCTTCTGGTATCACTTTGCAAGGGAACAAAGCAAGTCTCGGTAACTATCTCGTCACGTGATATTGACGTCAATATCACAGAGTTTTGGGAAACGCTTTCGTGTCAGCAAATCTAGCTCATTTTTGAATTGTTTCTAGCGACTACTCATATACATGTGGTAACTAGATTCCATTGCTCTCACCTTAATTGAAGCTGTTGCAGTGACAATTTTTTTAACGGTCAGGATTACAACTTTTTACATATATTTTTTATGTGATATTAACGCAAAAAATTCATTCTTCTTCAAGACGTCAGTTTAAAAGGTTTGCTTACAGTGTGCAAATTAAAAAGATATAATTTTAAATGACTTTCCTTCTAATGATCGGATCTTCACAAACTAAGTGCCAATCTTAATTGCTCAATAGGGTAATTTCAAATACGTAAATTAATTCATGCTAACTATTAATTCGCTGAACAAGCATGCCTTTATTTTCAACAAATTTAAATTTTTGATTATCAATATATGAAAGCCGCAAACTAGAAAACAAGATCCCAATAGTTATGGCAGGACAGCGGACGACAATTTGGGTCCCTTAATGCCAAATCCCTTTTATGCATATTTAACTACAGCCCAGGAGTTCTAAAATGAATCAAACTTTTTTGCACACGTTTATAAAATTCATTTATTCAAGGATGATTCCGTGTAAAACATAATTTTCAATGTGGTTTTATTATTTTGTTTAGCAAAGGTTAAAAAAAATTTCAAATTGTAAGGTGTATTTACGTACTAAATATTTTAAGCAAAATCAGTTAAATAATTTTTGAGTTATCAAAGGCACTTTTTTAAAATTCTGATTTTTTACAAATTATTCGACCGATATCATATAAATTTCGTGTTTTGCCATTTGAAATTATGTAGTTAAAAATAATGCAAAAATTTGTATACTTCACATTTCAAGATTTGTTTTGTCTAATTTTATTCATTAAAAATGAGTTTTTCTATGGAATTTTCAATGGAAAAATAAATTTATAATTGCGTTCAAAGAGCTTTTGATTCGCTTAAAAAGCTCTCGAATTATGGCATAATACGCAAAAAGTGAAAAATTTACACGGAAGGGCTCACAATTTCAACCGCTTTCTTACCAAAACTAATGAACTATATTTTTCAGATTGTGAGTCTCCCCCGTCTCATGTTTTGTAGGTCAAGTATCCGATTCCGTCGAAACAAAGAGAAAGCATGTTCTTATATCTCATTTCGTAACTTAAAAATTCGTCTGCACTAATTAATTAACACATTTTAAGCTGCCGTACATCCTCGGTTTCTTCGCAGGCTGATCAGAACGGTCACCTACAAGCTCACCCATCGTTGCTTGTGATGGTTGACTTCGGTGAATAGTAATAAAGAGAAGATAACATCAGATGATTGTAAAAAATCTTATCCGATTTATTAGTCCGATTAAAAAATTGTTAAAAAAGATTCATTATCTGTTGAACAAATGTACAATCACCTAAATAAAATAATGGCTAAAATCGAAAAAGAAATGATTTCATTTTGATTTCCTTCTGAAAATCAAACTTTAGAAACAGCAAATAAATGTTTAATGTCAAATTGTTATTGATTAAATATGAATTATTATTGATTAAATAACACATAATTTAATCTCAATTAATTCGATGTAAATTGTTAAAATGTAACTTAATTATTTCAGAATCTTCCTGAACGCTGGAAGCAAGCAAAGAAATTATCCGAAACCTGGCGTCAACAGATTGCAACTCCCATGGCAAAAGAGGCATCGACTGTACGAGTTCAAGTTGCCGCCTTCAGCACTCGACAAATACAATTTCGCGAAGAGTTTCGGAAGTCTCCAGCCTTTTGTCGGGACTGTCCATTTCCTGTGGAAAGCATGCTTCAGAAGCTGGAAGACAACATTCGAGTTCTACAGACAGAAGTTGTTGAGTTAACGAAGTCTGGAAAATTATTTGAGGTGGGATGATTTGTATTTTTTGAAAATTGTTACATCTAAGAACAAGAATGGAATCGAAAACATTTATTCAAGGTTTTAAATATTACAGAGGCAGGATAAGAATTTTAAAAGAAAATGCTTGCCTGGGTATCATGTTGCTCAGAACTTTCAAAATCGGCATCGGTATTAGCAAATTATTCATTTAAATATTATTTTCCTATACATAAAAACATTTTCTTGGCCGCACCTAGAACTTTTTTAAATTTCAATTATTATGCATTTTTTTAAATTAAAGCTCGAAGTTAGGAAATATTTTGAACTTTTTGTAAAAGTTTATAAATTTGTATTAGCTAGTCTGAGGAATCTTGGGTTTGCATTTATATATACATCGAAGCATTATGACCACCCTCCATCTATAACAATGTGCTCGCCCAGGTTTTCATGGTTTCTCGCCCAGGAACAATGTTTTCATGGGGCACATTAGGACCCATAATCCTCCTAGAACAATCCCTGACGTCTGTAAGCTACTTGAACATAGTTGCAGACCAGGTTCACCCATTCAGGGCAACAGTTTTCCCTGCGGGGGATGGGGTTTACCAACAGGATAATGCACCATGTCATAAGGGTCGAATCGTCATGGATTGGTTCGAGGAACATTCCAGTGACTTTCAAGTCATGTCTTGGCCCCCAAATTCACCTGACCTTAATCCAATAGAGCATTTGTGGTCCTACTTGGAAAACCAAATTCGTGCTGCCACGCTACCCCCTCGCAATGTGAGGGAATTGCAGGACCAGTTGGTGAGCGCTTGGTACCAGATACCTCAGACTACCTATCAGCACCTTGTGGAATCAATGCCACGGCGGGTGCTAGCAGTTTTGAGGGCTAAAGGTGGTCCTACATGTTATTAACAGGGTGATCATAATGTAATGGCTCTTCGGTGTATGTGTGTGTTACTGTGAATGACCGAAATTGGTAGTTGTTGACTACCACTGATAAATATTGACAATCACATAGTCGCTTTAGTAAATGTCCAAAATATATGCTAGGTCTATTTAAGTGCCACTGACCGGTATATATTTGCCCGGTATGCCTTACATCAATGCTTTTTTCTAAGCTCAACTGCCACTGACCGTGCATTCAACCGGTACTCCGAACATTGACGTTTCTCCTAATCTATCCTAGGAAGATATTAAAATATCGTATAAGTACAATAATATCAACAAATACATTATCATCAAGTCAGATATAACTAATATTTTGGACATTTACCAAAGCAACTATGTGATTGTTGACATTCACTGGTACTTAGTTTTGCGAGCATGTAAATCTACCCATCTACGACAATCACTACAATGTATTTAGTTTCGATGTAGCAGCTTAATAAAGAAGGCAAAACAGTGATTCGGTGAATCAGATAATGGAAAAAATGGATAAATCAGTTTATAAATAATGAAATTAAAAATTTATGAGGATTACTCAAATGAAAGTGGATATGGGTGTAGCGTCAAAAACATATTTGCTATAGTAGAACCGTCTTTCTAGGTTGGAACAAAAAGTAGAAGATATGCATTTCAGATTGCATTCATTTAAAGTGGATATAAAGTTGCACTAAAGATGGAGGAAATCAGAAAAGAACAGCGTGCAATGGTAAGACTTTCAATGCTTGAAGGTTTGCGTGCAGCATACATTCATTTTTAAAATGGAGGCTATTTATATCCTATCTAAGGATAAATAGCCCGAAACATTGAAAAAATGGAGTAAAAGTTGTTGTAAAAAGGTATAAGTATCGGATATAGCAAAACCAGTTTAATCAACACCGTTATTTCCAATGGATATCTTTAGCCGTTGTTGATTAAATAATGAAAGGCGATCTTAACATATTGCATGCGGACAACGTTTCCAAAAAATTTTTTTACAGCTGTTATACTTTTAAACTTTCTTTAAAAAAAGTGGTAGGCAAGATTTTTTAAAAATTGGAGAAAACTTGTCACTATAGCTGCAACTTCAATTTAAAAAATCACTATGAGGAACAATTTTAAGTACTGATTAAATATATACTGAATCATTTATGTTTGTAGTAATCACGAATGGATAATTTCTTCGAAAAACGGAACAAAAACGAAGTAGTTTTGCTACCACTTTTTAATCTTTTGTACGGATCACAGAAATTTCGAAAATGCATTTTTACATGACCCGTTTGAAATGCGTTTAACGTTATGACTTGTTATATTTGTGTAGCACTCTGAGCGAAGGCACGATGCAATCACCTTCCGCATCTAAAAATCATACACTATGCGTTTTTCTATTCTATTTTAGACTCATTTTTAGTGCGATTTTACATTTGTTAAAAATGCTCTCGTGGGAAATGGTTCTGCGTTGCATGAGAGAACTTCAGTTCATTCTTTCTACCTTTTTTTTTAATATAACCTTTAGTGTTGTAATTATTGTTATCGCTACTGTATTTCTGAAAGCTTTCACACTTATCGCCACTTTCCATTTGAACAATTCTTATATACATCTTAATACGGCCTTCGACACCCACAATTAAAAAAAAAATTTCATAATTTAGGTACATGTACCGGAGTTCAGCCAGCTGAAGCAGTGCGAAAATGAATTGGCGTTGCTCCGTGAACTCTGGAAGTATATAGGGGATGTGAAGAAGCAACTGACTGAGTGGGAAAACACTCCTTGGACGAGAGTAGATTTAGACGCATTGGAGATGCAGTGTAAAGTGTACATGAGGGACATTAAACTAATGGACAAGGAAATGAGATCTTGGGATAATTTCATTTGGCTCCAAGAGACCATAAAGAATATTCTTGTGGCCCTTGGTGCTATTCATCAACTAAGAAATCCGGCCATTAAAGAGCGTCACTGGACGAGACTTTCTGCAGCAACTCAGGTAATTTCTTTTCTTTTTTTTTAAATTTCAACTTTTACTGGAAGTGAAAGTAAACTAGTCGGTAATAACGATGTTTACATAAAGATTTTGTTGTTGTTGTTACTTATCCTCTCTGTCTGACGGAGTCAGACAAGATCCACGAGTTCGTTGACTGGAAGGAAGTCGAAGACTAGGAGAGGATTGCTATAGAGATCCTCTTTAGAGAGCCCCATGCAATCCAAGAAGTGCTCAGGAGAAACCTGATGAATTTGGCACTTGGTGCAGGTGACGAGGATTTTCCTGCCCTCGTTGAAAGTGAGGCACTTGATGTCACCGCTAGCAAGCCTTGATAGAACAGTCCGGGTGCGTCTGTCACACTGGAGGTCAAGGGACAAACCCGGTTTTGATCCCTTGTACCAATTTCGGGTTGAGGATTTTTTCCACTCCTTCGAGATTTTTGATTTTCCCAGAGAGTATAACTCCAAAAAAGTAAGTGTGGAAGAGGGAGTTGTTATAATCCTGCAACTCTCCTTACAAGAATATCGGCCATTTCATTCCCGTGGAAATTCACATAGGAAGGTACCCATTGCAACTAAACATCATGATTAAGTGAAATGAGCTTTAATTTAAGCAGGATAGAGGTGCTGATCCTGTCAGCCACAAGAGGCCAATTACTAAGGTGGTGGAGCTACGGCTGTCAGACAAGATCCATAGGTCACCATAATCTTCTTCGGATAGAATAGCTTCTAGTCCCAGGTCCTTAAAAAGCTTTAGCTTTCTGATGTTTTTTATTTTATTTATTTTTTGTTTTTGTTTTTACATTCAACATGCTTTTTCATTTGACACTTCAATTAAGAAAAATCTGGAGGATGATTGATAAAGAATTCAAGATTATAAGTGGCATTAGAAATCTATTTTAAATATAAGTTTCTTTCAGGTTTCATTGTCAGTCACTGATCTGACACCGTTAGGAGAATTGCTTTCTCTGGAACTCCACCGTTTCGAAGAAGTAGTGGAAGGAATAGTTGAGAGGGCATCCAAAGAGTTGGCTACTGAAAGAATCCTAGCAGAACTCGAGAGCACATGGTCGGAGATCGTTTTCGAACGCTCAACTCAGCAGAGGACGGGACACCATGTTCTTCACATTTCAGATGTTCTTATTGCAACACTCGAAGACAATCAGGTATGAAAGCAATTATTTTTAGGAATTAGTCAAAATACTCTAAAAGTGATTTAGAAAAAATATGCAAAAAAAAAAAACTCCAATTTTAAACTTGCCTATTTGCTAATATAAGTTTTCGAACGGAAAAGAAGTATTTTACTAGTTTTTGATGCTAAATGCATAATCATGAATTAAGTTGTCGAGCAAAACTTTGCTTTTTTCCCTCCATTTATTGATAAATGGTTGTCCAATGACTGAGTGGTAATGTTTTATGCTTCTGTGTCACAGATCCTGAGTTCGGACTGGGAAAATTGATTCAGTCTTTCATCTCGTCAGTGCGTCGATAAAATGAGTATCAAGTATGCTTGGGGACTAAATGCTAGGGATACCGTGTTTGTCAAACCACCCAAGCGGAGCATGTGCTACTGGTCCCCAGAGCCCAAGATCAAGAAAACTGGGATGGGCACAGTAGCCTTCCATGGGCTGCCGTGCCACTGAATTTAGTTTTAGATAAATGCACATTTTAAACAGCGATATTTATAACTAAAATTGCAACGTAGATCAGAAAATCGCGGAACATCTGGCATGCTTCAAATGGGATATTATCGCAGTGATGATAGGCTGTTGTTAGCGTTTTCTGTCGAGTACAATAAAGCGACGTTGAAGTGAACAGTGTCATTTTTACCATTTAAAATCATTTTTGCAAAAAGTAGCCAGCAGTCTTGGATTAAAATCAAAATAGCCATGGCGAAAACACATTGCAATGTTACCAAGAATTTTCTGAAGTCTGTGCGGAGAATGCGTAACCATATAGGATGATTACACAATTTGCCAAAGTTTTTAGTGCTGCTTGGACTGCGAATTTGCAAAGCACAGTTCGGCCATACATTTCTCATTGTCACTTTAACATCGTGAGTGGTATCTATTCAATAGACAATCAATTATCCGTTGAAGTTGGGTACAGTCCTGAAACAATGTCTATGTCTATCTATGATCCAAGTATCGTTCCAAAACTGACATCGGAGAAATGACACCTTGTTAACGGTATCATATGGCTTCCTGGCATATGGTACAATACATTTCTGAGTACAAACCATTGAAGGTACAGACTTACTTTATTGACAACTCTCGTATTTATTTTATCACTATGCTTAATACAGTCTTTTACTTTCAGTATCCAAAGAGCTTGATTCATTATGATTGATTATTGTAGGTTCAACTCCAGAATTTAATGACATCAAAGCATGTGGCCCATTTTCTCGATAACATAACTGAGTGGGTTAAGAAATTGTCTCAAGTAGAATCAGTGACTGGTATTTGGGTAGATGTCCAGAGAGCGTGGTCACAAATGGAGAGTATTTTCATGGGATCTGAAGACATCCGAGAACAACTGCCAGAAGACTGTGAGAGGTGATGTAAAATCATAATTTACGTTAAAAATTTCGTTCGGTACGTAGTAACTAACTTATATTGATCTCAATAACTCTTTGTTAGTCAGAGTTACGAAATCATGACTTCAATGTTTGAAGGCACGCATGAGTTAAATGCATGATTATTCAAGTTAAGACTATTTCGTAAAGATTCTGTTGTCTTTTTTTATGAATATTATGCTATTTTCATAACTGTTGAAAGTTTACAACAGTCATTCATGCTGTTAAATCAAGTCTAGCCTTTTAAGTCTAAAAGCACCTTGAAAATGCCGCCAAACATCAATATGAAGAAAAGCTACAACTTTTTTTAAAAAATGTAAAACGTTTTTTTTTTAAAAATTCGTTTTCGTTGTTGTAAATATTGAAAGGATTTTTTTTATATAAATAGTTATTCAACGATGTATTGTCTGGGTTTACAAAAATTTTCAAAAATTGACAACTGTTCTATAATTTAAAAAATTTTTGATCTAGAAGAAAAAAATCACGAAAAATTGGCAATTTTCAATAAAGTTTACTAGTTTTTTAAGTAATAAATTCATTTTGTTCGTTTTAAAGCATAAATATTTTTTACGGCAAACTGGAATTTATAGTTTAAAGTCATAACTTTCCCACAAGTAAAACTGAAACTTTTCTATATTTTTNTTTTTTCCGACGGTAGAGTATCAAAAAAATTTTAATTTTGATGTGAGGAGTGAGTGAGGTTTAAAGATATATTCTTTGCCTTACTTGATTCTTTACCTTAAATTTCTAATTACTCATCTATTTTAATGACTGGGTTCGTCATTTTTACTTCGTCTTACTCGAATCGCACAGCATAGTCTGATGATATAGATATTTACACTGTGCTCCATAATCACTGCCCTTAATGCACATTTTTAAAATTCTTATCAAAAAGGGGGTAAAAATATATGATAATGAGAGGCAATAAATAGTTTTTTAAGGAAGGAAATTAAGGAACATTGGCTAAAGAGAATAAAACAAAGCGAAAAAACTCACCTGGTTGTTGCACCAAATTTTTTTGCTGTTTTTAACCCAACATTTCTAATTTCCTCAGATATTGAAAACATTTTCCTCCTTAAACATTAATTTGCAATCGTCAGCGTGAATACTTTTTTACCATGTTTCTGGCACGAATCCTGAAAATGTATATATTAAGAGTGATAATTACAGTACACCCTGTATAACTTCACCCTGTAAGGTGTGTCGTAATAATAGAAATAACAATTTGTCTGTTAATAGAAATAACAATTTGTCTGTTAATAGAAATAACAATTTGTATGTTAGAAGACATCGTTATTAAATTACCTAATTATTGTAATGATAATTATATACTATTTAAGAACATACGTAATAACTATGCTTACTATACTAACTATATAACTATACATACTATACTAAATATATACATACTAAACTATACTTAACTCAAATTGCTAAAACGGCATCCTTTACATAAAACAATTTATTTGTTATTTGAAATAAAGACTGCCACTGTTACACGTTAAGAACTTGTATACTTTGTTGTTTGATATTGGTTGTGTTTTTATTCATTTAAGTGATAACATGGTGTTCTTTTATAATAATCTAATTTACGGAATTTACGTTTTTTGTATATTTAAATCGGTTGAAACATTTTCTTTTAGGTTTAAGTTAATTGATGCTTCCTTCAAACGATTGGTTGATATTCTCAGTGCTGAAACTGAAACAGTAGTATCGGTATCTGCTCGCCCTGAAGTTCACAATGATTTGGCTCATTTGCAAACAGAGTTAGCTCTTTGCGAAAAAGCGCTGGCGTCTTACTTAGAAACAAAAAGGAGAGTGTTCCCGAGATTTTACTTTGTGTCATCCGCTGATTTACTCGACATTTTATCCAATGGAACTCGACCACGCACAGTGAGTAATAATTTTCTTATGTATTTCAATTTAAAGCTTTCTTTTTCCACCATCAGCTATTAATCTCTGTAATGACATTTAATAGCTTGTATGCTGTGATCAGCTGATCAGTTGTTTTGTTTTGCTTAGACATGGACTATGAGAGAGTGTACTGAAAAGTTGTTGTAAGAAGAGATGAGACATAAAAATAGAATTTGGAACAGTATGGGAAAACAGTTCATAGAGAATAAGAACAAATAAAGGAATCTATAAGACTCTATGATTGTTACAAGGAATCAGATAGTGCCACGAAGATAAAGGATAAATAGAATCCAATGCCTACCTCATGTAGATTTAGATCTAGTGAATTTTATGGATTCCCCTGTGAATCTAGACCCAGTAGAAAACCTGGAAGTAGTTGGAGAGATCACGTGGAAGAAAAATTGAAGAGACTGAAAGTTATTAACTGGAAATAAGGAAATAACAACTCGTCGCGTGGAATGGTAAAAGCTCTTAAAGGGGGTTCCTCAAGGGTTATAGAACTAACGACGATGATGATAAATGAATGATCCTTCATAAACCTTTATTTCTCTCGTTTAAACGTTGATTACCCCTAGTGACGTCAAGAACTCGACCATATAGATCTATTTGATCCCCAGACATCGTGGAAGACCTAAAACAAAATAGAAAAATCAAGTCAAAGAAATATTAAAAAGACTGAGAGAACTGGAAGTAAAAAACAACTAATCGTGTGGAATTATGAAAGGGCTTTTAGGAGCTCAGGATTCATCAAGAACCGTCGAATTAACGATGATAATAAATGAATGATCCCTCATAGACCTTTATTTCTCTTTGATCACCCCTAGTGATGTCAAGGACTCGACCATATGGATCTAGAACCTGTAGATCTGTTTAATCCCCAGACATCGTGGAAGACCTAGAACAAAATAGAAAAATCAAGTCAAGGAAATATTTAAAAGACTGAGAGAACTGGAAACAAAAAGCAACTAATTGTGTGGAATTATGAAAGGGCTTGATTTAGCTTAGGGTTCATTAAGAACCGTCGAATTAACGATGATGATAAATTAACGATCCCTCATATGTCAATATTTTCTTCGCTTGGACATTGATTACCACGACCGAAGCTCTGATTGCATCAATTTTATCGAAGTATTTTAATGGAGATAATGTGGTCATCGATCTTGAAGAAACACACAGTAATTTTGCTTTTAGTTTTACTGAATATTTTATGACGCCTGTGTTTGCACTGAATACGTGAGATTTACTAACCTCGTAAATTAACCAAATACTAGTTTTTACCCTATGTTTTAATTTTAGATCATTCGTCATCTTCCGAAACTGTTTGATTCGGTGTCACAACTGGTGTTCGAAAGTGACGCAGACGAAAAAGCCATAGCTGTGATCAGCCGGGATGGGGAGCACTTGAAACTGAAGGAGCCCTGCTTGTGTACTGGAGCGGTTGAGACTTGGTTAGATCGTCTGTTGAATTGTATACGTTCCACTCTGAAAGAAGACCTGTCCTTAGCCATATCTTCCTACGAAGATGGCGGTAGAGAGTCGTGGATTTTTGAAAACATTGCTCAAGTGGCACTAACAGGCACACAAATTTGGTGGACAGCGGAAGTTAGCGCTGCTCTTCAACGAGTGCGACAAGGACATGAAACAGCCTTGAAGCAATACAATAAGAAACAAGTAAGTACTACAAACGAAGATTTAAAATTTTCTATTTTCTCTTTGGTGCCATAAATTTTTAGACTGATTTTGACTAGATACGCTAAACTGATTTCAAATCATAAATTTTCCTTTTATTCGCAGTATCTAAATAAAAAATTTCCAAATTATTTTGTAAAACATAAAAGTGTCGGAATCCTCAAATACGAAATTTATTTCGACTTCATTTTTTATGCTCATTTTGTAAATATAGAAAATATTTTCCTTTATCATATGGTTGCACTGAATCACCTTAAATAATTATTCATTTGCGAAAAGAGACGATGAATTTGTAAAAATTGAGTAAATAGAGAAAAAAAAATTTTTTTTTCTTTCTTCTTAAAATCAGTGTAATAAATCAGTGTAATCAAAAATATAGTCAAAATTAGTATAAAAATCCCAGGCATCAAACATATATTATTTTGTGGAACATTGAAAGTAGTATATTTTGCAATATAACAGTTAATCTCAAAAAGTAAAGTTGATAGAAATTTATTTATATTTCATTTTAAGAATGGAATATTTGGGGGCAGAAAGAGTGTTTATTGAAATATTTGTAAAATAATCTAAACTACTTTAGCTCCTTTGTATTACAGATGCAACAATTGCACCAATTGATAGATCTGCTATTAACAGATCTTAATCGAGAATCTCGCCAAAAAGTGATGACAATATGCACGATGGACGTTCACGCCAGAGATGTTGTATCTCGCCTTATTTCCCTCAGAGTGGAAAACGAGACGGATTTCGCCTGGCAATCACAGCTTCGACACAGATGGGAAGAAGACTGCACGGTGCACATCTGTGATGCCAGATTCGATTACTGCCACGAATATTTAGGAAATACTCCTCGTTTGGTTGTTACTCCTTTGACAGACAGGTATTATATATCTCAGTTTAGCCAGTTGTTATTTATTTATTATGAAACACACTTTTTTTTGCATAATTTTTTGAATTTGTGTCAAAACCTTACGAAAATTTCCGTCATGTAATCTGCGGCAGAATAATCGCCAATTCTTGACAAGTTCTGGGCAGCGTTTTAAAAAAACTGTAAAAAAGAAAAAAGAAGAAAAACATTGCAGGAGGAAGGAACCAACTTCTTGAAGGGTCTAACTCGCAGCCACCCCCGAGTATACTTCTACGTGTTTTTTTTTAAATTTATTATTTATTTTAATTTAAACTGCAATCCATTTGTAGCCATAGCGTTTGTAATAGGCACGACAGATCACGATACGGAAATATCCCCCAAAAGTATTCTAATTAAACATCGCAAATTTATATATAAAGAGGAAAAAAATGCTTGTGAAATTTAATTAATCACTACATTGTAAAAAAGAATTTCTTAAACTTGAGCTAAAATGTATCAAAATAGCTTCGAAAGAAATAAAGCTTAATTTGAAAACCCCGTGTACTAATAATTGAATATAGAGGCAGGCTCAAAATTGAAACAGCAGCTCTGAGAATCCATCTTTGCTTATATTAGGGACTAATAAGTAGAAATAGAATAGATAATAAATAAAATAAAAACGGAATATAATAAATAATAATAAATAGAAAAGTATTGATTACCGATCTGAAGATATTCTTTATTTGAAATCTGAGATGTTCTTTATTTGCGATCTGAAAATATTCTTTATTCCCGAAGTAAAATTGGATTGAAGGTGTGTGCAATAAACTTTTATCTAATTAGATTTTTCCCCCAAATATTTGATCATTCTAAACTAATAAAGTGTGAACTTCGTCATATATGAGAATAATGAGTCATTTTGACATGTTGTTTCACTTTTGAGATGATTCAGTTTTGAGCATGTCACTATACTCATCGGTTTTCAAATTTGACTTTTTATGTTTTGGAGCTATCTTGACAAAATTTAACTCAATTTTGATAAACACCTCTTTTACAGCGAACTGATTAAATCGAGCTTAAAATTTTTAACAAGGAAAAGTTGAAAGGTCTTATAAGAAGCATATTTACGTTTTATCAGATATTCAAACTGTTTTCGGTGCTTTACGTCTCCCCTTTCTCTTTAGTGATTCAACAGATTCTGATAGCAGTTTTGTTTCTTAAAGGACAATGATTCTAAAAGACATATTAAGTGTGGTAAATATATTAAGTATAGATTCTTACTTTCAGTTTTAGAGAGATACTGCATGATGCCACTAAATACAACGCATTGTTTGGAACGAAATTTTCTCGGATGCTTAAAATTATAATTTTGTTCAAATTAGCTTGTTAAAATTTGCTTAAGATAAAAAACTTTTTACGAATACGAAGTTGATTACTAATAGTATGTCAAACAAAACTATTTATAAGTATAAAAAAATAACTGTTCTAAGAAATAAATGCATCAAAAGCTTAAAATTATTAATCATAAAATTTCAGATGTTTCATCACTTTGACACAATCTCTAAAACTCATGATGGGTGGTGCTCCAACTGGTCCTGCTGGAACAGGCAAAACAGAGACTGTCAAGGACTTGGGCAGAGCTCTAGGTACTCTGGTGTATGTATTCAACTGCTCGGAGCAAATGGACTACAGGTCGTGTGCCAATATTTACAAAGGTCTCGCTCAAACAGGAGCTTGGGGTTGTTTTGATGAATTCAATCGTATATCGGTTGAAGTACTCTCCGTTGTCGCAGTGCAAGTAAGATCAAACATTCTTATATGAACTTTATATATACCATTGTTAATATATGCCATGTAAATTTGCTGCAATCGACCGGCCTGTGTAAGGGGTAGGGAACTGTCCTCGCATCAGAGAGATTCTGGGTTCGAATCCCGGGCAAGATATGGATGTTCTTTCCTTCTATGTTCTATCTGTCCTTACTGTGGGAGCAACGTTGGCCCACCTAATACGGTGCCCCTGTGAGAGAGGTCAACAAAATCGCCCTGTAGATGCCTGAATTGGTGGATGTTAACACAGGCGGGCATTAGAACAAAAAATTGCTGCAACCGAAGAGTTAAACTGAATTATAGTATCGTTTAATAAAGATTTAGGAAGAATAATTTAATTTGCAATATGTAATTGTTTAGATATAAAAATAGTAACAGATTTTAACGATATAATTCTCTAATATGCTCCATAACTTTTAAATATCAAGAAAATTTTTGTTTAAAAAATTGAAGAATCTAAATGATATTCAATAAATAATTTTTAAATGTGTATATATCAAACAAAAAAGGAGAAAAAGCTTTCAGGTTAAAGAAAAGAGTACTAGAAGGAGAGTTCAGCAGTCTCAGAACTCAGGAGCTACCAACAAGATTGATGTTAAAATCAATTTAGCAGATTGAGATCATAATCCGATGATACTCTAGCTAGATTTTGCAATTGTGCCTTTCATTAACTGCATATTTACCAATGAAATTTTTCTCTATGTGGTCCATTTTTTTAAACACATTTTCTGAATAAAACTCCAGATTTTATGGTCATCAAAAAACTCAAAAGGTGTTTAGATAAACCATTTATTATCATACAAGATTATGGTTATTATTTTTGATTGCATGATATTGATTCATGTTAAACAGAAACAGGGTGTAAATTAATACCCGAATAAGTGCATGATATTATGGATCGATCTTAAAAACAATATTCAGTAATTTAGTAATTTTATAACTCCTCGAATGATAGTGATAGTTAAAACACAATCACTTAGTTTAAAAATTCATGACATTGCAAAATTGCAAACTTTAGGATGTGTCCGATTTCAGGTGAAATGTGTGCAAGATGCCCTTCGAGGTAAAAAGCCCACTCTTTGTCTACTGGGAGACGAAATTCCACTGAAACCATCTTTAGGTATATTTATCACCATGAATCCCGGTTATGCAGGCAGAACAGAATTACCAGAAAATCTGAAAACCCTCTTCAGGTATTTTATCCTGCTCTAGCTAAAAAATCACTGCTGTTATTTTTTTTCATGATTTATTTTTAAAACTCAAATTTAAGCAAATAACAACTATCTCTCCTATTGCGTATACAGGCCTTGTGCAATGGTTGCACCGGACAGCCAATTGATATGTGAAATTATGCTGGTCGCCGAGGGTTTTGTGGAAGCGAGGAGCCTGGGACAGAAGTTCACTACATTGTACTCATTGTGCAAGCAGCTCCTTAGTAAGCAGGATCATTACGACTGGGGCCTAAGGGCTATAAAATCTGTATTGGTAGTTGCGGGATCTTTGAAACGATCATCTCCAGCGACACCGGAAGAGCACGTAAGAATTTATTCTGTTATAAAATTTACTGCAGCTTGCTTTAATCATAATACACTTTTATTGCGGTGCATCTGATTTAGTTTCCTTACATTAATGTGACATTTAAATGAGAAGAAAAAAATTGCTTTTTGAAGTTTATTTTTATTCTTCCGGTAAAACTCTGATTATTCTGCATCTGCACCTATGAGATCAGAAATAGGTTAGAAAATCAAAAGTGGTGGATAATATTGAATCGATTTTTTCCGACATCATTATTATATACGAGGAGCATCCAGAAAGTAAGTTTCCCTAATTTATAAAAAAAAAAGAACTCACACTTTGAGGAACATATTTATTGGCAACAAGTAGAGCAATGTTCCAGCTTTTTACGTTACATTTTCCTCAGTGCTTCACAGTAACGCTAGACGTCTGTCACACGCTGGTTCCATTCACGGGCGGCAGAGTTCTACGACAGAGAGATACAAAAGTTGATCCCACAATACGACAAGTGTCTCAATTCTGGTGGTGGCTATGTTGAAAAATTGCTGAAACACTGCTGTACTTGCTGCCCATAAATATGTTCCTGAAAGTGTGAGTTCTTTTTTTTTTATAAATTAGGGAAACTTACTTTCTGGATACACCTCGCGCATTTTTCAATCGTGCGAATATTAAACTTTGAGTAAAATAATTAAAAATACAAAGATCTTGTTATGAAATAAATTTATACTGCAACCTCTTGTTGTCGTCTCGTTTGTCAAAAGGCTACAAAAAAGCTGCTTTGTACTTTCTCTGAAAGTTTCATGTAATTTTTTTCCTAATTTTATTTAGCTAAAAAGTATATTGCTTGTCTAATTATGACTTTGACGTTTCATTATCATTAAAATGGTATGATGAGTTTGATTCCCGGTTTCACCAGCCACTTTTAGTTAAGTATTATAGGTATCAGAAAACGCTTAGTTTTAATTTGATATAAAGGCCTTTAATACATGTGGGAAAAATATTTTTTATTTTTATTAAAAGAAAAGAGTTTTAACTGAAATTTTTGTAGTATTTGTGCGCGTATAAGACTCATTTTTCAATATGAATTTATCCATTATTCTTGTTTATTTTCTATTTAAATTAGTAAACGTGCATCAAATAGTATGTGATTATAGCTTTGAAACATTTTTTAACAGATATTAATGCTGGCTTTAAGAGATTTTAACCTTCCAAAAATTGTGAGCGAAGATGTTGGTGTATTTATGGGTCTAATAGGTGATCTCTTTCCTGCTCTTGACATACCGAGAAGGAAGAATCCTGTTTTGGAGAAAGCGGTGAAAGAAGCTATTGCCGACCTCAAACTTCAACAGGAGGATAACTTTGTTTTGAAGGTTTGTTTGTCGCATCTTATGTGACTTTAACAATACCCATCAGCATTGATAATGTCTTAAGAACCGAAAACTTTATCGACTGTTCGTGTATCAATAATTAGTTGTGATTTCTGAACATTTTATTCTAATACCATAGCAAGGTTTTTTTGTATCCTTTTTATCTCAATTTCGGATGCATTTCCTTTTAAAATAAATATAAAAATATTCTGAATAGGATATCACATATTTCTTAGTCTACAACCGTTGTGCTTTCAGTTTATGACACTTATTATGATATTTTTGCACTTAATAATACGTAAAATAATAATTATTGAGTTCAGTCCAAGTAGCCCTTTGATCTCGAGTCCATATTTTGTTTCATTTTGTTCATTTTAATAATGAAGCAATTCGAAAACTGAATAAACTATTTTTTAAAAAAACTGAATAATGATTCAATAATTAAATTTTTTTGTGCTGGGAATTACTGTCTAAAGGAATGCGTATTACACTTTGGAGCACTTCGTCGAATCTGAAGGAGTTTACATGCTGTTCTTCAAAACAGTCTGTGCACTTTCAGGCAACATTTTATGCTTAGATGATTTGATTCATATTCAACCTGTAAAATATGCGACACATTAGTATTCGCAACATTTTGTACTAATTAAAATGATAATTTACCTTCTTAAGTTTCAAATATTGGCGTGCTTTTATATATAAAATGATTCGAAATCATTGCTCTTAGTATATATTATTGGACTTATCGCGAAAAGAAACTCAAACAAGCATGTAGAGTAGGAATCAAAAATCAATATTTAAGCCAAGAAAAATAAAAATAAAAAAACTATCGAGAATAGCATAACCTCCTTCATACTTCAGTCGTATCTCGTTAAGAAACCACTTGGACTTTTCCAGAAACTGTGGAATTCTTCTAGCTTGGTGTAATTCATTAATCTACGTTCATTAATTCACAAAGAGCCATTCACGTTGCATGCGAAAGAATCGCATACGAATTTGGAGATGCGAACAAGAACCTGAGAGGCAAGTTTTTCGTACGCAAATATTAATTTAGATTAATTAGCACCAATTAGACTCTCATTCGCATATCCAAATTTTTCGCATGTAGTGTGAATTGTTGCGCTAGGAGCGAGTTCAAATCTTTCATAGTTTTATTGATTTTAAGTAACCCTGATTTATGGTAAGTAAATAGTCCACATGAAAAACCTATTAACTACTTTTTCTGCTCCTGAAGGTAGGAAAACGAAGAAGAATGTGACAAAAAGCGATATTTTCTTTTATAAATTCAAATATTATTCTGACAATGCAAATGCTACTATTCATAAGAAGTAAGAGAAGAAAGTTTAAGCGATGATAATGATTAACTCATTTTTTTTTTCTTCCGAAATCATTAGAAGTGTTGTAGGTTCTATTGTTACATTTAAATGTTTAGAACTTTCAAAACATTTGACCTCACTTTTCATACAAAAATTGCAAATATATATTTTTTCTAAATTATAGGTGTTACAATTATCTGACTTATTAGAAGTTAGACATTCTGTCTTTGTCATCGGGGCAGCTGGTTCAGGAAAAAGTAGCGTCCTCAAGACGCTGTTTACTGTGTATAAGAATCGAGGCGAAAAACCAATAGCCTTGGATCTAAACCCAAAAGCAGTCACCAATGATGAATTATTTGGTTCCGTTAATCCAGCTACAAGGGAATGGAAAGATGGTAAAAAGATTACATTAAAAGTTATTGCAGTGCTATTAAACTCTAACAAATAAAGAATAAATAACAGCAACTTAAAAGAAGCAGTAAAACTGCAAAAAGACCTTGTGCCAAAATATATATAACTATAAAAGGGTGCAAAATGTTTTAGAAAATATATATTTAGAAACTTTGTATTGAAAAGATTAAGCTGTGTTGAAAGATTTTTATTTTATTTTATCAATCAAATTAAAATAACAAAATATTGGCCGGAGTACTGACCGACATATTCCAGCAGTAGAAATAATTATTTAGATTTTAAGGTTAAAAAAGTTTATTTAGATTACAAATATTAAACACATCAATCACCAAACGTTTGCCTAACGTGCATATACATCGATTATAATTAAATAGTTGATTTATAATTTATTGAAAAGTTCGTTGTAATTTACTTAAAAGGATTTTTTATTTACTATTTTTTTTACAAAAAATACTTTATAACTATATGCATATTTTATAACTAATATTTTGTAACTAATATGCATATTTTATAACTTATCAGCATTTTTAAATTACCCTATTAAAAATGCTGATAAAATATTATCTATATTCAAGTGCTTGATTAAGAAAAAAAATGCTCCTTAATTTGTTTGAAAATAGATTTAGCTAGCTTTAAATCCAGGCTCTAGAAAAGAAGCCATGTATAAAAACATACTTCATATTACATGCAGATTTTATGCAAAACTTTTTGACCATGTGCTCTCACCCCCCAATATTTTTTCCATATAAAATGGAATTCTAATTTATTCTAATTTTTTCCTATATGGAATATAGCTATTTCTGGAAATGCCTACACACAAATGCTTACCTCTAAGCGTATCATAACCGGTGTAAAGACCGGTTATTATATGTATAATTGCATTGCATTGTAAAGTGTTTGTATGTTTCGTGTTAATTAATGAAATTAAATAAAACGTGTTTGACACTCTAGAATAGGGTACTTGCAGTTCGAGAAGAAGTGAAGTGATTATAACTAACCATGTGATTTAAATCAGATTTAATTGGATACCTATAAGCGACGTCACGCGAGAGTGTCGAAGCTGATTGACTTCTGGATCAACAAATACCGCTGGGGAAATAAACATTCGCTTAAATTTACTAGGCAAGTAACATCTTCTGAGGAGAATAGAATTGTATAAGTAATGACATCCGAAAGTAGATGCCCGTCAATCCCTTAGATCAGAGATGGGCAAACTACGGCCCGCGGGCCAACTGTGGCCCGTCGGAAGGTTTTATCCGGCCCGCGGATAGAATTTTAACTTGCCGATCCAAGGTAAATATAAAAATAAGTATCCATTTTCTTGTCGACTTTTTTAAAGCTATTTATGTTCTTTCCTTTTTAACAAAGTACTGATGACCTTTTTACTTTCTCTATTTTTGTTCTACAAATAAATTGATGGAAATAGCACAGAGAGCTTCAATTGGTAAAATGTTGAAAGCAGAAGTTCTTTATAGAATAGCTGTAGATTGGCGTTTGTCTTTATCGAGGAGCAAACTTATGGAATCTAATATAGGTGAATTATGCTTCACGTGTGGCAGACTGCGCATTTTGAGCTACAACGAGAGAACAATCTAGCAATCATCTGATACAGTTGTTTCTAAATATGCCAATGTTTGAGTTTTACAAATCATTACCAAAAGCTAGTACCTAAAATCTTAATAATTCATGCTCAGGAAATCAGTGCTATGTTTGCTTAATCTTAAATATATCTTAAATAATCTTAAATATAATAATACTTTTAAAAACCACGTTCTTGTAGTGGAGAATAATAATTGAAAAAAAATTTGAAAAACGAAAAACGTGGGGTGCATGAAATACATAACAGTAATGTTATATTAGTGTGTGTATGTGTGCTCTTNTTTTTTTCTCAATTTTTGGCCCTCGACCAAAAAAGTTTGCCCATCCCTGCCTTAGATTCACGCCTCAGTTTGCTTCCTTATTCCATTTGCCTCCGCTAATCGCTCAGTTTGGGGTGATGGTCTGCAGTTAATGACGAATTAAAGGGTTTTCGAAGCTCTGTTGTCAAGGAAAATAAAAAGAGTCATAGTTTAAGTGCTTCGCACTTGAAGCAATATGATGATTTTAAACTATATTTATAATCTTGCCGTGAAAAATTATCTGGGGTTTATTAGAACCGACAAATAACTTAAATATTTTATAAGTAATTAAACTTTTCTTAAAAATCACCGATTTGGTGACATTTCTCCACCTAGATGAAAATTATCAATTAAATTAGACCACAAACACTTTTCATTTTTACAAAACTGTGGCTTTTCTCCATCTTGACGTTTTGCTCCATTTTCAAAAGCGCTGACTTTAGATAGGCTAAACTTGACCGAACAATCACGAGTAGTAACCTCACTCCAGTTACAAAAATAGCATATTATTCACAAAAAAGCATCATTTCATATTACGACGGAGCCTTCGAACCTTTAAACAGGAAGCATGCAATTCCTTCGATGGTTGCTAAATAGGGTCCAGTCTCTGGTTAAAGGAATTTTGAAGATGGCCCTATATCCATTTGGAATTTTGGAATCTTGAAATCTATGTTATATTTTCGTACTATTGCATGCATATCTCCTTACTCAAAAATCAGTTTATGTATATTGAACTATGATATGGTGTCAATTTGCTGCAACTTTAAGATGTGAAACTGAAACAAGTTTCAGTTCTGATTCATTTATACGCAATCAATTACGCAATCAATTTTAACAAGTAAGATAGTATGATTAAACTTAGAGCCAACATGAGGTTGCAGCAGTTCTAAACGAACAGTTCTGTACGTTCAGAAATTTTTGACTGAATTTCTAATGAAGTGAATCAAAAGCTACGTCTTCAATTTTAAAACTAGTGAATGTTTTAATCCAAAATTTTCTAACGATTTTGAATTTTTTATGCAATTTAATAGTCTTGAAAAATATTTTAAATTTTAAAGCACTCAACATTTTTAGATTGAAAATCCACTATAGAATCAAATTGGCAATTAACACTTAACAAAGTTTTCTCAATATTTTATTTCTAACAATGAATTACACTGAGTAACAAATTGTTTGTCGCATTTATGTATGCAAATATTTGATCTTGCTTAACTAGACTATGGGGATTTCAAATCTGAAATTAATTTTGCTCCTAAAGCTACAGATATTTTTAAGCGACATTTTTAGTCATTTTTTTTGTAGAAATGTACAAGTTTATGAACGTTATATAAAACAGGAAGTAAGTAGCGTAAATGTTGCGACAAATTTCTAGGGGAGTTATTACACCATCAGGATTAAAATTGTGTAGGATCCCATGCCCGGAAACGTCGTCGCATGCAACTAGGGTCGCCTCCCTGATCAAAAGCACACGATGAGCAACTCAAAAGTACACGAATAAACAGTTCATAATAGAGAAGTGCCTCTAGTCTCGTATGTTGACTATGAATTTTGATGATGTTCCCTAACTCCCTTAGAAGTTTGTCACAATATTTACGCACTCACGCTTCATTTGTAACATTTTTAAACTTGCACATTTCGACAAAAAATAGACTAAATATGTCAGAAAAAATTTACATTTGGAGAGGGAAACATATTGCATACTTGAAATTAGTGATAGGAAAGCATCTAAGATCTGTCAAAAAAAATCTCATACAGCAGTGACCAAAAGGAAAAAAATGCTCCCCAATGTTGCCTTTTGTAATTAACATATTATTATATATTATTCTTTGAAAATACACCTAGTATGTGAACGCGAAATCAGTAATAACCTTTATAAGGTTGAACAGAAAGTTGAACTAACAATTTAGAAGAGAATTTATCAAAAAGTGTTACGCATTTTTAATATTTAGGTGCATTTTCCTATTAAACTTGAAATTGAATGTTTAGGGTTTCTTCTTTTTAGTTCATATATACCCAAACTAAAAAAGAAAATAATAGCTTTTTAAGAAGCTTATCTTTTAAAACATTAACCAAATATTTTTAGTTGAGGGACATTTTTTAACCAAAAAAAGTAAGGTTTTTTTCTGAGTTGGCAATAAAATAACTCAGATAACGTTAAGAGCACACGCACGAAAAAAGTTCGCTACGCCATGTTAAATTTTTTGAATATTTTTATTTGTGTTTTTAAGCATTTTCTGCTCTATTTAAGTCCAAAAAAATTTCATAAGTATTTTACCTATTGTTCGTATTTTATTAAAAGGTTTGTTGTCATCTCTTGTGAGAGACTTGGTCAATGCCTCGACAGAGGGTCCGAGATGGTTAATTTTAGACGGAGACATCGATCCTATGTGGATTGAATCACTGAATAGTGTCATGGATGATAATAGGGTGAGTTTACTTACACATTATAATTTTGCTCAGTAGTTTCAAATTTTGAGAGATGGTAGAGCACAAGCATCATAAAAAAAACTACATAGCAACACATGTCATTTGTACGCCGAGAAGGATCATGAGCTGTCTGGCATTTGAAACGGTACTTTTAATTATCTTAAGGCCTGGTTTCTTTAAGACAAGCGCCTACTCTGGGCGTCAGCGGGAAGTTGACGTACCCTGACGCAAACAAAATACTGTTTTGTAAGATCAGCGTGAAGAGTCGTTTCAAGGCAGACATTATCTCGCATTACGCATGCGTTAATAAAGTAAACAAGTATTGATTTTGATATTGTCGAATAGAGCTTTAGAGAACAAATAATGACCTTGTCCAAGAAAAGACACAGTATAGCTTAGCTATATGAAGAAGAGGAAGAACAAGCTACGTTTAATGTTAAAATCAAAATCTTGGCTGATTTCAATGCTCTGTTGGATGTTGTCCATCATTGCTTCTGTCGTTAAGGTTACGTTACAATCCAACTGCAGTTGATTCGGACGTCAGTTGTCGTTCAAGCTGAGCGTTCGATGACGCATGTTGTCTAACTCACAAATTGACCAATCAGGGGTTAGCGCTGGCTTCAAGCTGACGTTTTGTAACGCCGACCGGTCTTAAAAAACCAAGCCTTTAATCGAACAATAATTTAACGTTTTTTAAGTGATTAGTATCAAAAATAAAGGTTCCAAGTAATTGTTTCATTGTAATTGATTGGAATTGAGTAAATGATTGAGTGACTAACTTTATGACCTTGACAAGTTAGTGGCCAAATCAATAAACCATATAAATTGCCTGTTTCTGAGGTTATATTTTAAACAATAATTACTAGAAATCGTAAAATTATCACGCAATTAAGATAATTTAGATAATATGTGATAATTTAGATATATATTTTATATGCACATAAACTGCAAATTCATAACGAGGAGGAAACCCCAGCTGCATACGATGACATTTTCAGCCATGGATTAATGTCATTTTCAATCCTATTGACGGGCCCCATCCCTCCACCAGATATCAATAATAAATTCAGAATCACCTTATACTTTCCAATCATTCTTGCATTTTCATGTCAAGAAATGAAGGCATTTAAACAATAACGTTTCAGTTTCCTTTACTTTAGAGCATTCTTTTTCTGAAGTAACTGAGCATGCCAATAAAGTTAGTTTGGAACAAGTGTACGAAGATGTGAGATAGTGACGGAGATGTGAGAACGGGACGTCACACTTTCAAATATCATCAAGCAAGTGAAGTAATGAGCAGTGGCAGTTTAAGAATGTTTGTGGTGCGCGTAATTTTTTAAGCACATGCAGTTGTCGAAAGTAGAATGCTACAATTAGTGAAACTACTGTAGTTGCTACTTTTTTTAAATCATAATTTGAAGCGGTTGTGCTCATTTTTTTTTAAAAAAAGTATTGTTATAAGTAATTTAATACAAAAGCAATACTTTGTAGTGATTTCTGGGAACTACTCTTGACGTTAGTAAAAATTACTAATATTTTAATTAACCATTGCTAATTCAACACTTTTACCCCACCTTCAAATACGAATAAAACATTGTTGTTGTTTTAATGAAGGGGAACATATTTCTCCGTAATTTTCGATGTATACTTTATTTCTTAGAGGAAATAAAAAAGCATTAAACACTTCGTAAACTTGCAAGTATATAATAAGTTCCTGACATTACTTGAAATAAATATTCACGGTTGAGAGAAAAACATAAAAAGTTGAAGGTTAAAAGAATAAATTCGCAAAATATGGTTCAGAATAACAAACTGTCTCATGTACGCATGAATACATATTTTTTAATAATTCCTCATGCTTAAATAAGTTCATTTTTATTCAAAACCGTTATAACATGGGTGAAAATTAAATTCTCTAACAAAATTCGTCTCCTAAATTTACTAAAGTAGTGGCTACACTTTAAAAGTAGTTTGTAGTCACTAAAAAAATCATTGGAAAAAAAAGTAGCTGTAGCGCTGTAGTTAGCTACATTTGTTGAAGTTGTAGACAAAAATATTATAGTTTTTCCGGCCACTAAAAACAGACGTACTACGTGAACCTGCTGGATAGTACTAGAAAGTGTGAAATATCTCTATACGTGACTTTTAGCAGTAAGATATTTAATAATATCGTTTCACTTCAGTTGCTTCAGAGCATACGTTCAAGTTCGTATGTTCTGAAGTAACTGTGTGCATACAGTTTTGATAAATCTTATAACAGATATACACGCTAACTTCAAATTATGCGTATATGAAAGCAAGCGGAAAGCTATTGCTAAAAGCTTTTGTTAACAAATTCAATTGCAAATAAATATTCAATTCTGAAGACATCTTGACTAATTTGTTACACTTACTGCTAACCCACGTTCTCAAATCCTGTGTTACAAAAATAAGTCGATTGTCTGTTTTATAGGTTTTAACTTTAGCAAGTCGAGAACGGATATCCTTGACCCCGCATATGCGTCTTTTGTTCGAAGTGTCATCTTTGGAACAGGCTACACCGGCCACTGTGTCACGGGGAGGAGTGCTCTACCTTGACTCATCAGACGTTGGTTGGAATCCGTTCGTGGTAAGCTGGATCGAACGAAGATCGATACAGTCGGAAAAAGCAAATTTGATTATATTTTTCGATAAATATGTGCCTCCGTGCCTTGAAGCAATGAACAAAAGATTTCAAACTATCTTGCCCATTTCTGATATTTGCTACGTACAAGTAAGTTAAATGCTTTTCTTAATGTCAATATAAAATGTATTCTAAACATTCATTTCAACAAAATATAGAGGTGGAAAAGTTAAACTAATTTACTGAGTTTATCTTTATTTTGTAATTTTAAACACTTCAAATGTCCTCGATATTACAACCTTCAAACGGCAGCTGTTCATTTTGTTTTAAATAGTTTTTACGGCGGAAAGTAACTTGCAGCTAAAATTTTCGTGACAATAATTGAAGAGACAGAATTGCATGTATTATACGTCTTTCTATCCAAGGATATACAGGCTTGCATGCGTCAAGCCTGTTTTAATCTTCAAATTTTTTTTTTGTGTGTGCGCTACTTTTTATACAGTTGGTACAAATTTAATTTCAAAGAAAACTTTTTTAAAAGTTTAGTTTGATGATTTTTATCTAAAATAAAAAGACAATTAAAAATTTTTCCGTGTGTCAGTTTTGCCACAGGCGCTAGCTTCCTATAGTTTAAATAGTGGATGAAAGGGTCAATTTTACCCCCAAATACTTAAAAAGGTTTAAATATTTTCGCTAGATCATTCTTGAGAGACGCTTGAATCATTCGTCATTCGTATAAATTGTATAAATTAAACTGCTGATGGTTCTGTTCTTTCATATATTTTAAAATATATGAAAGATATAAGTGATTGATGTTTACTTACTCATAGCTCTCATTAATAAAAAAAAATCGTTTTTTGCGCTTTATTTAATTTATTTTTTATTTGTTAGATCATATAAGCTCAATGATTAATGTGAACGTGCTGACATGAAGGGATTACGTCACCAAATTAGTATTACTATAGTTATATGAAACCATGTGTTTCTTGAGTTTATAGTTATGCTTTTGAAAAGATGACTATAAAGCAAAATAATTTTAAAAAAACAACAGCTTTTAAAATTAAAATAAATAAGTAATGCACTGAAAAGCAAAATTAATGAATAGTACTGATTTGTCTAAAAGTACATAAATTTTTTTTATGCCATTATTGATGCCAATGATACTTGATTAATTTTGCTGCGAACTACTTGAAATAAAAAAAATAATAAAATGTGCTCCAAAAAGCAAAATTAACGGAGAAATGGTACAGATAGTTTAGAAGAAGCGTTAAAATTATTATTATTAACGCCAATGATGTTTAATAAATTTTGGTAATTATTTTTAATTGAAATAAAAAAGTATGTACCAGTCTTTGCAAAATCCTTAGAAAAGAAACAAGAATTGATTGCAGAGGATAGCTTCTTGTAGATTAAATTCGACTATTAAAAATAAATGCATCAATATTCTTTGGATTCTAAACTTTGATTAAATAGAGCATTGCTCCCCAACCTTTATATCGCTGAGGATTAGTCAACGCTTGATAATTTTACAGCGGCCCTCTAAAGGAAGGGGTGACGTTGATTGTTTATATTTTAGATGGTTTTTATTTAATAATTGTAATTTAATTGTATTTAAACATGCCTTCAAAACAAAATACAGCTACCTGCAAGTTATAAGTGCGACTTCAGGTCTTAGGATCTTAGTTTAAAGTTTATTTCAGATTAGGTTTCATCTCAGCTCCCAATTAACCTCTTGTACCTAGAAAGTCCAACAAACCCTAGAGAACACCACACTCAATAAAATGTAAATAATTTAATGCTCCTAGAGCCGATCTGTAAGATTTGATCCCCGGGCCGGTACCGACCAGGGGGTTGGGAACCACATACGTAAGCTACAAATATATTTGATGTGATTCCCTAACAGCATGAAAAAAATAGTAATTTAAAAAAATATATATTCAAATCTTACTCTAGGTAGAATTTTGTTGAAGTGAAAATACAATTACATGCGTGGTCTGGGTACGGATTCAGGTGACGTATCTTTGCTTTAAGTTTATCAGAGATTAAGTTTTATTTCAGCTCCCAATTAGCCTCTCGTCCATAGAAAAACGCACAAACCCGCGAAAAATTCACCACAGTAAATTAAATGAAAATAAATCAACGCTAATAGGGCTGTTCGGTATGAATTGATCCACGAACCGCACCCTGTCCGCGGCCTTGGGGTTGGGGACTACAGATATAGAATGTTGAGTAAGCACCACTTTAATGTATAGTTTTGAAATTTTTGGTTAAAATGTAGTAAAAAAAATACAAATTTTAAAGATTACTTCTTTGTATAACAATTTTCAAATCATTCTTGTATTATTTGATAACAATTCTTGTATCACTATTTAATTAAATTGTAGTTATTTTTCTTCACATAGACCTTGTGTTGTCTTTTGGAGTGCTTCTTAACACCAGAGAATACACCACCCGATTCTCCGAATGAACTCTATGAGTTATACTTTGTGTTTTGTTGTGTTTGGGCTTTTGGATCAGCCTTAAAACAATCGACCACTATTGACAGCAGACTGGATTTTTCTAACTGGTTTCTTGGGGAATTCAAATCCGTTAAGTTTCCAATATCGGGCATTCAGGGTCCTCCACAGGGTGGCGGAGAGGCTCCCACTGTCTTTGACTACTACATTGACACCAAAAGATTCTATCCTTGGACAAGAAAATTGCAAAAATACCAGCCTTCTCTAGACGTTTCATTACAGGTAAGTGGTCAAATTAAAGATTTGAGCTTCTAAAACTGCACGCTGCGCTTGCAAACTGCTGGAAAAAAAGCTGATTACAATTAAAAAATACCTAATTAGAACTTAGAACTTTTGATTTATGGGTTTTACTACTAATCATTCAATGGAATAATATGTTTTTTCGTTCAGTGCATTATTATAACTATTATAATTGTCCTTTAACATATTGAGATAGCAATTATTTCCCCAAATAAAAATTGTACCATCCATTCAATAAGTTATTAAAATAAGTATCGGCTGATATCGTATCGTGGTATTCAACCGACGCGTTTATTAGTGTAGATTATTACGCCTATTGAATATCCATACAACATATTACTTTCGTAATTATACAGTATAGTATAACGGTATTACTTGAATTAAAACTCCGTTCCCTCCAAAAATAAATAAATAGGAAATAATGTTTCAAGCGCTCAAAAATTGGCACCTATTTTCAGGACCACTTGTCAGACATGAATGATAAGAAACAAAAGAAATTTTAAATATGAACCATAAAGTTTCCAACGAAAAATGGAAATATAAAGAAGAAAAACAAAACAAAGAAAGCTACTGTGGCCGAGAGGGGCAAATCAGGGTAAAATGCATTAATCAAGTAATACCTTACCTTTAAAGCTTCTTTTGATTATTAAAAAGTAATACCTATCCGCTTCAGTTTCTTGGGATCATTTATTTAATGTTATAATAGTATTAATTTAATAGATTAATAAGGAAATCATGCAACAATGATTCAAGCAATTTTGGCATATTATTAAGTAACTTTTACCGCTAAACTTAATCTGAGGACGTTCTAACGTTTCCGGCAAATTTCAGACAATACGTGCTATGTGCGTTTTTTCTTAAATGATGTAGAGGGGAGAAAATAGTTTTTATTCCGCTAAAAAGCAAATCTGACAAAAGACAACTTACTATTTACAAGACAGTCTTGATGTAATCAGTTATTTTTAGTTAGATGTAGCTGATTGAATTCAAGGATTATGAATTGGTACTAGCTTATATCGAATTCGTTTAAAATAACCAAAATAAAAGAGACACCCGGAGAAAACTTCCTTTCTTTCTGTGAGTTTCTTTTATTACCCTTATACATATACATATGTGTTTCACATGCCTTATCTCTAGAAGGATAATACGATATCTTTTGTGTCACTATTTTCTACAATATAATATATTTTGGCGTTATGTTTTGCTGTTTGATGCTATATTGATGTTACTGTTTTTATTCCATAGATGCAATTCTAATAATGTTTTACTTTGGATTCTATCACATCCTACAGAATACGTTAGTTCCAACTAAAGAAACTCATCGAATTAATTATATGATGGATCTACTTATTGCCAGAGGCCATCCAGTAATGTTGGTGGGAGCAAGCGGATCTGGTAAAACGTCAGTCGTTAAGTCCACACTCGACGCCTTGGATCAGGAATCCACTTTTCTGGTTGTGAATGTCCCATTCAACTTTTATACCTCGTCAGCAACCGTTCAACGAGCCATGGAACTCCATTTAGAGAAGAAAGTGGGCAAGAATTTCGGACCTCCTGGGCAGAAGAAGCTAATTTACTTCATTGATGATTTTAATATACCCGAGGTAGGCTATATTACTTTATTAAAGCACATCAAAGAGCACAATTAATAAAAAAAAACCTGATGCAAAAATAACGAATATAATAAAATATTTTAATCGAAATCAAAGAATGATAAAAAAAGGATGTTCTTTTATATTTTTAATTAAAATAGTCCCTTCCGAATATATTTTCTTCAACTACAGGATCTATGTTGGTGCTAATTAAAATGGGTACCATATTATATAACACAGAGTTTATGACACCGTTTAAATATCCTGTTTTTAGCACTTAAATCATTTGAGTTGATGCAGTTTGGGATCTAGCTCTCCTGTCGATTCAAATTCATGGATATCAGACAACACTACCTTAAATTAATAATAAAATTAATGGAATAACTAGTTGCCTGCAGTGACCAGGTGTTTATTCTACATGAACCACCGCTTCGCGGCTTTTCATTGATTTTCGTCTTCCCGCCTACCTATTCATTTTGAAGAAAAAAGTCTGAACTTTACGATGGAAAAAAAATAACTAAAATTCTCAACGCGATGAGTTTTGAAGACAGAAATATCGAAAAAATCACAAAAGGACGCGCCTGAAATACACCTGAAAATGTAAGGGAAACAAATGATTGAAATTATAAAATGTGCTTAATTTTATGTATACGACTTTATTTTATGGATTTTATTTTACATTATTTTAAAGAAGATATTGAATTGAATTATCGATATTTTTTTTTTATATATTAATATTAAATTGTAACTTTTCTCAAAAATAACTGTAGTCTAGTCTCTGCAACTAAATAAAAAAACATGGTACTTTAATTAAAATGATATTACTGTTTTTCTTTACTTTTGTCTGAAATATTCTTCCAGAAATGAACACATTTGTAACTTTTTCAGGTAGACAAATATGGTACTTGCCAAGCACATACAATTATACAACAGCATCTAAATTATGGACATTGGTATGACCGTAACAAGTTGAGCATAAAGGATGTCACCAATTGTCAGTATGTTGTATCTATGTGCCCCACGGCAGGCAACTGTACAATTCATTCGCGCTTACAAGTAAGCATGAGCTGATGATATCCGTAATCAACATTGTTTACGATAAATTATAGATAGGTAGTTTTAATCTATAAATTTAAGTTGTTTCGATTGCTTAAAAATAAACTCAAATTTTGTTATTAATGTGACATTTGTTATCATGAAAATCAACATTTAGAAATAAAAACAGAATATTTTTTTAACTATGAAAACTGAAAAAGAGTAAAAAAGAGAGAGAATCACGTTTCAAAAGTGAAAGAAATATTGCTGTTGTTTTTCTTGTTACCAATCCTCAAAATGATCTGTTGGAATTAGTCAAGTCTAAATCAGTTATCCAAATAGGGAAGGATTTTTTAATAAAGCTCGTCTAAGGTTTTAAAATGTATACAGATTTAAAAATTTCGGGTCTAGATATTTTTAAAATATATAAAGATGATGGCTGAGCATTTCACTTAATGCAGGTCCTAAAAATCCTTCTAACTTTGTTCATATAAAAACTTCTTTAGTGTACAATGGCAAAACGTGATATACAAACTTGTTGACGTCTATGGGTTACTAAATATAAGACACCGCCATGACGATCTCTCGAGTTACAGTTTATGTACTGTAGGGGCATTCTATAGATTTTTAAGTGATTTCTAGTTCTCGGAGAACAAGTACAAAACATATCTGACTGACGATTTTTCCAAAGAAGCAGCTTTTGCTTGAGAATCCGAAGTCTCCTTGCCACTAATACTAACATGAGAGGGAATCCAATAAATTTTAATTTCCGAATCAACTGTAAGTTATAGATGGATATGTAAACCCTATCCCCAACATTTGTCCAGTTATTTAGATGTTGAACTGAAGAAAAAAGAATGACAGTTAGATATAAATATCGGCAAAGTTAGGCTAAGCAATATTCTCAAAATAGTTCTCAGGCCTCCTACAATAATGATGAGCTCCGACCTGAACAGAGAACATGAATTTGACTTTATATTTTAGGTTTAAACTTGGAAATAGGAGTCTCGGTGAAGGTATCACTACGAGAATGACCTTGTTCACTTTTGCTGCTATCTCTAAATATATTTGAATAGCAGCTTTCAGTTTATTAGTAGTAGTTTCATGGGACATCCGCCTTATGAATTCAGGATTGTCTTAATTTTTATAAATTAATGTTCAAAGGCTCGGTATTGACTTTATTCTCGAACGTGTTCTCAAGGATAGGGAGACACTATGTGAAGAGGTGGGGGATATTCGCTTGTATTGGTTTCTATATTTATTGATACATCATCTTTGGATTTATTTTTTAATATAATTATTTGTTTTCGAGGACGAAAAATTCCCCTACAAGTGGGACAGTTGTTCTGCTTTTTGGTGCACTATGCGTCGAAGCACTAATTAATTTGTTATCTGAAAGCTGTTTCTATTCCCTAAATACGCATGGAACCAAATTCAATTGAGTAATGCATTAAAAAGGAATGTCTGAAAAAAATTGTGACGTTCTGCTATGGCTTCAGAGGAGAACAGCTAGACTTCATGTAGTTTTTTCTTTAAAGATAGATAGTGTATAAGTGGACGCTACTAAAATCACTAATAGAGCTAAAGCATGTTTTCAAACAGTGACGTTTACTGCCTAAAGTAGGAATCAAAGTTAAATTTTGGAAGGTTGCTTGAGGAAAAGACTGTTTCTCATCAGTCTCTGGTTATTTCTGTTCTTGATAGAGACTAAACTCTAATAAGCATTTAAAAATTAACTCCTGAATTAATTTTTCATAAAAAAAGATAAGTAAAACGTTAACGTTTTATTCCTAATTTCTTTTTTAGCGCCATTTTTGTGTTCTCTCTGTCCCTCCCACCACAGCAGATACCATACAAACTATCTTCGGTCAGCAACTTCGAGAACATCTGAGAAGGATCTGCCCAGCTGGAGAGGCCCAAGAGGATACGGAAGAACTCAAAACGTCTTTCCAGCAACAGATTGTACGGCTTGCCATAGCTCTGCACAAGCGTATGAATTCATCCTTCCACCCGACAGCCTTCAAATTCCATTACCTCTTCAATCTTCGAGATATCTCTAATGTTTTCAGGGTAAATCTCCGTTTATTTGCAACAATATTATACTTATGCTTGTACAACTCTTTCTGAAGTTGGTCAAACACCTAGCAAAAAAACGTTTTCTGTTATGCTCTTCAAAATAAGAAAAAGTTTCCCACAAAGAAGGCAGTTTCCAGGAGAATTCTAGTATTTCGTACCAACAGCATGGATTAAAGTTTTTTCTTCATTTAACGTCTCAGCTTTGATGAGTTATTAAGGTCGAATTTGCTAATTTTCATTTTTATTTTATACAGTTATTTAAAATTTCCTTGAAATACTAAAATATTTCAAGGAAGATGAAATATAAAATCACATTAGAATTAATGCAACTTAATAATAAAATATTTAGTACTATGCAACACAAAGGACTTGAAATCAATCCGACCTGTTTTACGACCTCGACAATGCCAATTGAAAATTAAAATAAATTTATTTTTAATATGAATAATTGCTTATTTTTTCATGTGTTTCAACTCTTTATAGCACTTTCATAGTCTTTCAACTCTTGATATTTAAATTTATCTACTTATTTATTAATATATTTAAAGGGTCTTATGTTGAGCTCAAGTGAAAGCTTGGTGAAAAGCGAAGATCTTTTTCAATTGTGGTTACACGAATCCCAAAGAGTGTATCGAGATAAACTGCTTGATCAAGATGATCTAGAGAAGTTTGATAAAATTCTAGCTGAAGTTCTTAGACAACATGCTGTAAGAATTTATTTTTAAAATTATGATTTATTAGAAAAACGAGGAAATTTTGAAGCCAATAATTAATGATGATGATTATGAATAAAGTATTGGTTTAGATGAAACATGAAATTTTTTTGAATTGAACTTAACATTTTTTTAAAAATAAATTTATTTACATAGGAGCATTAGTAGAAATTTTGACCAATATGAAATTAGCTCCAGACACCGAAACATATTTGTTTCTTTTTTTTTTAATGAAACAAATATGTTTCTTTAAAAATAACCATTAAACATCTATTAAGAGCATTTTTTACAAAAAAATGATTAATTTAGTGTTCATTTTATTTATTTTTTATTTTCATTTTCATGCAACAAATATATTTCATTAGAAATAACTTTTTATAGCATAAATTACTTTTTATAAATTTGTATATTGTAAATTATTATTAAATCCTGCCTTTATATACTAAACACTATATCCTAATAGTAAGAACAAAATATAAAAAGAGTGTATATTGCGATTTAAAAAAATTAAAACTTAAAAACTCAAAAAAATACATTTTTTGCGCTAATTTTTTAATATTTTTATCAAAAAGTTTTAAAAATCCAAAAAATGTATATTTTATAGAGAATTCAAGAATTATAAAAAATTATTACTAATCTTCAATTTGATATCATATAGCCGTTTATAACGAAAACATGAACTATAAAATTGTTAACAAAAATATTTTTCATATCATTATTAATTACCGTTTACTATTCAAATTAAAAAAGCAAAAACCCTCCATTGCAAGCTATTTAATAAACTAATTTTAGTGATTCTTTAAACAACCTTTCCTTTCTCAATTTTTAATTTTGCCATTCTTACGTCTGATTTTATTGATGTTTGTGTTTTCGTCACTAAAATATTTATTTTGTTACCCGTTGAAAGGCATAATTTTTCCAGGCATTCTAAAAACAAATATTATGAGTGGTTTTTACAAAACACCCTGCTCATAAAAATGATACTACGTCAGCAACTTTTTCTCACAGGAAATGGATGATCAGAGTGCACTAGTGAGGGTATCCAACATTCCTATTCATTGTCATTTTGCTCAAGGCATTGGCACATCCTGCTATCAACCTGTGCCGGATATGAAACAGCTTGTCCGGCTCCTACATGATGCCCTGGATGCATATAATGACATATGTGCACCCATGGATTTGGTATTCTTCGAAGATGCTATACGTCATATGTGAGTAACCTTATTTATTTAATGACTAATAAAATGAAAATATAGTGGTGAGATTACTGCACCAATCTCCTCCTGATTGCTCCAATTTCCCTTAACTATTCAAAAAACATCTATAATGAAAAATTTATGTAGCTCCTTTTTTGTAATAGAAAATATATGGTAACTTAATGAATTATTTATAATCCACCTTTATATTACAAGCATTAAAGTTGCTTGCTCAGTATTTTTAAATGCAACTTTGGAACTGATTCGTGCAAAAATCATGCTTTTCTAAATATTTCTATCTAATAAACGTTTATTAACTCTTAGAGAATCTACAATTTCTATTAAAAACAGGTAATCCTAATTTATTTTGTTTCTTTTTTTTAATTAAATAACACTATTTTAGTAAAATTCAGCTTTCTTCTGGTTAATCCATTTGTAATTTGGTTAAAATTCGAACCCTCTTTTATCTCACTTTTATATATTTTGAAAAGGAAATAATATAATTCCTTTCTTTCATAAATAAAAGCTGCCGAATAACGAGAATTCTAGAATCTGGTGGTAATGCCCTGCTGATTGGTGTTGGGGGTAGCGGACGACAATCATCTGCCTCTTTGGCTGCATACATCTGCAATTTGCATCTTTATCAACCCACTTTGCACTCTGATTATGATATACAAGACTTTAAAGTAAGCCACATGTTCTATGCTTACAGTTTTAAAATATTTTCTTTCATTATTTATTTATCAAGTATTATAAATTGAAAAGCCTTTTTTACACTGCGAAACTGAGTCGGAAGAAGTTCTTTAAAATCATGAAATATAAAAATAAATGTTTACTTTAACTTTAATGCTACAGAAAATTATCTCCGAAAAACATATCCAACGATATTAATTATTCTTTCGTAATTTTTGCGACCAATCAATCGAGGTACAGAGAATTGAACTAAAGCAATGCGGCATTAACGTGGAACACTTTTTCTAACTAAGCCATTCCTATGGCCCTATAAATTAGGCGGAAATAATTTTACAATAATACAACAAGGATGCAGTAATTTTTTTAAAGTGTGTGATCTGGTTGTGAATGACCTAAATTAGAATAGAAAAAAACTCAGTTTGAAAATACAGTGAATATTTTAACTATATTTTATGATAATATCAAATGTCCTTATGATTATTAAAGAGAGGAGAAATTTGTGTAGAAGCTAAACATTCCTTTGAACTTCCTTCTGACGCAAAAATTTGGCCGTAACAGGATTCAGCTCTTACGTCAGTCTCACATAATTAAGCGGCACCGAAAGCTTTGGAAATAATTCAGCTATAGTATTATTGCTGAATTCCATATTCCGATAAAGTCAAGCGTAGAACAATTTTTAACATATGTTTTGCATGCACCATCATTATTTTGAAGACAGATCACTCATTTCTAAAATACCCAGTCGTCATCATTATTTAAATTGGCCATTTTTTCTGGAACGCCCGGTGGCTTCGCGCTCCCGTGCCATAGGTCCTGGGTTCGATCCTCGGGCTGGGCATGGTTGACTGCCTTTCATTCCTTCAGTGGTTTGATAAATGAGTAACAAGCATGCTTGGGAACTAAACACTGGGGGTTTTGCTTTTGGCAGATCACCTAACCGGAACACCTGTTCCTGCAGCCCAGAGCCTAAAGTCAAGAAAACTGAGATGGGCACATTAGGCCTTGGCCCTCTATGGCCTCTATCAAGCCACTGAGTTTAGTTTAGTTTTCCGTTTTTTTCTGGATCGAAAACTCAAACAGCTTTAATGAAGTTTAATGCTGGTATACAAAAGATGGAGTAGAAAAAGAAGGTAAAGGTGCTCAAGAAAAAAATTGAAAAGACAAGTTAAACTGGAAAGGTAAAATATTTTGCAAAAAAAAAATCTAAATTATTCGAATATTCGGTGGTTAGGTAGATTTGTTGTAGTTGTAGTTCATTTGAGTCGCACTAGAGCTGCGCAATGGGATATTGGCGACGGGCTGGGAAACATCCTTGAGAATGAACCGAAGACATGCCATCACAATTTTGATCCTCTGCAGAGGGGATGGCACCCCCGCTTCGCTAGCCCAACGACCTGCACGTGAAGTCGAGCACTTTACGGTAGCACAGTTTAACGAGGACCAATACCGGGTGGTTAGGTAGAAAATTATAAATTATGCGATTTTCCGCATTTTTGACATTTTTGCACAACTTATAAGGCCTGATTCATTCCTAATATCAAGTTTAAAAAAATATATTTAAATAAAACAAGACAATTCTTAAATATTTCCATTTTTTTAAAAAAATAAATAAAGAAAAATACTCATTCTAATTCAGTTTTTCTAAAAACATATTTCTGTTTTCTCAAGGCTGATATAGCAAGCTTATATTTGAGAGCTGGTGTGAAAAACATCGGATGTCTTTTCATGGTGAGTGATGCTCAAATAGCTGATGAACGTTTCCTGGTCCTCATTAACGATCTCCTTTCTTCGGGAGACATACCCGATCTCTTTCCGGAAGCAGAAGTTGAAAACATCGTATCTGCTTTGAGGTCCGAAGTAAAATCAGCCGGCATATTCGATTCGCGGGAAAACTGCTGGAACTACTTCATCAACAAAGTAAAGCGAAAATTAAAAGTAAGTTTCTCCGAAACTTCCTTAAATTGTCTCGTTTGATACTTAAAGCAAAGAATGATTTATTTTAATCGGAACTATTCAGATTTATCTATATCTTAATCTGAACAACCGAATACTGAAAAAAACCCAAATGGTATCAAGCTTGGTATGAAGACTAATGATGACATGGAAAGTAGAATTCCGCGAAAAAAATTTAGTTCTAAAAATCTTGGATATAGGAATTTTATTTGCTGTAACCATTCCTTACAAAACATCAGTCCCCGTACTGTCATTTTCTAATCTTACGTTGAACTGTGAATGCATTGCACTGATTAAAATAATACAAAAAACAACGCGCTCTGGTAATATAAGCCGCTTATTCACTTGAATTGGCTCACTGCAACTGAAAATATTTTTATCTACTTGTTTCTATAGCCTAAACTGCAGTTTACGATACGAACCTGACTGACTGTTAATTTACTAATGCTGTTGAAGATGCGACGTGCTTATACGAAGTCATAAATTTGCATTTTACTTTAATACATGTATTTTATTCCTGCTGATTTTCGATTTGGTCAACTACAGCGATACTACAAATACTTCTATCGCCGGTTTTTCGGAACAAAATATTTTTTTCTTCACAAAATCATATTTCCCATGTCATCATTAGTTTCCGTATAAAGTTTAGTGCGATTTCAGTTGTTGGATTGAGCTACAGGTGGCTCTGAATAATGTTAGTATATCACCCTGATGTCAACATTTATATGAATGTCCTTCTGGGCATAATACTGTCAATATAAAAGTACTTAGTTTATACTTAATCCTTAAATGTCATAATTAATAGCAGAAAACCGTAACATAATTTTATTTCTTGAGACAATTTTTTCTATGCTACTTAGTCGTAGAAGAATTTAAGTAAATAGTCTTATTTAAATTATATATTTCAAATTAATAAATGACTATTTTCTCAAAACTAGGATAATAATCTGGATGAATACGACTTTGTATAAAGTATAATCATAAATTTTTAAAAATCTGCAACAAAATATGCAAAACAAATTTAAATTTTAGTTTTTCCGAAAATGTAAAATCTAATGTAAATAATAATGAATTTGCCAAAAACTTAGATTGTTACTTCACAGTAATTTGTACCTGCAGCATAAATGTTTAATGAAATGTTTATATTTAGGTAGTGCTGTGTTTTTCTCCAGCGGGTTCGATGTTGAGATCTCGCAGTAGAAAATTCCCGACTTTGACAAGCTGTACTTGCATAGATTGGTTTCACCCCTGGCCCAAAGACGCCCTCGTGACAGTCTGTAATAAATTCCTCGAAGATATACCAGTGCTACAGGTAATAAAATTACTCAAATTGCTTTTTTTCTTTTCATTGCCAATGCAAGAAAAGAAAATTCGTCGGTTTTGTAAACATATACATGCGTATAAGAGTTCTTATAATGAGTATAAGCGCCTACAGATTTTCTGAAGCAAATAATTTCCGTTTTAAATATTTATTACTCATATTGCTTTCGTGCTTAACGCAGAACAGTTGAATTTTTAATCAAGTATAAAATTAAAGATTAAGTTTACGAGTTTGCAGCTTCATATAGTTGACGTTATTTAAAAAATGTAAGAATAGATCCCACTGGCATCCAGCTTCCTACAAGGAAAAGGAAAGCTATGATTGGTCAAAATTACTTCATGTAGATGGATAGTTTGAAACTGAATTATTGATTTTTTTGTCTGGGGCTTCAATTCCAAATTGCCTCATATGTTTTTTTACTAATGAGTATAAGAGGAATGTGTGCCTGCATCTTCCAGGGACGGGCACAGTAGACAAAGTTCATTTTCTGTTTTAGAATCTAGAAAATGATTCTAATTTTTTGTTGTTGTTGTTGACTTGTCTCGATTACTGAAAAAAAATGTCGGTATTGGGAGTACTAATCAGTGGCTACCAACCTCAAAGCATATCAGTGTAGTGAATACCGGGCTAGTGTAAACCAATAAATAGCCTCAATTTTATAGAAATGTCATCATAGGGAATACTGGACAAGTGTAAACCAGGCAAAGACTGTTAGCCTTAAAAAACATCAATGTAAGGAAAACAAGGCGATGACTCTTAACCTTAAAAAGCATCAGTATAGGAAATACCGGGCAAATGTAAAACGGACAATTACCTTCTAACCTGAAAAACATTAGCGGGGAAATTCCATGTAAATGTAAATCCAGCAATGGTTCCCATATCCTGCTATATAGAGTTATTATATAGAGTTATTATCCCAATCAAACCAGTTATCATTAATAATAACCACACCTTTTGGTAAATGTGATAATAAATGCAAATTAATCATATCGCACGGTTTGCATTTTACCGGTATTCTCTACACTGATTTTTTTTTAATATTAAGGGTGATTGCCCGTTATTCCGCTCTCCGGCATTTTTCCTCCAGGTATAAAATCTCCAGATTTGAAAAAGAATGTAACAAAAATATATACTTTTAACTAATTTTGAAAACAAAACCAAATTTTGTTTTCTCGGAAAAAAATTCTCTCCACGATCTTAAAAAAATGATGATAATAATAATAATAACCAACTTTTGTAAGAAAGCAGCTTAATATTGAAGAATTAGTCAAAAATTTCAATTTCAAACTGCCTCCCTTTGTGATGACGTAGTTTCTTCGACCAATCAAAGCTTTCCTTCCTTGAAGGCAACATAAAATATTTATTTAAAAATGTTTGTCCTTATAGCTACACATCAGCGTCACTAAACTTTTACATTGGATTAAAAGAAAAATTACAAAAAAAAAAAAATATGTTTAATTCAATTTTTTACAAAAATGGAGATACAGACTTTTGTTTGTTAGTGTTGCAGTGTAGTAGTTCAAATCATATATTTAATCATTTATAATACTTTTCCAGTTGTTAAAAAGATCAAGGAATAAAGTTAATAACTGAATCAAAAAAGTAGTGACTCGGTAAATCAGTTTCTAATTAAATAAAATTTTTATAAACCTGTAAGTCGAGGTACAATAATATACAAAAACATAATTTTCCTTATTTACATGCCACATTAAATTAATCCTTTGCTGAAAATGACGTTTTAAACCTGTTTTTTCCCCCCGCTTTCACACATCAGCCTGAACTTAGATGCTCAGTTGCAGACTTCGTAGCCTTCACTTACCGATCGGTGAATGAGGTGAGCAAAGCATATTTACGGAAGGAACGTCGTTCTGTAGAGACTACTCCCAAAAGTTTCCTACAGCATGTCAAGACGTACAAGATCCTGATGCAGAAAAGGCATAGTTTTCTCAAAGATAACATTGAAAGGCTAGAAGTAGGACTTCAGAAGCTTGTGGACACTAGTAAGCAGGTATACTATACTGTTCGAATTAATTGGGACAAATGAAAAAAAAGTGATTTATTGAAACTTTAGCTTTTAATCATTACATACCTTAAGTTACATTGATACATGTCTGTATTAATATGAAGTATATCCTCCTTTAGCAGATATGACTTCAAGAACACGTTTTGGCATTGATTCCACTAGTGTAGCGTACATGTTCTTGACTTCATCGTCGTGGAACCATACTTGAATAGCACTTTTTATCATTTGTTCTGCTGTCGTGCAATTCATCTTGGCTAAGCGATTCTTTAGAATATGCCACAGGTTCTCAATGGGATTTAGGTCTGGTGAATTACCAGGCCAATCAAGCACTTTTATTTTGTTTTCTCGCATAAAATTCTGGACCAGTTNTATCTATAGACAGCGCTTTTTATGCTTATTCTTAAAATGGTGGAAGCCATCAATATATGGAGAAAAGTGCTGAGAAAATGAAAAATGTTTGTGGTTTTTTTTTTTTTAATATTTAAAAAATATATTCAAACAAAAAAATTCTAAATAATATTTTTAAAAGTTAAAATAAATTAATAAGAATTATTTTTATATAGGTACGAAATATCGCACTGACTTGATTGCCTACAAAAAAATACAAAAAACCTTCGTAAGAGCAAATTTTCTAGAATTAGTTGATTTTTTCATGAAAATAAAATAATATTTCGTAGATTAAGAATTTTTGCATTTGGTTCTTGTCAAATAATATTTTTACATCATGTCACAGTTTCGTAAATTTTTTTTTTATTCTTAGTTAGAATTAAGTGATATTTTCATTAAAAAAATATGCACAAAAAATATGCGCTTATTTTTTTGAAATATAAAATGAGCACAAAATATGAAAAAAATATGTTCAAATAAAAGATAAAAAAGTTGTTTAATTTGTTATACGTTTATGAAAATTAATTATTTCTAGGGGGCCAACTAACAAACTCATAAACACGCTGCGCAGCTCCTTCCGAGCAAGAGCTCGAGCAAGTTTCGCTCCATTATTGGATACTCATATGTATCAGTCTAGCATTAAATGTATGCTGGAACTATTTTGAAAATAAAATTCTCAAAATATGTAAAATAACCATCTTGTGAAAATTTTAATTTATAAACATTTCATTCAATCTATATACATTACAATTCGATTTATATTCATTTCAGTGTTGCATGGAAATAAGAAATTGCATTTGCAATAAATAATCCCTAAAATTTTCTTTTAAACGGAATCAATCATAAATTTAAGTGTTTGGAGACACAACAGTTTTAAAAGGCTTTTATTCATGAATTCTCAAAATGATAAAAAACCAATGAAAAGGATAAGAAAATAAGAAAAAAAAGCATAGGTGTCCGAACTGCGTTGATAAAACTCATCTCTTTCTTGGGTTAACTATTAAAAATGGTGTCATTAAAACTATAATAAAGCTCAAAACTATTATGTTACCTGCGTAAATTGATTTGGATAATTAAAACAAAAATATAGAACAGTTTGTTTAGATAGCTTTTAACTTTTCATTTCTGCCCAACATATAGCTTAGTTTGCTTCAACTTTTCGTTGTCCACTGGAGAACATAATTTTCATTCAGAAATTTATAAACATGTATGTTTAAACGTTCATACTTATGTCTGATCTCTCACTTGTTATTTTTAGTTTTCAGTTCTTTGTTGCAAACGCGAAAAAGAAATTTAATTGTTTTTAACAATATACACACTTACGCATTTAAAGTTCTTTTTTCTATTCATAATAATAGTTTAATCATCAAATTTTAATCCTTAAAGAAATTGACCATTTGCTTATTAAAAAATGTATTAATTAGAAATTAATTAGAAGAAGAAAGCAGTTAATTTCTTTCGATTGTAGGTTGATGTTCTGAAGACACAGCTTGCAGAACAGGAGATAGAATTGCAACAAAGAAGTGAGGACATCGATGCTCTTCTGGAAACCGTTGGTCAAGAAACGGAGATAGCTTCTCGTGAAAAAAATGTTGCAGCTGCAGAAGAAATCAAAGTAACGAGAATTCACGAAGAGGTCTCAAAACGCCAAAAGGAATGTGAAGAAGATTTAGCAAAGGCAGAACCCGCTCTTGTAGCTGCTCAAGAAGCTCTTAACACACTAAACAAGGTTTCTAATTGCAATGCCTTTTTTTTCTCGCGTGGTCGCCTTTGGTCGCGAAATGAAAACTATAATTCAACCATAATGAAAATCATAGCTTAAACAAATCCCCCACCTTCCTCTTTATATAGGTGGCTCACCAAGACACTATTCCTTTCCTGATCGATTGAATAATCAGAATCTATATGTTCTGCATCGTTGTTGTATTTTATGAAAGTCTCCCTGTCAGCCGAAAACAAATCACAGAACACACTTCACACTTTGTCGGAGAGTCCATTAACGTAAGCACTAACGGAAACATGCTTATGTGCTGTCAATGCACTTACAACTGACAAATGGAACACGGTGCATTCTACTGGAGTTCTAATTTAGTTTTAGACACTGAGTAACATATCTACGCAAAAATTTAACAGATTTTCACTGTGATTTTATTTTAATTTCATGAACTGATTGAACCCTGAAATAACCATCATACTTTGATTTTTACATAAAAATTTTATCTTCTTATATATTTTTTAAAATGTTATTTTTTTTTCTTTTTTATGCATATTTTTTTAGAGTATTAATATTTGTTAGTTTTTTTAGGTTAAATATGTTTTTAGCTGCTTGAAAATATAGATCTCACTAATTTTTAGTCATCTCTCTGAAGTTTATATGCGGTTTCCACGACCCCTAAACACTCTAGTGATCTTTCAACCTTTTATTTTGTTTGATTTCCGCTTTATTTTTGAATCATACATGGTTCAACTCCTTTTAATTTCACTACATCCTAATGTTTTTTACGTTTGGTGCATATAGTCGTTTTACCACCAAATTTTACCTTTAATTCAATCCCATAGCTTTCCGTCTCTTCGTTATTAGTTTAATTCTTTGGTATATAATTTCTCCGTAATAATACCGTATTCTTTTTGAACATTAGCTATGCATTCGTTTCTTATGTAAATAAAATACGCATTATAGACTGTATTTTCAAACCTTAGAAGAAGTTTAAAAAAAGTTTCTTTTTTTTCTTCTTTTTTTTTTCAAATGGCAGGCACTGAACATTATTCTTCGCCTTAGAAGATGCCGGAATTGTTACTTATCTCACGTTACCTAGTGGGCACCTGTGAACCAAAGTCACGGAAACAAGCAACATTACCCACGACACACACTGCCACAAACCCGTTTATAGGGTGGGCCACTTTCACACATCACACATAACAGAGGACAACACATAGAGAGAGAAACATCCACGCCCAGAGCGGGATTCGAACCCGTAGCCATTGGCTTCACAGTCAGGCGTGCTAACCTCTCGGCCACATGGCCGGCTAAGTTTCTTTTATTACATATGCTCATTCTGTGGTGATAATACTAATACTATATCACTTACCATTTTTTGATTCCGAGTCAAGTTAGGTTTAATTTTTTATGATTATTTTATCTATTTTATGGTTTTAATATGTTATCTAATTTAGTTTTAGATTTGCCCCATACAGTACTGGCAACTTTCAATTATATTTGTACCAAATATATATATTAAGCCTCAATTTTTTTGAACGTTTCTGTATCCGTTATACTAAGATAAAAAATTTTCTGCAGAGCAATTTGACTGAACTTAGAAGTTTCGGATCGCCCCCTGTAGCAGTAAGAAATGTAACTTCAGCTGTGATGGTGCTTTTAGCAACAGATGGCAAAATTCCAAAGGATCTTTCGTGGAGAGCTGCCAAGCTTACTATGAGTAAGGTACTCAATGCACTCATGTGTACTTTATACTATGCTTTATTTTCATTATACGCTTAATACTTTATACACTCATTACGGAAATGACTTTAACAAGCTAAACTGAACCAAAAGATTTAATGATCTACAAACCTTTCAATTTTGCAGGTGGATAATTTCCTAGATTCCTTGATTAATTTTGACAAGAACAACATCCATGAGAATAGCTTGAAGGCAGTCCAAACATACCTCAAGAGTCCAGAATTCAAGCCGGAAGTGGTCGTTGGCAAATCTCAAGCTGCTGCAGGATTGTGTTCATGGGTCATCAACGTTCTCAAATATTATGAAGTAAGGAATGAAAATAATTATACTCTTAAAAAAGTAAAAATAAGATATATAATAAAATCGATCTTTACAAAAATTGCCTAATCCAATGACGCCTCTTCCCAACAGGGTCATACAGGTGAAGGCTTGTCGATTCATATGCCGTTTTTGCTCACATTGACCACACTGCTAATGAGAAATACAAATGGTACGCGAATAATGAGTTATGATGGGTTCGTAGGGGATAATCACGAAAACATTTACTCATATGATTTCTAATGCGCATGCCCAGTCGTGACGTCTCAACTGGATTGATTGGCAAACATACTTCTACGAAGTACAAAAATCTATGTCACTTTCAATTTTGCTCTTGAGTAGAGGTCACATTCCTCTGAAACGTAAGCTTCAGTGCCCATAACTGTGCCGTTGTGTTAACTGTGGATGGTTCACTGTGTTTTTTTTCTCTATGGATGTTAATCCGTATATAGCTAAACACAGGGGGCTCTAATGGTTAAAACTTGTAAACAGATTTCAAAATTTCCGATTCATTTAAAAAACTCACCATCATATTTTACCATTGTAAATAAACTCATAGCCCATAGGGTGACAGCCCATGGAAGGCCAAGGCCTACTGTGCCCATCTCAGTTTTCTTGACCTTGGGCTCTGGGGTGCAAGAGCAGATGTTCCGGTCAGGTGGTCAGCCGAACGAGGAAACCCCAGTATTTAGTTCCCAAGCATGCTTGGTTCTCATTTATCGACCCACTGAAGGGATGAAAGGCTGAGTCAACCTTGCCCTTGGATCGAACCCAGGACCTGTGGCACGGGAGAGCGAAGCGCTACCACTCAGCTACCGGGCGTCATCTTGTAAATAATGTTAATAATATTACTTGAACTATTTATAATTCAATTAAAAAAAGCCATTTAACTTTAGCTGAATTCATAAGATACTGAAGACAACCCTTATACTTCATTTAGGTCGTAATGTTAATTTCTTTAAATTCATTAGTGGCTCTCGACTTCCGGAAATAAAAAAAATCTTATGAATAGTAAAATTGTATATAAATCTAAATATAATCAAAATAATAAAATTTCTTAGAAATTTAAGTCTAGAAGTCTTTCGAAATCTGTTCACACATCATCTCGTAAAACATAACATAATAAGGGGATGCGACTGCGCCGGAATTTTTCTAGATTCAATAACAGTTTTAAAATCCTGCTACTGCTTAAATTCAGTTAACGATCCATATAACACGAATGCGAGTTAGTTAAACTCAAAAAGTCAAACAGAGTCAAGCAAGTTTGCCCAAATGTTTATTTTAGTAACTCTGTCTTCTAGGTTTGAATTCAAAGCGCTAAAATATTTCTTTCTTATTTATGAATCATATAAGATAAATCATTAACTATTTTATCGAATAATTTTGTGTAATTCAAAAGTTTATCTTCATTCATTCACTTATTTATTGAAGGTATATTGTGATGTAGATCCAAAGCGTAAAGCATTGGCTGAAACTAATGCCGAATACAACGTTGCGAAAGAAAAATTGGCTCGGATCCAAGAAAAAGTCACGGTTAGTGTTTTACAAAAACTGTATTAATTTTGAATTATTAATTGAGAGAAACTTATTGCTAATTTCCCTATTGCTTATAACATATTTTTAGGAAGCTGAAATTCGTCTGGCAGAGTTGCAAACTAGGTGTGAAACTGCCAGAGAAGCAAAAGCTAAGTGTGAAGCGGAGGCTGAAAAAACTAACTTTAGCATCCACTTAGCTAACCGACTTCTGGGAGGATTAGCATCTGAGAGACAGCGATGGTCAGAATTAGCAGCCGATTTCAGACGCCTTGACAGCACTCTACCGGGAGATGTACTTCTGTCATCTGCTTTTGTGGCATATTTAGGTCCTTTCACTAAACTGTATAGATTACAACTTATACATGAGTACTGGACTCCCTTTTTAAATGAAGTGAGTATTTTAGTGAGTCCTAAATAACATTATACAGCTATAGATTGGTAATATTTTGCGGCTAGGTTAATTTCATTCAAAAACATTAATAAATTAAAAATTTGGTTTTGAAATGGTAAAAAAATATCAGATCAAGGAAAAAATTGCAGAAGATTAATATAAGGTTTCTATTCCTGCATATCATTTGTGTTATTTTAAACTTATGAAATTAGCTGCACTGTTTATATGCTTGAAAACAAACTGGAAAACATTTGATTAAATAAATTAGATTTTAGAAACTAGATTGCGCAATTTTTGATTTTTAAAAATGAAGTAATAGTGAAGAGCAATTTGATGTAGAACACGAAAAGTTATTGGTTATAATGTCTATTTTGATGAAAAGTCTCAAAACCGAGAGAGTTCGTTTTTATTGCAAAAGAGCCAGCTACTTGGTTTGCATACTACAAAGGAAAGAGTGTGATGACAACTTTATAGACATAAAATGTACCCAATTATAAATAGGCCACTGGGGCAAAGTCTTTTGTTATCATCGATCTAATCTTGGAGCATTTTTTCAAATTTCATATCGCTTAGCGAAAATATCAGTTAGTCTCACTTATATTCATGGTTGATACTGAGATTTCGCAGTTTTTTGAGTTTAATTTGGTAACACATGTAGGTTTAATTTTCATAAACATTTTTAGTGGATACGCTATTCCTTGAAATTGATTTAAAAAAAGGTATGGTTTTAGCAACATATCAATAAATATTTTATGTAAATGTTGCTTAATTACGGTTTAAAATTTTGTATTTTTTTCTTTTTATAAATCTAAAAATTTATCCCACATCTTATTGTCTACTTTAAGCAGTAATTACGTGACTTACGCTATCAGACCTAAATTTTTATTCTAAATCTTTGCTCTTGGGTATGAAACATTCTCTTTTTGGTGCACTGTATTGTTGTATGTGTTATCATTAAATGTAGTGTGCAATGAATAGAATTATTACTTTTGAAAAGCACAATTCAATTTCAACGCATTTTTCGAAAGTTAATTAAGTAATCAGACTCTTTGCAAACAGACTCCGTCATTTTACAATGTTCCAAGCTAGTTGTGAAAGGTTTCTAGCATTTTACAATCAGCCACACAATTTTTAATCTTTTTGCTATCCAAGCTTATTGGAAAATACATCATCTATTGCTCAATTAACCAAATTTATATGAGGCAGTAGTGAAGTTTCATAATAAATAGACTTTATTAAATAAGCTTTATTATAATTATTAAATAGGGTTTATTTCAATAAGCGTAAGCAAATTTAGTGTAAGTAATTCTTCGCAGTTTCCTAACTTGCCTAAAATCATAGAAACTGATTTAATGAACTTAAAAAATAACATACAGATTAAAAATTTCTGAAGACCTTTTCAATAAACCTGGAGCTTTGCAAAAAGCCGGCGACATTTGCAAGGAGTCCCATTTTTTTCTCCAATGAAACTACGACAGATTCATCACCCTCAATCTCCCAAATTTCTGAATTAAGAGGGCTAATATTTTTTTAAAACTTAAATCACCATTGTTTAATTTCCAGAATAAACTACCAGTTGGTTTGGATTGCATAGATAGAGCTGGGACAGAAAGCCCAATCATAGCTTTGTTACTAGAAGACGAGACTGTTGTTGGAAGATGGCGAAATTTAGGCTTACCTGGCGACAAAACTTCAGTGGAGAACGCAGTTCTCTTTAATTCATGTTTCTTGCTGTGGCGTTGGCCTCTCATCATTGATCCACAAATCAGAGCAATTCCCTGGATAAAAACCATTTTTGGAAATAAACTTTTAATTGTAAGAACGGATCAAAAAGGGTAAGATATTTATAATATCGGATCGACATTTTAAAATTTGATCTACTTATCTAAGTGTTTTGTTTGCAATAATTAGTTGTTATATTCACCTTTAAAATTACAAATTAAAGTGATTATCATTAAATAGGAAACTAAGTTTGCTTTACTTAACACAAGGTATTTGCTTTCAGAATGGATAAAATATAGCTCAATATTAGTAGAGGATATTTTGTATCTTCCCCGAAACAGATTACATGTTCACTTATTTCCCGCAGTAACTTCACCTTACAAACTAAAAGTCTAAACTTTTATCTGAATGGTAGTGAAATACCATGACTGTTTCTGCTTCATTTTCCCCTTTAAAATAATCTTGTGTCGTACGAAGTCAATGATGCTCTATATTTTTATTAATATCTTAAAAAATTAAGGGGATTAAAATTTTGACTCCAAATTCAGTCAATGAATGACACTATAAATAATCTCACGTAGTAACACGTCACGTGTGCTATTATAGCAACTTTGTAACTAGAGATTGTTTTTATGAGTATAGTGCTTGAAAGGAGGTACAGTATTTTTGTATGCATTTCGTATTTTTTCATAGTATAATTAAACTCTTCTCTAAAACATTTTACATCGATTGGCATAAGAAGAAATTTATTGTAATCTTACAGGTACTTAGATATAATAGAAGAAGCTGTCACATCTGGTAAAGCTGTTCTAGTGGAAAATCTTTCTGAGAAAATAGATCCACTTTTATTTCCACTAATATTCTGCAATTTTGTGAAAAAAGGAAAGTACGTTTAAAGTTACTTTTACATTTAAAGTAAATAATTTACTTTTCATACAGGGTTACTATGTTAGGGCAGTTTTATTCGCACTTACATTCTTTTAATTTAATTGTTATCAGTTGAAAATTTTAATTAATTTCTTTAAAAGCTTTATTTTGCAAATCTAAAATTTATTTTATTTCAAAATAGCACAAAAGAAAGAACTAGGATTCAATCCTCACCAGAGGCTTGGAATCCATCCAATTTCATATCGACGAGTACTACATCTGGGAAATGGTATCACCACATGCTTATCACAGTGGACTTATCACAATGGGCTGCATTGTTCGCAATGCTGATCACACTGTCACATTTGCCACTAAATTGCTTAGCCTTACTTCTCCATGAACTGGTTCACAGCTGGCAGTTACGAGAAAGCTTTACTTTAATTCAAAATTAAAGTTTTATATAAATTAGTTCTTTCTTTTTAATTTTTAATTCCCTACAGCCAATATCCGCTTGAACATAAGAAATTCGTATATTTCTTTAACCCTTTGATGACGAATTTTCATTAATCTATTTCTTTCATACTTTTTTTATTATTTTGTATTAATTTAAATCAAAATAAAATGAAAATGTTATATTTGGTATTTTAATAATTTTTTGTTATGAAATACAGCAAATACAGTCCTTTTACGTTAAAGGTAAAATTTTCCAAACATGGCTCACTTCCAAACAATTTTTCAAATCTGTTCTTATTTGCAGTTACTTAGAACAAAGAAAAATAGCAATTCATCATTAAAATATCTGAAATCCATTATTGATAAATTTTTGATTATGAATGAAAAAAAAAATAATCATTATTTTTTGAATTTTCCATTTTAGAACTAATATAATTCCGAGAATCTGACAGAGTTTTTTACTAACTATTAGACTGTTTTTTATAATTAAAAAATCCCAAAATATATTTTTACTTGTAATTAGAACGTCCGCAAAAAATATATATAAATTCATCATATAAACATTTCAATGTAATATTTTGATCAATTTTTTTCCAGAGCAATTAAATTAGGAACGAAAGAAATCCCTTTTAATCCAGATTTCCAGCTCATTCTTCACACGAAATTGAACAATCCACGATATGGACCAGAAATTCAGGCTCAGACAACCGTCATCAATTTCGGTGTAACAGCTGAAGGGCTGGCTGATCAACTACTGGCGGAAGTTGTTTCTAAAGAAAGACCTGATCTCGAAGAATCAAAGGTGAAGTGTGGATAAATTTTATTTTGTTACAAACAATGCAAACAATGAAAAATAGTGATATGAAATAAGGATAAAAAAAAGGAGTGCAAAACAATGATAACACTAGAGTACAATTTTATTTTCTGTGGAGCATCGCATTTTAAAAAAGTATGATGGTTTAACACTGTACTTGCCACGAGCTTTAACTACACAGTGTATTATCGATAAATATAATTATAAAACGTACATAATTTAACCATATCTTTTCATAGAATGTGTGACGCGGGATCTCCCTCACTAGATGCACACTTTAAAAGGTAGAGAAACATTTTTTTAAAGATTAGTATTATTAAGCTCGTAAAAATATCCCTTTAATCGCTTAATCTTTTATTTAATTTTCAATGGATTTTTTATTCGAAATTTACTTTGAGATTTTATTAGTGGTATGAAACCACAGCAAATTGATTCTGTTTTGAAACTCTGTGTTTAAATTTAAAATAGGTATTAAAAATGTATTAAAATTAAATATGTGTTAAAATTAAAATTTAGTGCTGAAAATTTGAAGTTAAATTTCGTAGGAAAATAAAAACATCCAAAAACTGAGCTGGGAGTAAATTCACAAATTTTTCACATTCTCAAAATTTAATGACGCTGCATCTTGTACTGTCACAACTGACAGTTTGCCAAAGCTTGTTTAAATAAATGCCAATATAATAATACATATTGGCATTTATTTAAACAAGCTTTTATACAAACAAACACCATAATTCATCAATCATCTTAACCATATTATTGTAAATAATATAATATTAAATGATGATGTTATGAGGTATTCATATTGTACCGCAGTAATGATACAAAGATTTTGCATTTTCTTTAAAATTATTTCCTTAATGCTCTGAAAAAATGCTGCAAAAAAACGGACTCTTTAAGGGAAAAAATTGTAAACACGATGGCTTTATAATTAATCTCAATAAAACTGCTGAGTATAAAATTTTAAAACGTTTCTTCATTTGTAAAATGCAGGCAAGATTGACTAAAGAACAAAGTGAATTCGCCACCACCTTGAAAAGTCTGGAGGAAAGTCTTCTCTCGCGATTATCTCAAGCAGAAGGTAATCTGGTCGGAGATGTATCTCTGGTTGAAAGTCTGGAATCCACTAAAGCGACGGCTGCTGAAATAAAAGCAAAAGCCACGGAAGGCAGTTTGACTGAGGCTTCCATTAATGAGGCAAGGGAAATGTACAGAGATGTTGCCATTCGTGCTTCTCTAGTATATTTCGTTATCCAAGACCTTGCCACACTCAGTCCCATGTACCTTTTCTCATTAAAAGTAAGTGAGAATGAAGATAGTTAAAAAAATTTTAAGTTATCACAGTCATCTTGTGTCTATTCATAAAAGAACGTCATAATCGCCATAACTGGATACCTTCAAGCGACGTCATCGTGACATGCGTCTATTCTATAGCCAATCAGATTAGACTCTTACGCGTTACATATTCAGTTAAATCTGATTTAAATCACATGGTTGGGCCAAATCACGTCTTTTCCTTCTTCTCGAGTTGCAAGTACCCATTTTAACTTCAAGGCTAACTACCCTCATAAGTTTTGTTTTAATTTATTGTTTTTTCGTTTTTTGCGATCCCATGTTAAAAATGTGATAAATTTGGAATCTTTAAGCGATTACGTAAATCCAGTGCATGGTTAGGCAATTACGTCCCGATTGAAATTTAAAACTGACATTACATCATAGGTTTCTCTTTTTGCTGATTACTAAGCCTATGTTAAAAAATAAAACATCAGGAATTTTAAATGCTCAAATTGATTCTTTGTGTAACTATTTGTACAACAACGCTACAGTTGAGTTTTAAAGCTATTATATATCATATATATGTTTCCTTTCGCAGATAATACTAAGTCCAAATTAAAAGTACGAAACACTTGAATTTTAAATGTACATATTAATTCTGCGCATGACTACTTCTAATTTAACGAACAACTGAACATCATAAATAATGGACTTCATAAGTTTCTCCTTTTTTTACCGCTAATCTTAAATCCATAATAAAGTACGAAAATGTGTACAAAATCTTGGAAAGTTGTAAATAGGACATACAGGAAGTAGAAAAAAATAAACCTTTGTATGCATTAAATGTGAGTAAGTTATATTTATTTTCCAGGTTCTGAATTAATTCATATGATCATATAACTGCTTTAAGTAACAAATTAAAAAATTATCGAGTTGGAAAATAACAATAAACAATTCGTTTTCCTTATTTCTGATAGAGAAAAGTTCTTCATTTATATCGTTAACATCTGAATTTCAGTAGTCCTCCCACATAATGTTTATTTTTAGAATCCTTGTCATGAGTGGTACAAAAAAATATATTACATTATAGATCGTAAATTAATTTTTAAGCAGAGAAAAAAAAACGCTTTTAAGATTTGTGAAATCATAAGTGAAGAAGGCGTGGTATAAATTTTAAAATTAGTTTAATTTCCTGATACAATTTAAAGGGGCTTCTAGCAATCATCTTTCAACTCCTCTCTGCTTCTGTCGTCAATCAAACAGGTTTTAATGTTTAATGCTTTATTCCGTAGTGTGATTAGACAGATTTAGATGGAATTTTCGCTCATTCTTCGTATAAACATTGATTTGAGGCGCCTAATATGTACACTTTATTCACTCCATTTCTGATCATTATTCTTAATATATATTGAGGGTAATGATTTCGGCATGATGATAATTTCGTTCATTTATAATATCGAATAATAAAATGTAAGAAGTCCGACCGTGGACTGATCGCAAAGACACTGTTCCCAGTAGATCACGAAGTGAAGCATGACTTGCTGCAGTCAGTGAGTAGGTGGGTGACCACTTTGATCAGCCTCCAAAGGGACCGAAGGCGCGTGGTATCGCTCCTCGTTAAACTGTTCTACCACAAAGTGCTCGACTTCGTGCACAGGTTGTCAGGCTACTAAAGTGGGGAGAGTTCCCCTCTGCTGAGGATCAGAATATTGATGGCATGTTTTCGGATCATCCTCAGGGGTGTTTCCCAGACAGTTACCAATAGCTCATTGTGCAGCTCTAGTGCGACGTAAATAAAGTACCTACCTACCTCAAATGTAAGAAAGATTTAACTTGCCCGCTATTAGGGCTAATAATTTCAACAGTGTATTCTCAACATAAATCAAGAAGAAATTAAATTCGTCGTTTCATCATTTGAAAACAAAATAATAATTCCAAAAGCAGAAAAAGGAATTATTTAATTAGTGATTGGAATTTGATTGATTTCAGATTTTGAAATCTGAAGTTGGGAATTATATTATACATAAAAATTAAAATTGCACTTATACTGTATGGTTGTGCTTCCAGATTTAAAAAAAGTCCCTTTTCTAAATTTGGATTGTGCTCATGTCGAATGCTTTCTTCTTTCAGTCCATCAAAGAAGTATTTCATAAGGCCATAGATAAATGCGCCCACACAGAAGCTGTAGCTGCGAGAGTGAGACTTCTCGTTCAAGATGTCACATTATCTATTTTCCGGTATGTCAGCAGAGGTTTGTTTGAAAACCATAAGATTGTACTGGCCACCCACTTAACGTTCCAGGTAACTCTATCCAATTTCATATCGACGNAGAGGTTTGTTTGAAAACCATAAGATTGTACTGGCCACCCACTTAACGTTCCAGGTAACAATTATATTTCAGTAAACGAATAAATTAAAAGTGATGAAAAAATCTAACTATGTATTTTATTTAAAAATGTGTATAAAGTTTTTCAGAAGCATAAAACGTTGTTTAGACGTTCGACTAATATGCATAGAAATCTAAATATATTTAAAATTAGACTGGATTAGTTAGTTATTTTTCCAGCATAAGTGCTTTTTTTTCTCAAAGGAAAACAAAATGTGCATAGGATACTCCGAAATTCCCAAAGGAAAGAATTTTGCTTAAAAGAACTGATTTTTACTGTAAAAAAGATGAGAATTTTTTACTGATTCGTCAATAGGATTGTTATGGCAGTGCTCCCTAGCATTTTTATCACCCCAAATCGGTCAATTTTTGATAATTTTGCAGCTGTCTACTAAGAACGCTGATTGTCTATATTTTATATTGTTTTGATTTAATAATTTTAATTTGATAGTATTTGGGCGTGCCTTCAAAATAGAATACTATTAAATGCTTGGTATTGGTGCAGCTTTAGGTGACATCTCTCAGCTCCCGGTTAACCTGTCGTCCATGGAAAGTCATGCACACTTAATAAAAATATTAGGTTTGTAGACCACTGTCTTTTTTTTAATATTTTATATCCGTCGTTGAACAGCCGACCCAATTTTGGGTTTACGACTACTGATGTTCAACTCCGTAGCCTTGTAATTTTGAACCAATTCAGCAGCCAAGGAAACTCCTGGATAAGTACCCCCCGTGGCATTGATTTGTTATGGGAATATGGAGGAATTTGCGACTCCACAGATTTAACATGCATCAGTCACCATTTACTACACGGGAAGTCTTCCGCCGGCTGGGATCGAACCCACGAACTTTTGGACATGGGCCCAGTGCCCTACCAACCAGGCTATCCCGGCCTAGAGACCACTAGTTTATTGAATAGCAAATGACCTGCGTGATTTTACTAGCGCAAGTTTTACCGAAATTTTAGACCATTTTGCTGACTATTGTTTACAGCGTTTAATTTCCTTATTCAAAGCATGAGGGCTGCGGTCTCGTGAGCATAAATATTAAATTTTAAGAAGAACAAGAGAAAAAGGTCTTATGTTATTAAATAGCATTATCTGAATTATGTTATTAAATAACATAATTCTGATCTTCAAAATTAAAAATTACTCGGCCAGTGAATTATTCAAAATATCGCTGAACCATGAAATACGTTGTTTTATCAAGTTAAGCAGAAATTTAACTAACCTCAACGATTCCTGTAGACTTATTTCCTTCGTTAGCAGCATTTTAGTGCACAAATGGTCAACTACAAGCTTCTAATCTTGCATGAGTTTTGAAACACTCCATATTACTGAGAAACACTAGTCTATTTAAGCGAATGAATTTTGTGACTTGACTTTGTTTCTCCTAAATTACCTAAACAAAGTGTTAAAAATTTTAATTAAACAGCTTATTAACGTTTAGAAACCTATAGATTTTTTTCATTTGTTAGATTCTTCAGATGAAAAATCAGATTCCAGCAGAAGCAGCCGAATTTCTCCTTCATCAAAATATTGAGGATTCGACTCTAGAAAGTCCGGTTGAGTTTATGAGTAATCAGTCATGGGCAGCAATAAGAGTAAGATACACATATAGGAGATTTTGATTAATAAAATTGTATTTATTAATTATTAATTACAAAGATTTTTCTAACATAAATGTCCATGCTGTATCTCTGTTACATTTTACTACAGCCAACGATTCATAACCGACAGACACATGTTTGTTGATTTGTTACTGCCATCGATTAATAACACTGAGGTACAATTTTCTTTTGTCTTCTGTTACATGAGATTTTTTAACAGAGTTTAAGGGATTTTATATTGCTGATTTCAAATCAGCAATTGATTTCTTTCTCCAAGCTACAATTTTTTTTAAAAGATATTTTTGATATATTTTTTGTCAAAATGTGGAAGTTTAAAAACGTAATATTTAAATAGGGGATCGAATAAATATTGCGACAAACATCTAGGGGAACTAGGGCACGTCATCAGGGTTAATAGTGCGTAGAACGTCATCGAAGAGGCACTTCTCTATTATGATGGCATTTTCGGGCTCTAATTCCAAGGCACTTTTTATCCTAATGATCCCTAACTTCTCTGGAAGTTTGTCGCAATATTTATGCGACCCCTATTATATATAACTCTTTTAAACTTGTATGTTTCGACAAAAATAGACTCTAAGTACCATTTTTAAAAAAGAACCGTAGCTTGGAGAGAAAAATTTATTGCAGATTTAAAACCAGTCATCTTAAGATCCGTTAAGCAATCTCATGCAACAGAAAACGAAAAAAAAATTGTTCCCCAGTGTAATGATTGAATATTAATGTGCAGACGATAATATCAAAACGAAATGATCTGGCATCAATAGAAGAAATGGTTGTCGAAGGAATCAGAAATTTTTAATTTCTTATCCGCTTAGAAATTAATTAAAAATAGTCTCATTATTTATTTTTCTTCTTCCGAATCTTAAATGAAATGGGGAAGAAGCCTGTTATGTTTATTGAAATTCGAAGTTAATATCTGTTATATTAGGTTGTTGAAAAAGTTCTGCAACACTTGCGAAAATTTCATCTTTTATGAATTTTCTTTTTGTGTTGTTGTTTCTTGATGTTCTTAGTTCAAACTTTCATCCACAAGCTCTACATGATTTTGAAAAACTGAACTTCGGGTTTTGATTCGTTATTGCTATAAACGAGATCCTTCAGCAAGGGATGTTGCAAATATGCTGCAGAACTTTTTTAACAACTTAATAGATTCACTGATTGCATAACTTAAAAAATTCGGGGGGGAAAAGACGACAAAAAAGTGGGTTTTTCAAATTATTTTTTAAGTAGAAGAAAATCGTCCTTAAAAATGAAATGGATGAATGAAATGAAATGCATCAAGTTTTGATGGGAAAAGTTTGAACTTGACGATGGAAAAAAATGGAAAATATTTTAGCACAGGATGGGCGTCGTAGTACAGACATGTCGAAAAATTCACACAAATCGCTCGTTAAATACCTCTGAAAAATTAACAATAGAGCTTCGTAATTTGCTTGAAAACATACTCATTTAGCTTCATATTGATAGTTTTATTTTTAGTGCTAAAAGTGTACCAGCAAATCGATATACAGTCACAGATACAGGCATACAAATTCTTCATTTTATTATGTGTATATATTGAGTAAATGTTATTCATTGATTCTTTGTTTAAATTTTTTAAGGCGTTAGCTTCATTAGACGAATTCCAAGGACTCGATCGTGATATGGAAGCCTCACCAAAGCGTTGGAGAAAATTTTTGGATTCTGAGTTTCCAGAAAGAGAAGCGCTTCCCCAAGAATGGAAAAATAGATTTACAAACTTTCACAAGTTGTGCATTCTTAAGTGTCTCAGACCGGATAGAGTCATATACGCAATCAGGTATTAGTTTGTTTGTTTTTTTACATTTGATTTAATTCACTTGCCTCTTTCTTTTGCTCGTCAGGTAACTTAATTTTAATGAGTTGCTGATGAAAAACGTATGAAACATCACTCTTAGCCATAACTTGTCCAATCTCCAATTGATGATTGTCTTTCAAGAAAATCACATCTGAGAATGTTTTTGAACTTTTGAACTTGTTATCGTTTCTTGAGGAGAGTTATTAATCTCTCTCATACTGTCTATAAACAAAGTTTGAACCATAATATCGTATAAATTTACTGAAAAAGTAACAATGAGGTATTAGGCTAAGTTTTGTATTTTTGTTTTACTTGAAACCAAGTCAAGGAAATAGAGTTTGTACACAATGTGGTTCAAGATAACACCATCTTTAGGTTGCAAAAAGTATGATAAAAGATACTATTGCCAGTTTCAAACAATGTAAATTGTGTTGTTAATCAAAACATTTTTCTTCCAGAAATAATGCCAACGTTCGGAAACACGAAAACTGTCAATCAAAATTTTTTTTAAATTCCTCTTTTTAGGGACTTTGTGGCTGAAATTCTTGGCCCAGAATTTGTCGATAGCCGAAGCAACGATTTAGAGGAAATCTTGGATGAATGCAATGCCAAAACTCCTATACTCTTCATTCTGAGTCCTGGTGTAGATCCACTTCATGATCTTGAAGCTTGTGGCATCAGACGTGGTTTCTCGTCAGATCTCAAGAACTTCCAGAACGTTTCCCTTGGTCAGGGCCAAGAAACAGTGGCGGAACAGACTTTGACAGATGGACTGAGCAACGGCCATTGGGTTGTACTTCAGGTTAGAATTAACAATTTCTCAAAGAACATATCATTATAAAATATGCATAAACCACTCGTTATCTTGTTGAATAGGTTTATACAAAAGTAATTTGGTATAAATCAATGGATTTTTTTCTTCTAAGATTCAATATTGCACTTAAAAATATTAAATCATAAGTTTAAGTATAAACTGGAGACTAATTAACAACGTCTTCAATTTTTCAGAATATTCATTTAGCGAAAGCCTGGCTTCTTTGCTTGGAGAAGAAATTCGAAGAGATAAATGAATGTGAGGTCCACTCAGAATTCAGACTCTTCCTGAGCGCAAATCCCCTTGAAGAAGAAGAACATTCGGATTTCATGCCACCCGGTGTGCTGGAAGCATGCTTGAAAATCACAAATGAACCCCCAAAAGGAATGCAAGCTAATCTTCATAAAGCATTAGATAATTTTTCTCAGGTAAGAAATAATTTAGTGAATGATAATTTCAACCACCAAAGTTGAACTGGATCGACACTAACACTTTAGTAATTGTCTTTACATTAAAGTTTCTGAAAACAACAAAAATCTTCTTTCAATTGGGTACTTGCATTTCAAGAAGAAGATGATCACGGATAGTCACACATATGACTTATGACGTCAGCACCAGCTGATCGTTGATAAGCAAAATGGCGAGTTAAAGTTCAGCTAAGTTTCTTCACTTAAGTTGGAATGTTAATTAACCTGAAGTTAATTAAATACTGTGCTGTATCGCACATCGAATTCGTTGAAAAATTCTTTCTCGTTTACGTCTTTTACTTAACTTAGATTTATTATTCGTTTATGTATTTTATTGTAACCGTATCATGTATTTCTTTTGTGTTCCTGGCAACTTCCATGCATAATTAGTTTGTTTATGTTCTACATGGCTTCAAGTCTGCCTTTATGTTAAGTGACAAATATATTGTGAAAAAATTGAAATCTTTATGAAAGAATCTTTGTGTAAGAATATTGAATGTATCACTTAAGCGAATTGATACTTGACGGGCTTGGCTTACTCGAAATGGAAGGGAAGGAATAGTTGCTAACGTAATCACACATTGAAACATAACGTTGGTCGAGATACACACACTACGTCGCTTGCAGGTATCCCAATGCAACGTCTCAAGCGCTAGAGTTTTGTTGCTGGTAGCAACCGATTGATGCAATTTTGAAGGCAAAGTTACTTAAGTGACGTGAGCTTAGACTTCCCTTATAGCGATGCAAATTTTAAAATAATTACAAATTAGAATTAGTGTAGTTGTTGACTAGAAAATTATGGTCGACTATGTTACCTACAAGGCTGAGGTAAATCAGTTGATCTTCCTCAATTCAATAATTTTTATGTCTTTGTAAATCTTCTAATGATATCAAGGCCAGTTGTAATATCTCAGTTTTGTTGCTGGGGACAATCAGTTGAAGCAGGCTTGGTATTTAGGTAATTTAAGTGACGTGAGCTTGAGCATATTTATTCTAATGTAAATTTTAAAGTCAAGCAAATAATTTTTAGCACAAGTACTGTTAAACAGAATTCTTGCGAATACAGTATGTTAAGTTAATGGGATGGAATTTTTCTGCACTTCCCTGGGCGTCTAGAACTTAGAAATGCTAAAGTCATTTCTTCTTAGACTATCTTTTGAATTTCGTTTAGTGTTGAATTAGAAAAAAACTTTTTTATCATCCCAATAATTTTTTTTAACCTTTATTTACACAATCCTAATGTTAGTAATTTTTTTCTTACAACACTCCTGACTGACAAAAATACTAAAGTACATATTTTCTCTCATCCTTAAAGTGTAACTGATTTCCCTTCAAATTTCAGTAAGTGTTTTAATTATTAACATAATAATAATTTGTTACCATAAGATTTTCTAATCCTTTTTATTTTAATTTCTAACAGGAAACATTCGATTCCAGTGCTCGAGAGAGCGATTTCAAGAACTTACTGTTCACTCTGTGTTATTTCCACGCTGTCCTTACAGAAAGAAGGAAGTTCGGATCTCAAGGCTGGAACTATCCTTACCCTTTCAACGATAGCGATCTCCTTATAAGGTATTATTATCTGTTCCAAAGGTAAATTTTATCAAACAACCTCTTTTTTCGTAGTATATTCTAATACTTAAAGCATAATATAATTGTATTTCAACTACATAATATTTGTAAATAAAGTATAGTTGAATTGTAAATTTTGTATAGTCAGTAAAAGAAGTAAAAAGACTATTTTAAGTTTCGATCACGAATTTTTTTTTGTATGCAATCACCAATCAACGAAGTTTTAAAAAATAATAGCTGCACTAACTGAATCACAGAAAGTAAAATACTAAAACAAAAAAATAATAATGTAGACCTAGAAGTTTATAGTGGAGTGTCTGAAGTGAGTGTCTAGTGAGAACGTTTGTCTGAATTTAAAACTAAAAATATGCAATTTCAAAATTAACGTATAATATTTTTTAAACCGACGTTAAACGTTCGACTTTATAATCTTGTAATTTAAAACTCAAATATGGAGACAAAGACACTTTAACTGCTTTCTTGGATGACTTTCTGAGATTAATAAATCTGAATTTGTGTTATATAGAGAGAAAACCCTCGAAAACCTTTCGTAATTTAGTCAAAAAAATACTTATAATTTAAGATACCAACATTATAATCAGTTCACAAATCGGGGTCAATATACAAATCAAGCAATCCAAGCGAATCTGCACAGTTTTGCCTAACTCAAAACTTAACCTGAACATTCGTCCCGTAGTGGATTGATCATTAAGACACGGTTCCCAGCAGATCACCGAAGTCAAGCATCACTGGCTGCCTTCAGTGTGCGGGTGGGTGACCACTTGGATTAGTCTGCGTCGGGAACGAGGGTGGGCGGTATTGGTCCTCGTTAAACTGTTGTACCGTAAAGTGCTCGACTTCGCGTGCAGGTCGTCGGGCTACCGAAGCGGGGGTGCCATCCCCTCCTCAGAGGATCAAAATTGTGATGGCATGTCTTCGGATCATCCTCAGGGATGTTTCCCAGACCGTCGCCAATAGCCCATTGTGCAGCTCTAATGCGACGTAAATTAACTACAACAACAACAACAACAACCTGAACATTCAAACTCAAAACATTCTATGTATACTATGGATGTGTGACTGAATGTAAACAATAACAATTTTCTGAAAAAAGGAAGGTAAACACGATACAGTTACGATACAGAATGTTACGATACAGTCTGAACAGTGTTGTTATAATAGAAAATCGCAAGCCGTAGGTAAATATGAAAAAATTAGTGTTACAACATAAGTAAAGCGTTAGGTTTCCCATGTTTTGAATGTCATCCCTTATTTGGCTATATTTATGTAAAATGTTCCTATTTTTTATTTCTTGGATAACATCAAAGTATGCTCGTGAAATCTTTCGAATTCGTTTGTTGATTGTTTCATTAAAAGTTAAATTGAAAGAACACGTTATATTATAAACACTACAAGCATAATAATATTCGAAAGCTTCATCGTCAAATAAAATTATGCTTTTTTGCAAGTAATATGCTATTTTCATAACTGCTATGAGTTTGAAAAAATTACTAATGGCTGTTAGGTCAAGTTTAGCCTATCTAANCTTCCTTATAAGGTATTATTATCTGTTCCAAAGGTAAATTTTAAAAAAATTACCTCTTTTTTCGTAGTATATTCTAATGCTTGAAACATAATATAATTGTATTTCAACTACATAATATTTGTAAATATAGTACAGTTGAATTGTAAATTTCGTATAGTCAGTATAAGAAGTAAAAAGAGTATTTTAAGTTTCCATCACGATTTTTTTTTTTGTATGCAATTACAAATCAACGAGGTTTTAACTGTACTGACTGAATCACGCCCGGTGGCTGAGCGGTAGCGCTCCGCGCTGTCGTGCCACGAGTCCCTGGTTCGATCCTTGGGCCGGGCAAGGTTGACTCAACCTTTCATCCCTTCAGTGGGTTGATAAATGAGTACCAGGCATGCTTGGGAACTAAACACTGCGGGTTCCATGTTCGGCTGACCACCTGACCGGAACATCTGCTTCTGCACCCCAGAGCCTAAGATCAAGAAAACTGAGATGGGCACAGTAGGCCTTGGCCCTCTAGAGCTGTCGCGCCGCTGAGTTTAGTTTAGTAACTGAATCACAGAAAGTGAAATACTAAAACAAAAGCAAGTTTATGTAAACCTAGAAGTTTATAGTGAGGGTTTTGAATGTTTGTCTGAATAGAAAACTAAAAATAAGCAATTTCAGAATTAATGTATAATATTTTTTAATCGACGCTTAACGTTCGACTTTATAATCTTGTAATTTAAAACCCAAATATGAAGACAAAGACACTTTAACAGCCTTCTTGGATGACTTTTTGAAATTAATAAATCCGAATTTGTATTATAAAGAGAGAAAACCTGCGAAAACCTTTTGTAAGTCAGTCAAAGAAAAATTACTTATAATTTAAGGTACCAACATTATAATCAGTGTAAAAATCGGGGTCAATATACAAATCGAGCAATCCAGGCGAATCCGCACAGTGTTGCCTAGCTCGAAACTTAACCTGAACATTCAAACTCAAAACATTCTATGTATACTATAAATGGGTGAGTGAATGTAAACAATAACAAGTTTCTTAAAAAAGAAAAAAATATGGAAAATTTTTGGTGTATCTCCGCGCTTATGTTACGTTTACGATACAGAATGAACGCAAACACGATACGGTTACGATATAGAATGTTACGATACAGTCTGAGCAGTGTTGTTATTTTGAAAATTTAATTTTTATGATTTTTATTTAAATTTAGCTATGATTTTAACATTCATAAGAGTTTTCTGCAATTTATAAATTCTAAAAAGTCGTGAGTCGTAAGTAAATTTGAGAAAATTAATATTACAACATAAGAAAAGCGTAAGGTTTCCCATGTTTTGAATGTTATCCTTTGTTTGGCTAAATTTATGTAAAATGTTATTATTTTTAGTTTCTTGGATAACATCAGAGTATGCTAGTGAAATCTTTCGAATTCGTTTGTTGATTGCTTCGTTGAAAGTTAAATTGAACGAACGCGTTATATTATAAACACTTCAAGCATAAAAATATTCGAAGGTATCGTTGTCATATAAAATTATGCTTTTTTGCAAGTAATATGATATTTTCATAACTGTTGTGAGTTTGGGACAATTACTTGTGACTGTTGGGGAAAGTTTAGCATATCAATTCCCAGCGATGTCTATGCTTATGCTGAAAAAGGCGTGAAACGTCAATGTTTAAAAAAGCCACAGTTTTGTCCAAATGAAAAGCGTTTGTGATCTAATTTTTTAATACTTAAAAACTTACACCAATGCTACCTTATCTGGGCTCAAAAATTTTCAAAAGCTGTAGGGTATTTTGTGCTGTGATTTTGATAATTTTTCTGTTGGTGGAGAAATATCGCCAAATTGATGATTTTTTAAAATGTTTAATGCCTTAAAAATATTTAAGTTATTCGTCCGCTCTAAAGTCCAGATAATTCTTCACAGTAAGATGATATATATATAATTTAAAATTATCGTTTTGCTTCAAGTGTAAGGTACTTAAACAGTGGCTTTTTTTAAATTTACTTGGTGACAGACCTTCGATAAACCATGTTAAGCATAAAAATAAATCGGAAGTAGTAATCCGGAAGTCTTACGATGAAATGTAACCCCTAGCGACACCTGTGCATAGCTTTATACAGTTAACCATTCATATATCAGCTCAATTTAGAAGACTTAATCACTTGGTTGGCATTTCGAATTAAAAATATTGCCCTTTAGTTAGTAGATGAAAATCCAAGGATTATATCAAAATGATCTTTTCGTAAATATGTTAGGTATTAACATAACATTATTATAAATTAAATTTAATGACATTTTTTTTCCTTACGCAGCGCAAATGTTCTTCATAATCATCTGGATAGTGAGGGAGGTCGGACGTCGCACATTCCATGGGATGATCTTAGATTTTTGTTTGGCGAAATTATGTATGGTGGACACATCACTGACGACAAGGATCGTAAAGTCTGTGCTGCTTATTTAAACAGATACTTCAATAACGAACAGGTGGAAAATGCTTGTTAATTATGCATTTTAAGTATGTTAATAATTATTATGAATTGAACTCGGATAACTGATACAGGAATGCCATAGGCATGCTATTATTAAACGCATTGATAACTAACGCAATTCAACAACAACAAGAAACTTTTTGTTTTAGGCATCTAAAAGAAGGTCGATTGTTCTGTACTTGTACTAAATCAAACTTGCTGATCACGAAAACAACCACAACGAAAGTTTCCTTAGCTTAGTTTCAAAGCAATTCAATCAAAAAGAATTAATTCTACACTAATCTTATAAAAAATGTAACTTTACTGAAATTCGTAAATCGTTAAAACTTTAATATACAGTAGCTCAAGTAAACTTCATAAGAAAGCTTAACCCCTAACAGTTTGCTTTTCTATCTGTTTTTGCTAGTATACGAGCAATCTTTACTATTTACTAGCATACGTCAAAAACAGGAGGAAATGGAAGGATTAAACACGGATACGTCAAAAACAGGATGCACAAAATACCATATCGCGTAATATTATGTCAAAAACAAGAAACTGATCAATGAACAAAATATTCAGAAATAAATATTCTTTTCAAATATAGTCTTACAATTGATACATATATTTTTTAATTTATCAAATATTTCCTCCAAATATGAATGTGTAATCCTTTTCTACCATTTCTATCTTTTTTCTCTATTTTCCTTTTTTTCGTAAAATATTTTTAATTACTTTACGAGTGTTTCGAAAACTATTTTGATATAATTTGACAACTTATTAAAAAGTGTGAAATTCTACTCAATACATATACATGAAACTTTCGAAATTAATTTCTATTTTTATTTCATACTACGTAAAGTATTTCGTAGTTTTCTCAGCTTTATTAGATATTCTAGAGGTTTCATACTTTTTCGCAGGTTGGCCTGTTAGTAATAATCTTTGAGTCAGACTAAAGAGAGTATTAATCCCAAAAGGAGCAAGGTACTGATTTATAATTCTTATTTCAGTTAGAACCTGATTACCCTCTTTGCCCAGGGTTTGGTATGCCTCCTATACTTGACTACGAAGGATACCATCACTATGTGACTGAAAATCTACCCGCAGAGAGTCCTATCATGTACGGTCTGCATCCTAATGCAGAAATCGGATGCTTGACAGATGCGTCAAATTCTTTGCTGAGGGCTCTGCATTTTCTGGAACCATCAACTGCTGAGACTCACGACACAATGCTTCTCCTCCAACCTGACGAAATGACTGCTGTTTCTGCTGCTCCTAATGAAGAGAAGGTATTAACCTACCTGCACAAATAAAACGCTACAGGGGGCCATAAACCTTGAAATGAGAAAAAATTGAATACAGTAATGTATGTTTGCAAAACTGTTAAACCGGATATTTTATTTCTCGTGAAAATAAGATTGAAAAGAAATTGTTTTACTGCCAGGTTTTTCTTTTCTTCGGGTAAGACTCCATACAGTTTTGCTTACATTTCGCCTCGATTACTAAGTCGTGAAATTCCCAGATATTTTTCTCCATATAAAAACAAGTTTGAAATAAAATTGTTTTACTGCCAGTTTTTTCTCTTTTCCGAGTAAGACTCCATACAGTTTTATATACATTTTAAATTGATTTTTCTTATCATAAAAACAAGATTCATAAGTCGCGGAATTTCCGAATATTTTTCTACAAATAAAAACAACTTTGAAATAAAGTTGTTTTACTGCCATTTTTTTCTCCTTTTGGGATAAGGCTCCACACTGAAATTTTTCTTGTGACTGTTACTCAGTTGTAGACATTAACCTTGGAATTATATACATACTTTAAATAGTGATCGAAAAGGAGTGGATTATATCCTTCATAATGGAATGTACAAAGCAAGGCTTAATTGCAAAATGCAAAATCGGTGAGCCAAACGTGTTTCATAACGAGGAGCGTGTTTACGCGCTCTGTGCAGACTGAAATTTAGTTCAGATGATGTGTTTTAAATTTTTGTTCATCAGATTAATTTTCTTTTAGGCTTTTATTTGTATAAATAGTGCACATATAACAACGAGAGGTGTTTAGAACCCCATATCAAGAGATATTGGGTGGAATGTTTTTACATGTTACATGCCCTATTGCATACACTCAGCGGAGTATGTATTCAATTTCTTTAAAAAAAATAATAATTTGGTACCAAAAGTAGCCAGTAGGAAAAAATCAGGATAACACAACAAATATCCGAGCACTATGTGTGTAATAAATGAATACGTATTTGTCAACTGAAACAATAAGTAAATTTTTTTTTGTTGATAAGAAACAGTATTTAGTAGTACTGATTTAATATAACCGTCTCACACTCCGATGTTTTAGCAATCATTAACTATGCTTGATGTTATAAATTTTTGCTCATTAATGACTTTTAGTGCTATTTTTAAATTATATTAAAGTTAATAAAGCTTGTCTTGCTCCACCGGATCACAATTGGTATCCCCGCAAGTGTCCTGGAGGAGCCCTTGATCTTCAGGGTACACGTGCCGACCAAACCGCTACCTGTAAATTTGTCAGTGGGCATACTAAGAGCCTCACTTTCAGTGGACAAATTAAACTTTTTCCACCTTGTAAAAAGTGCAACTCCATCGAGGCTAGTCTTCACCATCTACTTGATTGCCTGGATTTCACCATGGAAGAGGTTCTTGAGAGACCTCTCCTTTTTCTCGATTTTTTGAAGACTCACGGCCTCATGGATCTGTCATAGCTCCGCTATCCCAGCTGGGATTGGAAACAACAACAGTGCTATTTCTTTTTCATTCATACATATGAATTGCACTCCTGATTCCGTTCCGTTTAGATTTAACATTGCGCTCAGTACATCTTGGGTTTTAAACATCTCGCGGCATTTTATAAGAACCCTGCACTTGTAGTCCATTTTCAAAATGCAGGAGATTAGAATATCTTCATAAAGCATAATAATTTTAATCGGCTTTAAATATTTTATACTGAATGATTCTATAAATACATGGAAGTTTGTTACAGCAGTTGAAAGTTTTTTAATGCATTCTGTAGTTTTTTATATTTTGCGCGAACGAATCAACACATGAAATATTTTTTTATTTAACTGTTACACGTATTATTTTAATTTTTTGAAATTCTATCTTCGGTACAGATTCGACAAATATCGGAAGATATTTTGGACAAAATACCGAAGGAGTTTCCTTTATCCGATCTTTATGGGAAAACTTCTGAAGAAAGTGTCATAGCACCTTTCACTGCTGTTGCACTTCAGGAATGCGAACGCATGAACGTTCTTTTGCTGGAGCTGAGCACTTCTCTCAGTGATCTTGAAAAAGGTTTGAAGGTATGTTAAATAGCCTGAATATTATAATTTTAGCTTTCAAGTACCATCTTATATATGTCTCTATAAAAGACATGGGATTAGGAGGATTAGGACATGTGATGTGTGCTAGAAAATGCTTGATGGGCACTGAATATAAGAATTTGCTAGACCCACATTTCTTTATATTCAGAAATAACAAGAAGTGCTGTAAAATTGGTATAAATATCGTAAAAAGCAAAAGTAATGCGTAGACCTGGTGCATGCAGTTGACCGCCCACATTTCTTTATATTCAGAAATAACAGGAAGTGCTGTAAAATTGGTATAAATATCGTAAAAAGCAAAAGTAATGTATAGATCTGGTGCATGCAGTTGTTTAAATACTTCTCTAAAGCATCCAAACAGCTGTAAGGTCATGATTTATATCTTACTTATGCTTTTTGCTCGTTCGTTGCATTTTTAACGTACTTTCCGGCTACCTAAAATGATCGAAAAATAACTGAAACACTGTGTTTAACAAAAGTGCATATTTCAATCATTTCCCTATTGATACAACTAAAATCTGTATCGTAATTTTACTGCCAACTTAAATTTAATGTCAATTTAAAATTCTAACTACTTTAAGATCAGTTGAAGCACTAATTAAACTGGTGCTCTGTGCATGACAGCTATGTAAGTTTCGATGATTTCCTGATCATTACAAGTCGAATTTTATTTTATTTTATAACTGTGATTGAACAGCAGACCCAATTTTGCGTTTTCGACTACTAATGTTCAGCTTCGTAGCCTTGAAATTTTGAACCTAATCCAGAAGACAAAGAAACTCCTATATCAAGTATTGGCCGAAATTTGCCTTCGTGGAGTTATTTTTGATGGAACTAACCCGCATTTGCGTTACGTGAAGAGGAAAACGACGAAGACGTCCCCTGGTTAGTTTGACGGCAAGGGGACTTTAACCCATGATCCGTCTACCACTGAAGATATTTTACGTCAGTTCTGTGATCAGCGCGAGCCGGGTGTGGAATTCGTATAGATCAGCCACTGCTGAGATTCTGACTCAGTTCAACTCATTAGAAAGCGAACGCCCTATCTTCTGAGCCACCACGGCTCAAATAGAATTTATTAGAATATCATCACCTAGAGAGTTTATCATCAATTCGAAATTCTTGCAGCTTTAAGATTAGCAGGAGTATTAAAAGTTTAACTGACGCTCTATGGATGAATGATATCACAAACTTCAGTAGTTTTACGCACGCTAATGAAATAATTTATCCTTATATTATATCCAATTAAAATTTAACGTCAGTGAAAATTTTGATTACGTTTATAATATGTTAAGTGATCGATTTTTAACGGGCATTAAATGCTTAATAGCTATACAATTTTCAATAGTCTCATAACCACTGCAAAAAGATTTTATCGTCAAATGAGTTTATCGCAAATGACAATTCCGACTAATTTCTAGTCAGCTAAAAAGCTCAAATTGTAACCACACCTCTGTGCTTGACTGCAGAAGAAGTGCTAATCATTTCCTGACCATTGAACGAAGAATTTATTATCTTTTCGCCAAGTAGAAGCAAATAATCGTGAAGAGAGTTTTTAATTATCATATTATCAAATTTAGTTAGAAGTATGTGTTTGATGACAATAAAAGTTTCAATTGTTTCCTAATAGCTCAAAAAATAATTTTTCGCCATATTATTGACAATCGAAATTCCGACTACTTACCAACAGTTAAGTGTTCTAGTTTCAACTAAAGATTATACAGTGCAAATTACAGTTGCTTCCTGAACGCTGGCAAGCGAATTTTATCGCTAGATAGAATTTGTCGTCAGTCAAAATTTCGACCTCTTTCCAAATAGTTAGATTGATAAAACTTTAACTGAAACTCTATGCCTTTCGAAAATACAAGTTACAACTGTTTCCTAAATATTTCATGCAAAATATTTCATCATTCCATAACCAATCGAGCTTCGATACATTTTCATAAATAAACTGACAAGTATCTAAAAAGAAAAAAAAATAATAATAACAAATTAAAATCAAATTTTTGAAACTGCGTTTAAATATCTATCTATCTATCTATCTATCTATCCATCTATCTATCTATATATATATCTATCTNATATGTATATATATATATATATATAATTCTTTTTTAAATGATGCACTTATTTTTTTCATTTTTGGTCTGAAAAACGAAGAATTGTTTTCTGCGTTTTATTCTACTTTTAAATATGTAGTTTTTAAAAGTTTTGCTTTGTTTTTTTTTAGATATTTGTTCTACAAATTTTTTGGAGCAAACTTTTCTTATCACTTAACATTACAATGTGAAAACATTTTAACAAAAATAAAATTTTAAAAAAAAGGTCTGCAACCTTTTAAGACGTAGGAGCGTAGAAGAGAAGCAATTGTTTCAAAAATGGTAGTTTTCTAGTTTTCTTAAGATATAATTCATTAAAAGAAATCTTTTACTTTAAATGCTGTTACCTTTTTTATTTTTGACTCATATATAACGCAAATATTGATACAATTTTCATTTTAAAATGAAATCTTTGTTCTATCAGGTTTTAGAAACGGTACTTATGGGATGAAATATTAAAAATGTTAGAATAATTAGGTTTTTACAGCATTCAAAATTTAAAAAATTAAATTTCAGAAACATTCAAAATTTGATTAGAAAAAGGGTCATCAGTTTTCAGTTACAAATTTTCTTTATATGTTGTTCAATAACATGTTGTATTTAAGCTACTCATTTGTTTATTTAAACATTTCTTTGTTAATATTTATTTTTTCATAAATAAATCAATATATAAATCAAATTTAAAAGAACATAGATTCAGAAATGGCAACTGCTCCGCTTTCGGCAGAATATTTAGAAAAGTGGAAAAGCAATAAAAACTGAAGATTGCAGAACTATGCAAATTTCTGATAACACTTTCAAAGCTTTATCACGAACTGAGGGGAATAAAAATGATATTTTATGTATTCGTTTAAATTATTTAAATATTGTGGTTGATGAAAAAATTTTAAATCAAATTTAATAAACCAAAAATCATGCATTAAAACAGGATGCTACCACTAGAAAAACTTTTATCACTAAGTGGAGCAAGATGGCATCTGTGTAGCTTATAACGAGAAAAAAAATCTATTCTAACAATTTTGAGTGATACGTTGTGGTAAAAAGAATTTTTGTTTTGTTTAGTTTGTTGAAGTTAACTTGTTTGAAAATTACTGCTCAATAGGGTGAACTTCCTTGGAGTGACGATATGGATGAACTAGGTGAGTCACTTGCCGCTGATGCTGTACCTCAGGCATGGGCAGTCAAAGCTTATCCCTCATTGTTACCATTGGGATCCTGGTTCTCTGATTTACTGCTGAGGCATAGAGGTATCAAATAATTTATTTCAATTCTTTCTCTTTTAAAACCGAACAACTGATCGGTGTAAACTTGTAAAGGGTCGTTTTGTAAACCTTTTATTTTCGAAGTTTGCTGTGGTAAACTATAGGCATAAAATATTAACTTTTTTTATGGCCGCCATGGCACTTTTACTTACTGAATCCGACGTATATGGAGGTAAAAGTCATTTTATTTTATTACTTTTACTATTGTATTACATATAATTAATTTTATTATAATGAATTTACTTAATTATGATTAATTATAATAATTATAATTTTGATTTTTATAATTATATTTGATGGTAAGTTAATTTAGTATCCAACCGTTAAGGTTCTGTAATTTAACCATGTTTATTTGTAAATAAATTAAAAATACGGTGCTTGTTTAAAGCTGCTAAAGTGGTAAATAATAGAGAAAAATATCCATTCTATATGAGAAATTATATGATACCACTTTTTCAGCATAGATGATTTTTATATGCTGACCACTTTTTGGAGCTAGGCATTAGTAGGCTAACATTCCGCTACAATTAAGATGAAAGTAATTTATTTTTATTTGTTTTTTCTTTCAGCATTAAGTACCTGGATGAAAGCTGACTTCACTCTTCCTCCAACTGTCTGGCTGGGTGGACTCTTCAGCCCACAGTCATTCTTGACAGCAGTCATACAGACATCGGGAAGGAAACATGACCTACCTTTGGATAAGTTATCGATTCAATGCGAGGTCACCAAGAAAACGCCAGAAGAGTTTGTTTTAACACCTAGAGAAGGGGCCAATATCTCCGGTCTTTACATGGAGGTCAGAATGCTTCTCTCGTTCTAATAAAATCACCTTATTGAGGGACATAGTTGGGGGAAATGTAATTTATTTCAAGAAAGAAATTACTTTTGGTCGTGATTAAAAGTAATTATAATTACTATCGCAATTTTAATTGTTATTTTAAGCAACCATAAAGTACGATTACAATTGTGATATTAAACGCTACTAACTGTGTATAGTTATAATTACTAGTAGACTTAATTCATCTAATATTGTTTTCAAATCAATTACATTTTTCTTTTCTCTGAACTGCCATTACATGCTTTAAAACTTTTTCTAAGAAACATTCAGATCAAATTCGATGTAGCTTAGTGGTCAAACATTTGTGACCATGTAGAAGATATAGACTGTATAAATAGGAAGTATTTAGAAACTGTATATATAATCAAGCTTCTTATAACAACCACTTTAACCCGTACAGGACCGTGATCGGATATATTTGATCACGAAATCCCTTCATAGTTCACAGTATCATATATGAGACGTGCCAGACTCTCACGAATCACGATAACACGGATGTAATTTTAATTGGGTACTTTTGGATAACGCTCTATTACATCTCGTATTATATATACTCTTTAGTACGCATACTTTTGATACATGTGAGACTGGGGAAGCGCTTCTTTTGCCGATTCTGAATTATTTAAACAAAGAACGGACACATGTTTATGGAACCGAATGTCCTCCATCGGATTTACATAAGTGTGGACTCGAACAGATACTTCAGAGCAAGGGCCATTTAGACTTACTGACGTTCCTGCATTTCGCTCAGCAAAATGCAGGATAATACTTTTTACTGCATTTATCAAAAGTCAACCAGAGAAGATGATAAAAAGAATAGAAAAATAGAGCACTCAACACTGCATGTTTAAGGTCTATTACAAAAATAGCAAACAAATAAAACAAATTAATCTTCAAAAATTCTGAATTCTCCAAAAAATGAAATTAAATATAGGAACAGTCATGCAAATTAACGTAAGAATTCAGATTTAATAGTTCCGATGCAGTAGTAGTTCTCTTCCATGTTTAAAAAAAATGTGTTTGCCATAGAATTAAAATATAAATACATTTTTTCTACGTATCTATAATTCACGATTTCATGTCATATAATTTTCTATCATTCACAATTTCATATCATATAAGTGTTTATAATTCACATATTGCCTACTATTCCTAATAAGTCACTTTTTGCATAATCTGTAATAAATCATAATACATTTCTCTTCTTTGCAGGGTGGCCGCTGGGATTTTGCTACCGGTTGCATTGTAGATCCACTGTTGAAAAATCTTCACCCACCGATGCCAGTTATTTGTCTGAAAGCAGTTCTTTCGGATAAAGTTGACATTCGGAATGCTTATGAATGTCCTGTTTACAGAACACGACAGAGGGGCTCCACATTTGTTTGGGAATTTCCGCTTCGTACTCAAGATCCTCCAGATAAGTGGGTCATTGCAGGAACTGCTCTTCTCTTGCAGATATAAACATTGCAACTCAAATCATAATCATTCATAGATAGATATGAACGTTCGAACATAATTACATAACAAGAAATGTACATTTAAACTTGTTACATTTAAGGTAATTAAGTCACAAAATTACATTAACTGTTAAATTTCTAATTGAACCCAGTGAAAATATCTTTAAATCTCTGAGGCTATACTTTATAACCCTTTGACGATGAATTTTTATTGGATTTTATATTTTAACACAAATATAATTTCGATAATTTAACAAATTTTTTTAAAACTACTATTAGATTGTTTTTAATAACTAAAAAATACCGAAATATATTTTTGCTTGTAATTAGAGCATCGGAAAAATATATATATAAAAGTGGCACCGGTATCCCATCAGGGTCAAAAGGGTTAAGAGATTTCACAGATATCGTCTTGTTTTTGACTTGTTTAAGGAAATAAGTCTTAGTTGTCCTGTCATATAAACAAACATGGATCATACTGTAGTATATACATACTCATAAAAATGTTGTTGCTATCCTATTTTAAGCAATCGCTAAGATACATTGTTATTTATTATGTTTGTGATGCATTATTGTTTTTAGCACTTATTTAGTGCATGAATATGACATTATTCCGATGTAATTCTGTGTGAAAGAAATAGAGTTCAGAGAAAGAAGAAGAAAATAAGCGAAAGAAAAATTCATTTGAATTGTTTGAGACTAACTTTTTGCTAACTTTCTTATAATTCTGTTTTTATAACATAGTAACACATCAGCGAGAAATGTACAAAAAGACGTGCACTATGAAACTGTTTTAATTAAAAAAAATTTCATTGAATCAGAGTAAATAGCTGTGAAACTGTAGTAAATCCTAAACCACTCCAGCCAAAATATCTATCATGCTATCAACTATTAATGTTCAACTCTGTAGCCTTGTAATTTTGAATCGAACCCAGAAGACAAGAGAACTTCTGGATCAGTCATGGAGAAAACCTAGCTTTCGCACAGCAATTTTTGGCTGAACTGACTCGCATTGTCGTTAGATGGAGAGGTAAACCACGAAAACCCCAACGGTTAGCCAGACAACAAGGAGACTTTAACTCGTGATCTGTCTACCACTGGGAATATTTAATGTCAGCACCATGATTGGTGCGAGCCGGGTGCAGTATTCATATCGGCCAGCTACCGCTAGGATTCCAATCTGGGTCACCTCATTGGGAGGTGAGAGCTCTATCCCTTGAGCCACCACTACTCAGTTATTGGATATTTTATTTTATAACTGGCGTTGAACAGCTGACCCAATTCTGAGTTTACGGCAATTAATGTACAACAGTTGTTGGATAGTACAGATATTTTTCAAATCTTTGAAACATTCTTTTTTTTTAAATTTTTTTTTAACATTTTCTATTTATTTATCATCGTTGTACAATAAGCCGTGCAATCGTACTTAAAAACTTGCATTTCATTAGTTATTCGAGTTATTCGAACAGAATTATTACATGATGTAAGTTTTTCTCACAAAAAATACTTTTTTTTTCCTGTTTTTCGCACGGTTTAATGCTATGGTAGCTAAAATAATGTTCTAGAAATCTATCAAACATAAAAAATTTATTATTTTTTCTTTTCTTGTCNCGATAATAGTTTTAAATTCTTGTAAATTCACTGCAAAAACTGAGGAAAGTCATTATAGAAAATAACAAATGTCTTAGAATATCTCGCAAAAGGAAATGCTCCAATATTAGTTAGAGCTAGTAAGGCCGAACGCTCCGTTCTTGAAGTAAAAGTGTGATCTTTGCGCCAAAGTGACGTCACTAGAGAAAATCGGAGGATTGGCGCGGCGAGAGCTACTTCAAAGGAGTGAACCAGCCCTTCTATTCTCTTTAGTCCTGTTCTACTACCAGCGCCACCACAGTTTTGGCGACATTTTCCCATTCTTATCATAGCAATTAAAAGCTCGTACTGCTTAATTTCTTCGATCGAAATATAAGTAAATAATATTTGAGCTGAATACTCTTAGATATATTTTTTCAAAAGTGCGCATTTTCTTAAAATACCAAAATAAGTTATATTTTTTGTAAGGAAGGAAAATGATAAGCATTTACTTTCTATAAACATCACTAGATAGCAGCACCAGTTATTATAGTTAATAGTTACATAAAGTTTTTAACTCATTGAAATCAAAGATATCGATTAACTACGCTATGAAATTTTCTTTTTTTAAAAAATGGCTTCTTTTATCCCTTCTTCCATGAAAAAAAGGTGAAAATTATTTTAATGTCTCCGGAATAGCATAAAAAACGACATTTATTGTATATTTTATTCTTGAAATTAATAAGGAAAAACTTTTATTTTTATCATTGTCCCTAGATAGTATCATTAGAAGGCGAGCTCGTTTTAAATTTTATATACGTTTTTAAAGGTGGAGTGGTGTCTCTTATTTTCTCCTCTTCGGGTAAATCTTATTTTTCGCTGATAAATCCGATATTTTGTGTGTTACTTGAGGAAAGAAAACTATGATTGAACGACAACTTAAGTATCTTTTAGTTTTTGACGCGCAATAAACTTTCATTAAAGAGTGACGTAAAGAAAAGTATAATGGAGATTTCAAAAAAAAAGACAGTATGAAGTACGTAGTACAGAAAAGTGCGAATAATGTAATGAAAAGGCACGAGGCAGAAATACATTCTCTACATTATCATTTCTCTATTCCACATTCTCTAAGTAGAATACTTTTCCTTCAAACATTAAATTGTAATTTTGCTGCTTCTGTATACGAATTTTTATTTGAAGGGGTTATTGGGAAACTATGACACTATACAAATGATTTTTCAACATAAAAATTCCTTTTTCTTTTGTAATTATAAGAGATATAATTATATAATGTAATTATATAATGTAATTATATAATTTAATTATATAATGTAATTATATAACAAATGAAATTTTCAAATAATGATAAAATATTCTTTTTTTTGTAAAATTTTTATCTATCCATGTTTAATTGGTATAAAATATAACACCAATATCATCAGCAAAATACTAAAATTTTAAAATGAACAGGATAATTATAGGATACTTTATTTTAAAACCGGCGGTGGACAAATGACCCAATTCTAAGTTTACAACTATCAATCATCAACTCTGTAGCCTTGTAATTTTGAATCAAACCCAGAAGACAAGAGAACTTCTGGATCAGTCATGGAGAAAACCTAGCTTTCGCACAGCAATTTTTGGCTGAACTGACTCGCATTGTCGTTAGATGGAGAGGTAAACCACGAAAACCCCAACGGTTAGCCAGACAACAAGGAGACTTTAACTCGTGATCTGTCTACCACTGGGAATATTTAATGTCAGCACCATGATCGGTGCGAGCCGGGTGCAGTATTCATATCGACCAGCTATCGCTAGGATTCCAATCTGGGTCACCTCATTGGGAGGCGAGAGCTCTATCCCTTGAGCCACCACTACTCAGTTATTGGATATTTTATTTTATAACTGGCGTTGAACAGCTGACCCAATTCTGAGTTTACGGCAATTAATGTACAACAGTTGTTGGATAGTACAGATATTTTTCAAATCTTTGAAACATTCTTTTTTTTTAAATTTTTTTTTAACATTTTCTATTTATTTATCATCGTTGTACAATAAGCCGTGCAATCGTACTTAAAAACTTGCATTTCATTAGTTATTCGAGTTATTCGAACAGAATTATTACATGATGTAAGTTTTTCTCACAAAAAATACTTTTTTTTTCCTGTTTTTCGCACGGTTTAATGCTATGGTAGCTAAAATAATGTTCTAGAAATCTATCAAACATAAAAAATTTATTATTTTTTCTTTTCTTGTCCTAAAACTTAAAAATAACATATTGATTATGATTAAATATAATTCAGTAATTTTTTTGTAATAAAATAGATTTATTTGAGAACATAATGCATACACTTTTAAGTAAGGTTCAAAACGAGTCTGAATAATTGTAAACAATAGTAAATTGTACATTTTTGAGACAAATGATATTTAAAAAATTTATTTACAAAATCTTCGCTGTCATTTAAATGATTTCTCTAAACCGCGAGTAAGGTAAGGATTAAGTAGGCAGAAGTTTTAACTCTACAAATCTTCTTTCAAGTTCGCGAAATGTTTCAAATTCCTAGTTGCTTTTAAGACATTTTTTAAGAAGATCTTCATCCACCACATCATTCGGCATTGTAATTTCAAGTCTGTCTTCCTCTTTCATTGCTTGCTGCATCACCTCATTGGCATTGCTGTTTCCGGACCAACACCGCCTAGCAACCTTTGATGCAATATTAAAAACAGAAAAATAAATACATAATCAGTTACAGCAGTATTCAGATAATTTGGCAGCTAATTTACAATCCAGCGGCCTTTAACGACTATCCTTTTCGGAGATTTTTTTTTTTTTTTGTTGTTCTTCCAGTTGGTCGCAATTATAATGGTAATAAAAGCTATGGTAATGGTAACTAAAAAAAGTCACGAATCCGGATTTTTTTATTTAAGAAAATGACAAATAGGAGAGCGGGTTGTTAAACTTCGTTGGATAGGAAAACCGCTATCCTGCTAGTGTCATATTTGAAAATTAAAAAAAAATGTTTAGTAATCGAGGATGGTTCATTAGGTACATTGCGATTTTAAAATGAGAAAAAGTGAAGGATACATTTTAACCATACGCATAGAGTGCAAAAAAGGTGCAAACCCTGAATAACTTTTGCTTTAATGATCAGATTTTTACTATTAATATATACGATTTTCACGACTCAATATTGTTGATTTAGTGGGTCTAACCTTAAATATTCTAACTACCGCTGTAGACTTTTTAAGTTACGAAATCGGATACAAAAAAACCTATCTTCGAATAAAAATACATTTTCTACGAGAGATTTGGATTCTTGACCCTTAAAATAAGGGGAAGGGGTCACCGCAATCAAGGAAATAACGTTCAGGCAAAAGAGGGATCGAAAATTTGGACCTCTTAATGTTAATCTCACCTATTGTGTAGTTCACTATGTCAAGAATTTTTAAGCGAATCCAAAATGCCTTTATCTAAAGATAACTACATGCAAAAATATTTTTAGCAATTTAGTATTTTTTATTTATTTAATAATAGTCGAAGCACTTCTAATCATCAGGTATAAAAATTCTTACATCATTTTAAAGTATCTAATACGGAATTTGAACTAAATCGGACGAATAGTTTTTGAGTCATCCAATTTTAAGATGTCGCATGTTTAAAATTTAATTTTTTCCCTTAAAATGTAATTGCGTCACTGATCCTATATTTAAACTATGATTTTAATTTTTATTTAATTCAATTTAAGTAAACTAAATATTTTTTCCTATCTGTAATTTTTAAAAAAAAGCAGTATTTACATTAACGAAATTTCAGCTTTGGTTTGCAGCAAAACCGGCCAAATCTAAAATAAAAATTTCAAAAAAAACCCTTCCCTTCATTAACAATTGATAGAACAATCACATAATATGATCATTAATTAGCAAAGAAGATCCAGATATCGTACCTGTCATCAGTATAAAAGTTATAATATTTTTTGCATGTTATTATTAATTCTTCGTTTATTTACAAACATTTACCAGCAACATTTTTCTATCATCCCTTCTTAATAAAATTATTATTGAGTCTTATTATTATTTTCTTATTCTTATTTCTTATTATTACTTCCTGGATTTTAATAAATAAAAATTTGAATAATTCAAACTAAAAGTATTGCTTTTTTATATTACTATATAAATTAATAAAAATGATATTAAGTTTTGCTATGCAACATTTTATGATAAAAATATTTACTCCTCGTTTTAAAATTATTAAATGGTAAGCAAATTATATTTATATTTCTTAATAGATTAAAATTACTTTTTAAGAAAAATGTACTTGCAAAAATAAGTTCAATCAATTAATGTATTCGTAAAAATTTGTTCAGTCAATTAATGTATTTGTGAAAATTTGTTCAGTCAATTAATGTATTTGTGAAAATTTGTTTAGTCACTTAATGTAATTAAAGTATTTAATAGAATTGAAATATAATTTTAAAGTTAAAATTTATTTCTCACTCTACTAAATCTTTTAAGTATTCTCAGTAAAAGTAAGATTAAAGTGACTTCGAAAAAATAAGTAATATCTTTGTCGAAAAATGTTTAAAAAATTTTTTAGCACCCAAAAGTTAAAAATTATAAAAAGAAAAAAAATACATGCATGTTGACATGCATTATTAGGTTTAAGTTTTGTCCCAATGAAATCTGAAACTTCATTAGTGGCGCAATATATAGATATTAATACAATAAAACATTTTGGAATTCTTTAATTGAATAATAATTAAAATTCGATGTGAAATGTGTTTATAATCAGCGAAGAAAAATGATTGCGAAGCAATCTTAGGGATGGGTGAGGTAAGCGAACAGGAGGAGAACCCCTAGTACCTACAATAGTATTGGTCATCAGCTTTATAAATGTTATTTATTCACAAAACCAATCTTACCCCGTTTAGAACATCCCAAGAAAGCATTTGCCTTGCTTTGATTTCAGCTTCCTGCAATGAAATTAACACAAAATTATCTCACACATCTCTATAGTGCATAATTTAACTAGATGGGAGAACGATACGACGATTTTGGTGCGTAAAATTAATTGAAGTAGGACAAACCGACTAGCATGTTAGCATATAGTGAATTAAGGTAAGATTATGAAGGAGACAGACTGGGTTTTCTTGAAACCAAGTGAAGTGTCTACTGTGACTGATAAAATCGTTGATTCTTGTCGCTAAGTTACAGAAGAATCCTGTGTTCGTAGGCAAACATTTATGACTTTAAATTTAGACCTATCTTGCCTACTTTTGCACTTAAATGTTGTACATATTATTGTTATATCAGAGTTAAAATTCATAAGCGATTTCCAGACTTGAACCTCCGGTGGAAAGAATGTGTAAATGGAATCACGAACTCATGATCTTCTGATTAGGCATCGGAATCTCAATGACTATGCCATTGAGGTGATCTCGGCCACTACGTGACCTATCGATTTATGTTTTCAAAGTCTTGTAAGTAATCGACTTTATAGTTGTATTTATTTATTTTTCTGTAAAATAAAATTTGTTGCTATATTTGTAGTTTCGGCCAGTGTAAAATAATAAACATTTTATAATCAAACCTCTTGTTTTGAAGTGTATTTTAAATCACTTGATCTCAATCTATTCGTAAATCAGCATCTTAAAAATTTCTGATTATGACTTTGGCTAAATAAAGTGTTTCTAATGAAATACTTGTAATCAACTTACGTGTGTAAAACTAAAAATATTCAAGTTTCATCGTTTCAAAGCATTCTGCACAACTATGGTAAGTTCTTTTAATAATTTTTTTTAATGTTTCCTTTTTTCCGACATTAATGAATTTAATACTTTTTTTCTGCAAAAATCATTGTGAATATCACTCAGTGCGCTAGTTAGGCAAAATCCTAACTGTGTGCGCGTAATATAATAATTTGTGCAATAGTAATTTATTATGAAGAAAAAAATTTAAATATAGAAAAGAACAATATCAAAAACTAATTTGTGCCCCTGTGTTATTGATTCGAGTGATTTATTAAAACATGCTTATTAGAACAAGCTTCGAATATCTTTTTTACTAAAATTCAAGTTTGTATATTGAGGTTGCAAATAATAAGGGACATTTTTTTAAATTAAAACACTGTGTAATAATGCTTTTAAAATGTAATTAAACTTTTAGAATTATTTTTTTTACTGCTGCGGTATACATAGATGCTTCTCATTGAAATGGTTTTCATGCTCTGAAATTTTCTTTGCCTGAAGTCAAATTTTCTTTGTTTTCTTTATTTCGATGTATACTTTTAAAGGTTTTGAGTACAAAAATATTTGTATAGTGCTAAAATAATTGGTCAGCCTATTATATGAGTCTTAACATAGGTTTCAAATTATTTCTAAAATTGTTTACAAGCAAATTTAGTTTTGATATCAACATATTAATTCGTTTTATATAATGATTGCTAAGTATGGGTTATTATGAAAATATGATTAATCAAATATAATCGTAATATGAATAGATTTTTGAAACTTACATGAGTACCATCCAATAATAATCCAAATCCTCCATTTATTGCTTCACCCCTAAAATTATATATTTTATTAATTATAAATTTTTCCTAAAACCAAAAACTAAAGCTAAAATTTTATTGAAATACAAGTTAAATTTTACACTTCAATTTGTGAAAAATTAAAGTAATCTTTATTTAATAGAAGTGCATGCAATGTTAACTATTAAATTTACCCCCCCCCCTAAAAAAAACATTTCTGACCACATTTTGGAGAAAATAAATTTAGTCAGTTTTAGTCAATTTGAAACTAGACAAGATTTGGTTGGGAAAAAAACAATACAATAAATAAGAAAGAGAGCTAAAAATGTGTTACATAATACATTTATAAAAATATTATATAATAAAATCGAAATAAAATAAAAAAAATTTTAAAAAAAGGATTGTAAATTCAAAAAAATAAAAGGGTAGTTCAGAATTAATATATATATATGTAGAGAGAGAGAGAGAGAGAGGCTTGAAGTCTGCAATACCATCCAACACCTCCGCCATTGTGAAGAGCTACCCATGTTGCACCTCGAAATGAATCTCCGATGCAATTTTGCACTGCCATATCTGCAATAGTAATGAAAAATGCTTTCAGCATGGTTCAACACTAAAAGTTTCATTTACAAAATTTCTCTACCCGCTGGCTTACTGATAAGGATAAATTGTATTAATAAAATTTTAAAAAATATCACCCTGAATAACTTTTGTTCTAATGATCGAATTTTCACGTACTGTCAATCAATTTAGTGTCTGTCTTTCAATTCAATTACTTAACTGTCTTTCAATTTAAGTGTCAATCTTAATGGCTTCTGGAGGTCAAATATGCTAGATAATAAGTGCTAACTATTACTTATGTTAAGAAATCAGACACAAAAACGCACTTTCTCTGAATAAACAATTTTTTTTTGCATATTTGGGTTCCAAAAATAACAAAATAGGGGGACGCAAGCAAAATTTTAAAAAAAAAATTCATCACCTTATCATTTGTATTTAGTTGTTTATAGTTCGTTTTTGTACAAAATTATATTAGTGTATTTAAGATGAAAATTGATTTTAAAAGAACTAACTTTAAAAATTCGAAATTCGGTATTTCTTGGAAAAACTAAGATACGTGGAAATTAAATTTAAATTTACTTAATACTATTCACTACAAAATGAAGAAAATTATGATAGTCGCAAAGCCATCACAGGTTACCCATTGCCAAAATGGCTGTTGTCTAACTTTTTTTTTTTGGAAAAGAAACTTTATTGTGTTTTCATCTTGGACATCTTTAACTGTTAATCCTGAGCTGCTCGGTACTCAATTTCGCAGACATATTTAAATGCAACTCAGACACATTCTGTGTAAGTTCTTTTGATGACTGAATAGAAAGTGAGCAGCCAATCGAGATCAATATTAACATTTTCGGATTGGTACAATGGTGTTTAATGGAGATTGTACGTTGTATCATACACCCGTTCCGAAATTTGCTTTCAAAATTTAAAATTTACAAAACTGTTTTTCGTATGACTTGAAGAGAGATTATGAATTACCAGCACAAAAAGCTGAGCCATCAGTTATATTTGAAGTTTCTCTGAAAGGACTGTCTGTACCACTCACATCATGATGGTCTCTACTCAGAACAATGGGTGCCTAGAAATATTATCCATGCATCAAAATAGTTTAGAAGTCACATAGTTTATTAAGTTAGATTCCACATTCATGTTAATCTATGCATAAATCTGTGCTTCTTATGTGCCTAATCGAAATATCAATTTTACAGTAGTTTAATGTTCGGAAATATTATGCTAATTGTGCTTGCAATATTTTTCATAATATTTTTATTTAATTTTTAAATATTTTTTTGTAAAACTTTATGTACTTTTATAAAAATGAAACACGTTTCTTGCTAAAAATACAATAAAATAATGAAAATTACAATTACTAATGTATTGTTTAAATACTTAATGTTTTGATGGTATAAATATAATTTTTTATCAAAACTTTATCCTATTAAACTTCTAAAAATAAGCATTTGATAACACATTAATAAGCATTTTGATCAACTTCATATGATATGAATTTTTATGAAAACTTTTCCATTTCGAACTTTAGCGAAACTATATTTAATAATTTCTATTCTGAAATTCAATGATAAGTCATAGTGCTCCTTAAGAAAAATATTCTTTAAAAATTGAAATAGTGCTAAAAAACCTTTTTGGGGAAAAAGAAATTTCAATTTTCTAATTCCGGAAACATTTTAGTTTACTTATTTTATCCTAAAAATTGAATAATTTGCGAAAAATAAATATTTTCATAAAAAATTTAAAAAAAAAAAAAAAACAGAATTTGTACATTAAAATTTTTTGAAAAAAATTTAAAAAACTTATTTTTTAAAACTTTTTGTTTTTCCACTGTGTATTTTTTAAAATGCTAAAAATTATTCAAAATACATACTTACAGTGACATAAAATTCTTAAAACGCAGCGTTATTTGGAACCGTAAGTTATAGTTTAAAAAACTCTATTTTACCACAAACCTGAATTAATCCATTTTTAATAGCTTGGTTAAATGCTAAAGCTATCCGAAGTCGTCCTCGATGGTCAGCATAAAGAATTCTTGCTTGAGATCCTACAACCTAAATACCAAACAGTTTAAATTTATCAATATATATATATTTTACAGAACAACAAGTTCGGAACATTTTAGAAAATTTGTAAATCAGTTGCTGAATGTAAAGAAACATCAGTAATTTTTATAAAAGAAGAACATGTTTAGCGCATTTTCGAAAATTTACGAAAATCAATTGAACAACCTGCTCACGAACATTTTTTACATTGTAAACTGCATTATTTGAACAATATGAATAAATATTCTATGCATACAACGACTATGACTACAAGCGTCTTTAAATGCCAAAATGTGAATATTTTAAGATAATTTACATGTTCATTATTTCAATTTTTATATGTGGTGTTTTGTAATCACTGCTCTTAATGCATATTTAAGGAATACTTGTCAAAATTAAATTAAAAATTCCAAGCATATTAGAGATCACAAACCAATATTTAAAAGAGAAAAAAAACAGCAACGTTGTCAAAATCTGGCATGACATTAACAAGAAAGGGGGGATTAAAATCATCGAAATGTGTCTGATTGCTAGAGGAGACTAAAACACCAACAAAGTCTCATTCGGCATTTACACCATAAAACATATAACAAGTAATAAGTATGCATACACAAAACAAAATTTAGAAATACCATTTTGTGACAACCAGCTTCTTTTATCCATTTAAGGTTATCACGAAGTTGATCTTCGACTGATGATGGAACTGAAATTTAAACAAAAAGTCAAAATTAATAACTTTATTTCATATCTATTCATAAAATCATATTATTGCATACTAATTTAGTTATCCATTATATCCCTGACTCGTAATATGTTATTCATTAAACCCAAATATAAATAATCAGTTTTTATATGTTACAGTTAGTAAAAAAAAACATTTTTAATAATTCCGTAGGATAGATTTGGTAAAAATCGCGCACTTTTTAAAAAATAAGTTTGATGTGTCTTATGATTTTTTTGGGTCGGTGGCTCAACGACGGGTATAAGAAGTTACTTTTCAGTCGCTGAACCCAATTTTGAGTTTACGATTACCAATATTCAACTCTGTTGCCTTTTAATTTTGAACCCAATTCTGAAGACAAGGGAAACTCTTGAATAAAGTATTGGGAAAAATTTGCCTTACTGGGGGACTTTTTGACTGAACTAACCTGCATTTACCTCACATAGAAAGAAAAACTACGAAAACCTCCCGCGGTTAGTCTAACGGCAAGGGAACTCTAACCCATGATCTGTCTAACACTGAGGATATTTTACGTCAGAACTGAGGTCGGTTCAGGCTGGATGCGGAATTCGTATCGACCAGTCATCGCTGGGATTTGAACACGGTTCACCTCATTGGGAGGCTAGCACTCTATCCCCTGAGCCGCCACGGCCTTGTTTAACACTTACGCTTATTATGGTAGCCAGCGTTGGTTCTGTTATAAAACCATAAGTTAACCATAAATAATAAGTTCGGTTATATAACAATAAGTTATACCAGTAACTTCTATTGTTTAGATATATTTTTGAGTGCTTAAGTCACGATGCGTATGAGCAGAAAAAATATCTTAGTATACTTATATTTTAAATGTTAATGCATCTTACTTTTTAATTAAATTACTTTTTTTTTCAAGTCGTAACTTGATTCAGAACTCGAACAAATCTTCTCCGATTGACTTTTAATTTAAACTGTACATTAAAAGTTCATAATTTACGTTAACAGTTCGAAGAATTATTTCATTTTATTGCTTCATTTTTTGTTATAAGCAAATTTCTGGTGATCTTGCCTTTTTTTTTAAGAAAATACGTTTTTTTTTCGACCAAAAAAAAATGAAGCTCTTGAAAAGAATTATTTTACACTGTTATAGCTATTCGCAGATGTGATGGAGAAAAAAGGTTTATTTTTTATCGTAAATACAAAAAAAGCAGGTACTTGTTGGTACCCCAAAATACCCATCAAAAAGAAAGAAGGAAAAATTTGATGGAAGACGAGCTATAGAGTCGCTGTTTTGTTTTCAATCTCTTTGGCAAAATTAATTTTTATAGTTCAGTATTTCGATAAGGAATTAAGATCCTATAAAATGTTTTTTTTTTCTTCAGAATTTTACTTAATTCCATTGTCTTGCTAAAAAAATCCTAAAATATGTTTTATTTTTCTGCTGTTTGAGTAGTTTTTTTCTCTTAAAAAAGTTCCTTGACAAAATAAGTATGATAATAGAAATAATCTCACTCTCATATCTGGTCCTTCAAAATACCCGTCAAAAAGAAAAAAAGAAAAATTTAATGGAAGACGAGATATGCCATCACCATTTTGTTTTTAATTACTTTATCAAAATTAATTTTTGTAGTTCAGTATTTGGATAAAGAATTAAGATCCAATAAAGTGTGTTTTTTTTCCAGAATATTAATTAATTCCAATTTTTTGCTCAAAAAAATTCTAAAATGTACTTGTTCTTTGGACATTTGAATGGCTTTGTTCCCTTTAAAAAATTATTTGACAAACTGAGTGTGATAGGAATAATGTCACCTTTTTCCTCGAGAATATCTTCTAAGACAGAGGCGGCAATGTGATCGGTTCTTTCAAGATCTTCTGGATCATTGGAAGTACAAACCCATCTAAAAAATTTATCATACACCTTAAAACACAGTTATCAACGAAAGCAAAGAATTAAAGAACACAACAACAGTTATACAAGAACAAAAACTGGTTAATTTAACACAGGGCTTAAAATATTTAAACTCATTAACACTGTTTTTACTTAAGTGATTTTGTTTGATGCAACAATACTGAATTTGGTTCTGGTGTCATTAGTGTCTAAATTTATACCAATCCCTGTATATTTTTTAATCACATTATATACACAATTACTTTCTGTTAAATTATTCACTATGCATTCTCCCAGAATTTATAGATCTGAATTTTATCTTCGATTTCTAATTTTTTGGTACAAGAAATTAAGTCTCATTCAAAAATAAACCTCAATTATTAAATGTAAGTCAGGAAATAAAAAAGTTTGGTAGAAGGACATTTACAGCGATTGAAAATTTAAAGTTTTGAAAAGAAAGTAAAAATACGAATCTTTATATTTTCTATATAAATTCAGTTATAGAAACTGTTGCAATGCTTATTAGCATTTAGTATAAAAAATAGCGTTTAGTTTCAGTAAATAGTGAATTTACTTTTATTGCTCAGTATTGGATGCTCATTTTATTAGATTTTCAAATGTAATAAAATGCAAAGTGATTGGGATGACACAATAGGCATTACATGTTTCCTAGCTTTTAAATTTTTTTTTATCTCTCAAATTTTTTTTAATCATTCTAAATCGAATTTTAATTAAATTAAACCAAATATTGAGTTTTTTTTTGCATTTTATAAAAAAGTTAATATAAATATTTTATTATTTTCTTGACAATCAATGTAACGACTAACTTTTTATTTCAATACAAATGTAAAACTCGTTAATTCACTGTCTCGATTAAATCGGGGAAAAAATCTATCTATAACTCATTATTCTTCATTTCTTACCACAAAAATATCTCAGTTACAGAGTTATACTAATTCTCACAGCCTTTTTGGCAATTAGCTTTCGCCGAATTATATTTTGAAATTTAATATTGATTACGGGGTATAGGCTTTATTTTTGGCTATATTATCTTTCGATAAATCGCCAACTATGGATCTCTTCCCATACTCCTAACTGTCCGTTGGGAACAATTCACTTGCTTTCAATTCTTGGCGTAAGGACTGGGGGCTTAGGCTCACCGGCCCAAGACCTACTTAACACTTTTTCTTAATGAGAGAACAATTATAATTCTCATGATCCCTTTAAGGGATTTTCTTTCTTTATTTTGGAATGTGGCCATGCTGATTATAATAAAATTTACATAATAAATAAAACTTTTCTAAACGATTTTATTTATTTTTCTGGTATAAATATCCCTTCTTCATTACAAATTCAGATGTATCTCACGTGACCAAAAATCATACTTAAATTCCACAAAGAAACTACATCCACTATACAGTAAAGAATTTGAACTGAACTGCTATGAAAGTGATAATCGAAGTAGTATTAGATATCTGAAATAAAAATAAATGTCGTTTTTTTTTCTTCAGTATTCCAACATTAATAGTTCCTAAATATTTTTATCAATTCCTGAAACAATTCATGAAAATAAAAGATCTGTCACACATTCTTATTCTCAAATTTGAAACGAGTTACTATTATTAGTGTCATTTATTTATTTATTATTTATTTTATTTATTTGTAAATGGTTTTTTTATGACTTGACTTTTTTAACTTGCTTATTTAGCTTAAAACTACACTGGTGTAAGAAATTAAGATAATTTGTAGACTTGGTCGAGTTGGCAGACTTGGTTTGCAGACTTGCTCTAGAACTACTGGTCCGATTCTAGTGAAATTTGATATGTACATACGTTGATACAATACAAAGCAAATAACCATTCAACAATTGTAACACACACGTATGATCGTGCGTAACACTCGTTGGAGTCAAAAGGTATGAAATTACCTGAGGACAACTCAGTCCAAACTGCCTTATTTCAACTATGAAATCACGCTGCAAGGCCTGTAAGAGGGGAGCATACCCCCTATTAACCCATTTTTTTCTTATTTTGCAACAGCTGTTTCATACCTTCCGACTCCAACGAGTATAACGCACGATCATGCGTGTGTATTACAATTGTTGAATGGTTATTTGTTTTGTATTGTATCAACGTATGTACACATCAAATTTCACTAAAATCGGTCCAGTAGTTCTAGAGATAATAGACCAAGTCTGCAAATTATCTTAATTTCTTACACCAGTATATTTCATCTCTAGTATGTCATTGGATTAAACTAACTTTTAGGTCATTCAATAAAATTAACAAAAATAATAATAAAAAACTAATGAGTAGGATTTTACCTGAATGGTCCAAATCCAAGTGAAAAAATATCCCTATAAATGAAATAATAATTAATAGGAAAAATAATTTAAAAAATAAAGTGACAAAAAAACATTTTTACTCAAAACAATTAATAGATAAAATTAATGCCTCCTTACCCCATGATATGTTGAACGTAGGATGGATATCTAAATACAAGACGACCTCCTTCTTGTCTGCCGCCAACATCAGCACCTAAATTTCATTTATTCAATTTAAAATTTATAAGCAATCAGGACTTAATAAACATGAAAAATATTATTAAATAGCTTACCAGCTCTGTGTGCCTCTAAAAGAAATGCATTTCCATAATCCCAGAAATATAAGCCATTATCAGACAAAAAATTAATAGCGGAAATATGTCGTTGCAAGCTAAAATTTGAAGAAAAAAATTTTTCATAAGTATGAAACAATTTTAAGAAGAAAAGTTTGAGAAATGTATTTAAAAGTTAGATTTGTATAATATTGTGATTTGTTACAAGATGGCTTTCATCTAACAACCTAACCTTCGAATTAGTGTGTTTCTCTTTTTTAAATCAATCTAAAATTGAATTTCCATTATTCAACAGCGGTATATACCATTTTAAAGTTATAAACCGTGATCGAAATATTCAAAGAATTTGGTTTATTAGAGGTTAATTTAAAACTTAGATTTATTGCCATTCGTAACGCTTTGATGCAGGTGGTGTACTTTTTACTCCGGTGTACCATTTATATATTTTTTTTCTAACTCTCTAAATTACGAACAAAATTGTTCTTTTTTATTTTGGTGTAATATAATTCTCAAAAACAGTCTAATAATTTCCAAAAAATCTGTTAGACTAACAGAATTATATTTGCACTAAACTATGAAATTAAAAAAAAAGTTTCAAATTTTTTTTTCTATTCGTGCTTAAAAATTTATCCATTATTGATTTTGTAAATTAGAGAAATTCTAATAAGGAATAACTGATTCTCTTAGGCCTAAACAACTGCAAATAAGTACAAATTTAAAAAATTATTGTTTGGAAATGAGCCATGTTTGGAAGACTTTTATCTTTTATGTAGGAAAATAACCATTGTTTCAATCATTGTTCATTGTTTCATTACCATAAATTATTAAAATGCTAAATGTAATACTTTTCACTTAATTTGACCTAAATTATTACTAAATAATAAAAAAAAGTTATGAAAAATATGTTAATAATAATTTTGCTTAAAAAAACTAACAATTACTTGCAATTACATCAATTTAGAGTACTCCTTCATCCTAAATATCAATTTTTTTTTTTAAATTTTAAAGCACGAACAAATAAACTTATGAGAAAACTAATAACTTTAATAAATGTAAAAGTTTTGCTTCTTTTCTTAAACTAGATGATTGTGCATTTTTATCAATTAAATTTCATGTTTAAAAATTTTGAAGTCAGGATAATGTTCTCAGTTTATTGAACATTCATATTAAATTAAATAAACGACTGGCAGTTGTTTCCAGTAGTTTGTCTAATTTAATATGAATGTTCAATAAACTGAGGACATTATCCTGACTTCAAAAATTTTAAACATGAAATCAAAAGCATCAACACAATTGTTTTAAAAAAAAACATAAGCTAGTATAAGACCCTTGAATAAATTAAAGAAGTAAACTATGAAATTTCCAAACTTTATAGTTTAGTTTTGGTTAACACCAGGTTCTGGTAAACGAAACTGTTTCATAACCAACGTCGTTAAACAGGCTGCCGAATTTTGAGTTTACGACTTAACCTTCCAATTTTGAACCCAACCCAAAAGACAAGGGAACTCCTGGGTCAAGTATTTGGAGAAATTTGTCTTTGTCGAGAACTTTTTAGTTGAACTAACCGGCTTTTGCGTTACTTGGAGAGAAAAACAACCAAAACCTCCCACAGTTAGCCTGTAAGCAAAGGGACTCTTACCCATGATCTGTGTATCAAAGAAAATATTTTACGTCAACACTGTGGTCGATGTGAAAATGTTAGCCTTGTGAAAAAGCGACTATATTTCTTTTAAAAAAATGCCTAAGATGCTTAGCTAATTAATTTTATTATTTCTGAATATAAACAAAAAACTGATAATATTGTTGTAAGGGAGGGGCACGATTTTAACATGAATCCATTTTCGTGTTTTTAATGGATGTGTAAAATGAAATTAAGGTAAACATTCTTATTTAAGGAAATATTTCAATAAATATACCTTTCTTGAACAAGTGTTTTAAACCTGGATGGGTCATTCACTATAAGCAATTTTGCTTCCTCAAATGATAGCTAAACATAAACAAAATAATATATCATATTATAGAAATAACTGTTTACATTTTAGTAGCTTTACAGTTGAGTTTAAAAAAACTCTTACCTGAGCAGGATAATAGCCTCCATCAAACGGGTTATGGCAAGAGGTTTGGTCAGAACCTAGGTCAGCCAACAATTCTCCAGTACTTTCATATACTTTTTTGATTCGTTCCCTAAAAAAGAAAATTACTAAGACCAGTCATAACTGAAGGAAGCCGTTGAATTGCAAATTAAACGATTTAAACTTCAGCTAGCTCTTTCATGCTTGTGAATACAAGGGAAAGAATACAAGGTGTTCCATAACAACCGCCCTTAATATTTATTTTCAACTTCTTTATAAAAGATGAAAACAATAGAGTACTCATTAAGGATCTTCAATTAATAGTTAAACGAGAAATAACAAACAAGCAAAAAAGTTATAAAATAAAAATCATCATTATTGAAGAAGGTTGGATTGTGAACATCAAATCCTGTTTGTCCTTTAAACTCTCAAATGTCAAGAAAAAAAACTTCTTCCGTGCATTAACTAAAACCACAGCACTAAGTTCTTATTCTACAATTACCGTTTTATTTATATTTCTGGATTAAAAAAAAACACTGGATAACACAAAAAATTGACATAGTTTTAAAATGAAAAAATTGAATCCATGAATAAAGCGCTGTACTTTTTTTGTAACTAACATTTTCCTTACAATGTGATCATTATAATAGATGTGCGTAACAATTGCTATAAAATTATATATGTCTAAACATAGTCATGTGCTAAGTACACCACGAATTTCCTACCGGCGAAATCTGCTAACTTCATTTTTTTTCTTTTTTTTAAGAATTGAGTTAGAAACAGGTGATGCCTCAAAAATATAAAAACCTTTTAGGTTAGATATGGTACATTATATGGATTGAGAATTGCTTAGAAAATTATGACCAATAACGTCAAGGGAATAGGTAGCAAACCTAAGTATCTAGAGGGGTGGGGGAAATATCAGAGAATGATCAATTCGAAACATTTATTGGACATAATGCTTACATGCAGCGTGCTAGATGATGCCTATTTAGGCTTGACACCAACGATACATTAATTGTGGCAAGCTGCTGCAACGCTTGGCTTATGGCAGAAGCTTAGACGAGTCTTGCTACGAGGTGATACTGGATAGGCTCCCAATACCACAGAAAAAAATCAAGGCTCGATAAATCAGGTTAGCGAATGGTTATTCAGAAGCACAGGTGCAGAAATGCCAGATCTACAGCATTACATTAGTGAAATGCAGATCACCACCTAGCGGCACATTTCCGATCATAGGTCTTGCTAATTTTTTAAAATAATTTTTGATCAGCTTCAATCTAATTAACCCCTTTTTTCTATCGCTTATCAATTCAATTTATGAGGAACAAAATAAGTAAATATATGCTTTGCAATACTTTTACTTTATTTTTCACATTTCTTCCAGAAACAGTAAGCAGTTATTCATCTGTATTATTCATGTGCGGATAAATTCAAGTTTAAAAGGTTTCTTTAATCCACTAAATTAAAATTTTATGTTTAACTAGAATAAATCACTTACCATACATCAACTATATTTCCATAATATCCTATGCTCGTCGCTATTTTCTTCTTTTTTGCCTCCCTAAAATGAATAGGTTAAAAATAAGATATATATNTTTTTTAAAATTTCAAGCTAAAAACAAATTAAAAATTAAAAATGAATTAATATATTGTTCATACACATATTCTTATATAATTTTCAGGGATAAAAAAATAGGCACTTTTATGTCCGTTTTCTTGAAAATTAACGGATCGTTAAGGGGTTAAACTCCACTCTGCTTCTTCCAGCAATCAAACATCTCTTCATGTGTTTTAATTCTTCTTTATTCAATTGTTATTGTAACTGTTGTAGTATAATTGTTTATTTAGATTATGATACCATTTTTTCCCTCGCTTTAATTTCAGATTTAGTCTCTCAATTAAATAAATTTGGTAAACATAGTATGCTATTTCTTGAATAATCAATTTTTTAGGATTCTTATAAATCGAATAGTTTTTTTTTAATGCTAAAAGTTTTCCGATTGAAAAAATTATCATCAAAACCAACACAACCTCTTGCTCCAAAAGAGACATTGCATCATTTTTTCTTCAAACTTTCAAATGTCAAGAAAAAAAACTTTCTCCGTGCATTAACTAAAAAGCACACCACTAAGTTCTTATTCTACAATTGCAGTTTTATTTATATTTCTGGTAAAAAAAACACTAAACACCAAAAATTGACATAGTTTTAAAATGATAAAATTGAATCCATGAATAAAGCGCTATGCTTTTTTGGTAACTAACAATTTCCATACTATGTGAACATTATAATAGATTTGAGTACCAATTGTTAAAAATTATATATGTCTAAACATAGTCTTGTGCTAAGTACACGAATTTCCTACCTGCAAAATCTGCTAACTTCATTTTTTTATTTTTTAAGAATTGAGTTAAGAACAGGTGATGCCTCAAAAATACAGCTAAAACCTTTTAGGTCAGATATGGTGCATTATATGGATTGAGAATTGCTTAGCAAATTATGACCTATAACGTCAAGGGAATAGGTAGTAGACCTAAATATCTGGTTGGAAAAATATCAGAAAATGATCAATTCGAAACATTTATTGGACATAATGTTTACATGCAGCCTACTAGATGATGCATGTATGCTTGACACCAGCGATACATTAATTGTGGTACTCTGCTGCAACGCTTGGCTTATGGCAGCAGCTTAGACGAGTCTTGCTACGAGGTGATACTGGATAGGCTCCCAATATCACAGAAAAAAAATCAAGGCTCGATAAATCAGGTTAGCGAATGGTAATTCAGAAGCACAGGTGCAGTCCTGCTGGATGTACACCATTACATAAGTAAAATGCAGATCACCACCTAGCGGCACATTTCCGATCATAAGTCTTGTTAATTTTTGAAAATAATTTTTGATCAGCTTCTAAGTAATCCCTTTTTTCTATCGCTTATCAATTCCATTTAAGAAGAAAAAAATACGTAAATATATGCTTTGTAATACTTTTTTGCAATATACATTTACTTTATTTTCCTCGTTTCTTCCAGAAACAGTAAGCAGTTATTGCATCTGTATTATTCATGTGCGGATACATTTAAGTTTAAAAGGTTTCTTTAATCCACTAAATTAAAATTTTATGTTTAACTAGAATAAATCACTTACCATACATCAACTATATTTCCATAATATCCTATGCTCGTCGCTATTTTCTTCTTTTTTGCCTCCCTAAAATGAATAGGTTAAAAATAAGATATATATGTGACAGCTCAAATTTATTTTGTTATTTCATTGGATACTTATGAATTGAATTATTTGAAATTTATTTACAAAACAATTTATTTTATTTAATATTTTCTTTCCTAACCTTTGTTTAGAATAACTTTTATAAGAAATGTGAAAAGGTTTTTATAATATAAACTAGCTATTCTTAACTAAGAAAACCAATAAATAAAATTCTTCGTTACATGCTTAAAAAAAGAAGTTCAGAAGAAGTTCACTGATACACACACATGTGACTTATGACGTCAGCGCAAGCTGATCGTTTATAAGCAAAATAGCGTGTTAAAATTAAGCCAAGTTTCTCCACATAAGTTGGAATGTTAATTAACTTGAAGTTAATTAAATACAATCCTATATCGCTCATCGAATTCATTGAAATATAATTCTGTCACGTCTACACGCATTTTACTTAACTTAGATTTATTATTTGTTCATGTATTTAATTGTAACTATCAGATATTTTTGTTTTGTGCACCTGACAACTTCGATGCATGATTAGTTTATTTATGCTCTAAGCTATACATGGCTTCATGCCTGTCTTTGAGTTAAGTAAGAAATATATAGTGAAAATTGAAACCTTTGTAAAATAATCTTTTGCGTAAGAGTATAAAATGTGTCACGTAAGAGAATTGACACTTGACGGACTTGGCTTATTCGAAATAGAGTGGAAAGAACAGTTGATAACGCAAACAAATGCCACCTTTTAACAACCAATCAGGATCGAGATACCGATACTACGTCACTTGTAAGTGCTACTAATCCATTGATACAGCTTGCACTCCTTTTCGTTTCTATTATTTACTCTTATATATAAGATTGATTTATTTGCATTTAGTGGTATTCAAATCAAGTTAAATTAAAATTACAGATCCAAAAATTAAAAAAAATAATTTAAAGGATTCATTACCATTTTAAATTTAAAAATGAATTACTACTGACTATACTTTATTGTTGATTGCTATGGTATTATTTTAACTGCATAAATATGTGCGTTATTGAATTGTTATAATGCAATATCATTAATAGTTAAGAAACAATGGAAAAAACAGATGTCATTATTTTTTAAGGAATATGAAAATATTAATAAAATCCCAAAAAATTGAAATTTACAACTTTCCGTTGTACATAAATGTATGTGACTTTCATTGAAATATAACGATAAAAACAAAGATTGGTAACGTTGCAGTAATTGAGTCTTTGTTTAAAGTGAATAATTAAAAGTCATAATTTAAAGCAAAAAATGTTTTTTGCAACAAAAGAAATTTTTTTTGCAACAAACGAAATTTTCTTAAACTTAAGAATTATTTAAAATCGACATAATAAAAATTTAGTCTTTTATTATTTCATAGCACTCATAGGAAAATTTATATTTTCCAAATTTAAATCTAAAAAAAATTTACCTAGATAAAAAAAATCTAATATAATGTAGGACCCATAGGGCATTGCGATCTGTAATACTGTCGAGTTTTCCCATATCTGTATTTAATAGGGTGCTCAAATTTTCTTATTTTACTTACAAGAATAAAATATTCGTAAGATTGATCTTTCAACACAGTATAGTCATTTTTAGTATAGTCTAAGATCAATTTATATAACTATACGACAGTTAAAAAATTAGAAATTAATGCAATACAACTGTTCTCATATTGTATACAAGTATATATTTATTGATGATGCATACAACTACTACAATGTTTGTCGGAAGTGCTGAGGCCGTTTTATGCAGAAATGATTGTGCCTCTGATCTACTTTTCATGCTTGAAAGCTGTCTTCTTTTTATTAATTATTATTGTACATAATTTATTATTTGAAATAGTAAATTTGAAATATTGAAAATAAATCAATCACCATAAGCTTCTTTGATGAAATTACGAAATTTTCCTTAGCATCGTTTTGCTATTTTCTTTATACACTTTTGCTAATTTAACATTAAATTCCCAATAGAAAAGTATTCAGAGATATCTTAAAGAAAAATAGGCATACCTAATACGATTTATCAGAGCATCTAAGTTATCAATTATTTCTAGTACCCATCCTTGATCATAACGCTTTTGTAAGACACTATAATCTACCTGAAATCGATAAAAACAATATTTTTATTAATTATGGATCAAATTGAATCACTGTTACTTTCATCCTAAACAAAATATTTCAAATGGTGGCTTCACACCTGAATAATTAAAAAGCCTAGTGGAAGGGCAGGTTAGTAAATTATCTGAAAATTAGAAATTACAATGTATAGAAACAGCAGAATCTTTAAACAAAATATCTTTGTTTCGTTGAAAAAAACTTGACTTAAAACTTCGAAAGGTTATGTTTACTGTTTTAAAATTAACCATAAGATGTTCCTAAATCTGGAAGTTTGAGTAATCTTTACATCCTTATTGATAACGTTGCTTTACATATTCTTCCACTAAGCTCTTCCAATATCGAAGCGATACTATGAATTTCTCAGAAAAAAAACATACCTCTGAAATAACACCTATGCAACCGCAAATAACAGCAGCTTTTGCTTGTGCGCCGCTCATTCCGCCTAATCCAGAGCTGATGTAAACCTAAAATTAAATATTTTAATTGAAGGGGAAAAATTGCTGCATAACAATCAATATTTTTAAGCTGTTAAAGGAAAAACGGTTATATATATTTTGCTGCGGTACTTTTGCTTCGGAGATATTTACTGTTTGTCTAAGATAGGTACTCTGACCGCCACAAAGTCTGCGGCAGTCTGGTGCGATGGAAACAAGAAGAGGGCATTTTAGGGAGGGTAGCTTCGATAAAGAGGTCTCCTTTTCTCTCGCCGAAACTAGTCCTAAAGATGGACCCCGCACCCCTACTTGAAATAATCATACCTCGTTACCATAGTCACCGCCATAGTTCCAGACGAATGTCTGGCAGAGTACCTATCTTACAAGGGAAACAGGGGAAGTGTGACTGGCCAATTTTGAAATAAACTAGTGGGATGTATGCCTTATGAGGAACAATTTTAGGGGGCAACATTCGTTTCGGCCCATAGAAGGTCCTGTGAGAGATAAAAAATAATTCAATATACGGAAAAATCGGTATTTTATTGCTTCTATGCAGACTATTAGTTATTGCAGTGGTCCCCAACCTTTTTGTACCTAAGAGCAAATACCAGAATATCGGTCGAATGGCGGGCACCATTTATTTTTTCAAGATAAATTTATAGTTGGTAAACATAGGTAATAATACACACTACATATAGTTCACAAAAAATTAAATTTCAAAAATTAATTTAACATATGAATGCAATTAATATTTTTGTGTAAAATAAATGATTACTAAATTGCTTTCAAAACATGCGAAGTATAAAAATTATTTATAAAATACAGTGGCATGTGGTGTTTCGCATGGCATTTCGGTGACCAGCGCTACATAATTGGGAGAATATGATGCTCTTTTTAAGAATGGAATTTAGTCCTTCAAATATATTCCAGAATTTCTCATGTGATATAATAGTTTTGAGGATAATGTCATCCAATGGAGATCCAAAATTTATATATCCAATTCTTCTCGCTTTACTTGAAGAAATTCCGAAATGTATGTTGCTATTACATTTATTTGGTTGGTAAAAGGATTAACAAAAAAAGTTATCAAAGGCTCGATGATATTATATTGCTGAAGCAATTGGAGGTTGATGACAAATGTCAATTTCACTGTCACCTATCAATTTTTTCATGTTTGGAAAATGCAAAAGAGACTTCATTTTCAAATGTGATATCCACAAAACTAGCTTAGCTCTGAACGAGTTAACAGCCTCTATCATTTCTGCTTTATGTTTGTCCTCTCCCTGCAGTTCCAAGTTTAAATAATTTAGTTTTTTCCTTATGTCCGTTATGAAAGACAAATCTGCTAGCCAAAGAGGATCCTTAGTTCTAAAAATGTTTGATTTTTGGTTGCAAGATAATTTTTTATTTCTCCAATTAAATGTAGAAATCTATTCAAGTACTTTACCTTTACTGAGTTAGCGTACTTCAGTATGTATTTGCATAGCATTTATTGGGAAAATGGGAAACTGAAATATGTTATCGTTGAGCAGCGGGCGCACCTAGATCGATTGACGGGCGCCATGGTGCCCGCGGGCATAGGGTTGGGGACCCCTGAGTTATTGTAATTGTCTCATAATCCAATTAATTTGTAATTAATTGGATAATTAATTATTTTTAGTTAATAAATTAATCAGAAATTATTAATTAATTAATTGATTTGCAATTACATACTCCAATTAATTCGGAAAGTTTTTTGAAAAAAAAAATTAAAAAAATTTGATGTCAATTTTTTTTTTTTTTTTAAATTAACCTAACAGGTTTTTCTGAAAAACTGCAGATGCATAAAATTTTCAAAATCAATTTTAACAATAAATATGCATTATATAGTTCGTGAAAGTAATTAATTATCCAATTAATTACAAATTAATTGGAGTATGAGACAATTACAATAACTAATAGTCTGCATTGAAGTAATAAAATACTGATTTTTCCATACATTGAATTCTTTTTTATCTCTCATAGGACCTTCTATGGGCCGAAACGAATGTTGCCCCCTAAAATTATTCCTCATAAGACATACATCCCACTAGTTTATTTCAAAATTGGCGAGTCATACTTCCCTAGTTTCCTTTGTTAGACAAACAGTAGCCATGCAGACAAAAGTGCTACGCTGTCCATAACACTCAGCTTCCAATATATGGGACATTTGGTATAATTTCATCAATAGATAGTATTTTGGTTATTTTTACCATTAAAAAGCTTTTTCATTGGGCTTACCCTCTTTAGAGTTATTCTGTTTGAGTAAAACGATCGCATTGAGCACTTAATAAGAGACAAGTCAATGGAAGCCAAATATGTTTTGAATAATAATAACAAAGTCAACATTACCGTATCCAATTCTTAACAGGAAAAAATACTCTTAATTGAAATTAATAAATCCAATATATAAATAAAATCTCATCTTATCGAAGGAATTGAGTAGAAAAAAAATCGATTAAAGAGGATAAAAAAATCTATTATTTTAATCAATATGTAATAATATTGAAATTTGAAATTAGGTAAAAAAATATAAGAGGAAAATTGTTTTTTGTTTCAATGAGATATTAATTACAAAAAAACCCATTAACAGACAAAGACAAGGCATTTTAAAACGAGCAGATTTGAATGAAAAACAACTTACGCCGTGCCCTAATTGGGTAAATTCGACATGCAATATCGATTTCGATAGATTTTCTGACAAATAAAAAATTAAAAAGCTGCAATCCTCACTCTTATCTCTTAAGAAGAAAATTAAAAAAATCTTAAAAGATTCAGCTCAACAGACCTCCAATAATAAAAAAATAAAAGCCTGCATTACTCTCATAAAAGCCTTCAATACAGTTTTAACTAATTAAAACGAATGCCTGGAAACAACTACTTACCATAAATGGGTCTAATCTGTTGGGAGTAAATTGTTCCTTTTGCAAGCAGAAAATTTGGACATTATAACATATTAGCCTCATACACGAGAAGAATGAAATAATTCAAAAATATATATGATAAGATATAGTCAGATTTGTCTTAAACTTGAAATAAAGAGCACGTGAAGAAATCTTTCAGCATTCAGAAAAAACTTCTCATTACAACAGTGTCTAATTTTTTGAGAATAAACCGTTGCTTTTGCAAACACATAATTTTAACATAAAAAAGAACTTAAGAAAGACATCGTCTGATTAAGTATAGTTACTTCTGTTTCAAACATGAAAAAACTGTCGAAGAACTCTCAGGAAAAAACTGTGCAGTACAATTGTATCTAATCTGATGATAAATGTATCGTTCTTTTTTACAAACAGATATCTTTAATATTAAACAGAACTTTTTCCTCGTGCAAGAAAAATAGAATGCCAAATATTTGGTTGAATCTTTTTTAAACATAAAAAATTGCAAAGGAAAATGTTTTACTGCATTTAAATCTGCTTAAAATGAATATCACTGAAGTTACTTTTAAACGAAAACCAATCAAAACATTGTCTTCAAGTAATTATGCAGTTAAATCTTTAAATCAAGATGTCTTATGGACAACTCTGTCTTGTATTGGAATCAAAATTATAGATGCAAATAATAAAAAAGCTTCTAAATTTTGTTTGCATAACTGTTTGAAATATTGGTTCATAACCTTTTTAATCATTGCTTACGTCCAGTCTCAAGCTTACAGATGTTTTACTGCCTTGGTATCTGTCTCAAGGTTTAAATACAGTATTTGCTTTATTATCTCAAACTCATTATCTCTGGTACTGTGGTTTGTTCTACGAAAAAGAGCTAATAAAATTCTCCTCTTATTGAGAGAAATACAAAAGATAAAACAAATTAATATTTATAGAAATTTCAATAAAAAATTCAATTCAAATATAGCACTTTGCGCTCTTGGTTTGTTCACGTTTTGTACTCTATTTATGATTGTTATAGCTATTTATCTCACGGACTCTGAATTTGTGGCTTATTGGACTTTTGGTAAAACTCGTATCCCTGATGCTGTCACTTTTTTAATGACGTTAAATGGAACAATCGGAACTTATACTTTGACTTCGGTATTTCCTGCTACAACCAGTGTGTTGTTATGCAGTTTGTACTATGATTGTGGTTCACTACTTTCGGAGTACAAAACTGAATTGAAACGATTTGATAACGGCGTTCCACCGAGAAAATCTCTAGTGTTCTACTCAAATCTACTGAATATTCTTGATGACGTTGATGGTGTACTTTCAGCACCAGCTTTCTTAAATTGCACCATATTTTTCTTGAACATCTGTACATTTCTTTCCTGGGGTTTAATGATGACTACGGAAGTAGAAATAGTACTAGGAACATTTATAGTTTTTCATTTCACTATCAGTGCTGTTTCGTTGATTTTTCTCATTTTGACTGCAGCGGAGATTGGGCTAAAATCTGAAGAACTGAAGATGCACTTTGAAAAGATATATGATAAATGTTCGTATGATAAAAATTGCGACAGATATAAGCTGAAATGTATAAAAATCGCGTCACAGAAAGGGATTAAACAAATGTCTGCTGGTCGAATATTTAGTTTTAACAGAAGACAAGTACTATCGATGACCGAAGCCTTATTTACTTACGCACTCCTTCTGTTGAATCTTAAGGGTGGATTGCAAGAAGTTTAGAGGCAGTATTAAATTCAAGCATACATTTGGGTACAATTACATATATATACATATTAATATTATTGTTATAAAAATAGAAAGAAGCTGTTCTAAATAATGAAATTTGTAAATAACAATTGATCTAAGTCCATCAAAATGTAATGCTGATATGATCACCTATTCTATATTTAACATAAAGCAAGTGTTCAATTTGATCTAAGCATTATTAACTTACGTACTATTTGTGTCAAACCAAAACAAAAAAAATAATGCTATGAAAATTTGTAAAAAATTTTATGTCTCTGATTTATGTAAATAATGTGGTTGCGTATTTAATCTTAATAAAAGGCAACTATTGCCAATGGCTTGAAGCCTTATTTGCATTATTTCTGGTAAACCTAACATGAGCAAGTCTAGAAAGTGAGATTAAATATCACCAGCATACAGTCGGATATGACAACGAAATATTATAAGTATTCATTTTCGAAAAGCAAGAACTACCACTCTTCTTCTAGAAAGGATGATACACTGAGATGTACACTTTCTGAAGTTCTGAGGTGCGTTTGTACTCGCGTACGCACCTTACCACCTGGTGCGTACGTACTTATCACCACGTGCACACTGCCGAATTGAACAACCCATCTTTTGTCTGATTTCACCCCTATTTTGGTGTAACCGATGAACTTTGGGATAGCAAATAATCGGCATGTCTTTTGATGTGAAAATACACAGAATAAAACTGTAGTATCAATTATTGTAGTTTCGATGATTTACTAGCACAATACTCCTGTTAAACCTCAGCAATGATGGCACTAGTTCAGAGGGAGTATTAAGTATCAGCAAACAGTTGGATAAGTCATCAAAATATAGCTATGAAAATGAATTTCTTGTAAATAATGACTTTTTATGCCCACTGACTTTTGTAAATGATGTGGTTGCGTTTTTAATCTTCAAGAAGTCAAGCACTCTCAATTGTTGAAGCTTTATTTAACTGTGCACTACTTTGGTTAACCCATTGGCGCAGACAGGACACCGATGCAATTTATATATTTTTTCTGACTCCCAGATTAAGAGTAAAAATGAAATTAGATAGTTTTTAATTATGAAAGACAGTCTAAAATAAATCTGTTAGATCCTCGAAATCGTTCTGAAATATAAAATCCAAAAAAATAAAGTAGTTGGAAACCTTTTTAATTAATTTATCAATAAATGATATTGGAAATTAAAGAAATTACAGTGGTAAATTACTGTTTCTCTTTGATTGAAATAACTGCAAAGAAGGGCAAACTCGAAAAATTATAGTTTTGAAGTGAGCAGCGCTTGGAAGATTTTACCTTAAACGCAAAAAGGGAAACCAGTGTCCGATGATGTATTTCACATCCATAATTTATTAACGAGCTCAATATGGTATGTTTCACTTATTGTAACCTAAATTAATACAAAATTAGGAAAAATATGTTTAATGAAAATTCTGCGTCAACGGATTTAATCTAAATGTTGAACTTTAATAATTTAAAGGGAGTTTTAAATATCAACTAAGACTTGAATACGACAGTAAAACATTGTTTTCAACAGGAAAATTTTGTAAATAATTACTTTTTATGTCACCAACTTTTGTAAGTAAAGAAATACCGAGAAAATTATTTGACATCAATTTTACCCGTATATTATAGAACTGCTATATATAATTCTTTACCTATTTATTGAATTAATTTGAAATAGTAATTTTATTATAATTGCACAGTGTGATACAAATTTAGCCTTAGTATATTGATAATATTGGGCGAAAAATACACAAAAAATATTTAATAATGGTAAGTACTCGGATTAGTCGAAAATTGTTTTTAAAAAATTAAGTATACTAATTGAGATGCACTAAAACAAGCAAACTACGTAAACTGAATATTATGTTTTGAACTATGAGGAAAACGCACGACCCACACGAAAACATCTGATTTGATTGATGTAGTCAAATGTTTTGAACTATGAGGAAAACGCATGACCCACACGAAAACATCTGATTTGATTGATGTAGTCAAATGTTTTGTACTATGAGGAAAACGCACGAGCCACACGAAAACATCTGATTTGATTGATGTAGTAAAATGTTTTGTACTATGAGGAAAATGCACGACCCACACTAAAACATCTGATTTGATTGATGTAGTCAAATGCGAATTTCATTCACAGAGCAACAAATAACAATTAAGTAAACCGTTTCAGCAAAATTATAAACACATATTGATTAATTCTCTTAAATTCAATTCGTCAAAGAATTACCTGCAATATATGATTTCGGGATATTTTAATTATTACGTATGATTATCATGTATGATATTTTATAAAATTCCGAACATTTTAAGGCAAATTGAGAAAAATTATAAACATTATATATTTTAGCTAGACACTAATTTTAAGACCTTCTTTGAAATGATAAATGCTCTATCAGAACAGTATGACATTCCATTAACTACCAAAACATTTTGTAGAATGCTTGTGTTCCATGTTTTATCAACAGAGAATTGATATTCTATAGAATTAAAATGTGAAATGTTTGATCATTTCATACTTTGTCGGTCAGCTTTTCGCATCCTAAAAAACTTCTAAATATTCTCTCTGATTTCACACTTTGTAGGTAACACTTAAACAGTTACGGTCAGGATAGAAAACTTAAATAAAAATAAAGACGAAAGAAATTAAATCATTACCTTCCCCGTCATATCATTTACTTTGAGATATTTTCGTCCCGCATTCATTAATGTCAGCTATAAAAAGACAAAAATACATTTAAAGAGAATACAATCATCAAAGTATAAAGATAAGTAATTGAGATTCGTAGTAAATTTCAGTAATTACTAACAGTAGTTCCATGAACAATTCCTTGGGGACCAATGTAGCAATAACTTCCGGCCGTCATTTGCCCATACCTAAATTAAAACGTCAATCAGGGAATTAAAGTGATATTTTCATGCTTAATAGTTTACTAATATAAAAAATAAAAATGGACCATCGATGGTAGATGATAGAGCTGAATTTGTAGCAGAAAGTTTCGTTTTATTTATTTTCTCTTGTACCTTTTTATATATTATAAAGGGAGGGAGTTTAATATATATGTTGCAGGCAAAGTATAAAATCGGGCATTATATATAATGCCTAAATCTACCCGGCAAAGTATGAAATGATTTATATTTCACACATTGCCTAGGCGTTCTATATAATGTCGGATGCTATTTAGGCAAAGTGTGAAATAAAAGTCCTGATGAGGTTATTATGTAAATGATGTGCATGTTACTGTGAATGACCGAAATCGGTGGTTGTTGATTTTCACCGGTGAATGTTGACAATCACATAGTCGCTTTGGTGAATGTCCGAAATATTTATTGCATCCGATTTGATATTAATTTATTCGTGGATATAATTACATTTATTCGATATTTTAATACTTACTGACGATAGATTAGAAGAAACATCAATGTTTGGAGTATCGGGCAAATATATATTGGGCAATGATACTTGACCCTAGAAAAATATCAGTGTAGGGTATACCGGGCAAATGTATACCGGGCAGATATCCACGAATAAATTAATATCAAATAGGATGTAATAAATATTTCGGACATTCACCAAAGTGACTATGTGATTGTCAACATTCACCGGTGAAAGTCAAAAACCACCGATTTCGGTCATTCACAGTAGCATGCACATCATTTATATAATAACCTCATCAGGACGCTTATTTCATACTTTGCCAGTAGCATATATATTTCTTGAACATCTGTACATTTCTT